ATCGCGAAAACACACACTGCACGTTGTGAATAATAGCACCAAGTACACGATAAAAATCCATTACTAGCTAATTGCGGTATCCAATCAGGATACAGGAAGAAAGTTTCCTATCCAGGGCTTACTATTGGAAACGCGGTTGGAAATAAAGTAAGCACTGGGGACGAGGTTGGGTTACATGTTCATGGACGGGTGCAGGCCAGCTAGACGGGTTCCCTTACCTTACAATTTCCCAGCACCCATAAATTGATCCATTGTATCTTTAGTGGAGACTGGAGTCAGAGAACCAGAATATTGAAACATTTTTGTTTTTCTTGATTTTCCCAGCATTTTCGAAAAAACAAAACTTCAAACATGTCAGTGAAACAATATTTGATCTATACCGATGGTTACTATTTACTAACCCCTCAAATATTTCATTTCTGAAAACTACATGTACACGTACAGCAAAAGCCAATGATGTGCATTCCGTTTAAGGCTACAGCCTACATGTCCAAACTTATTTTTAAAAAAAATAATTAATTAATGTCCAAAAATAAAAAGGATCACATAAAACCCAAGGCCAACAGGGAGTATTTACAATTATTTAGTTTTGTGATAACTACAGCTTTAAACTGAATAGGCTACATATATGTCATGTATACATCACTAAATCTCCTGTCCAGACTAAATCTTGATAAACAAACTCTTCTTATGGAGCTATAGGCCCCTACATACATGGTTATCTCAAAACGACTGTTCAAACAAAGAATCCATTTCCTTCATTAGTGTAAGTTACTCTGCTTTTAAGTAACTCAAACCTCTGCTGAAGTCAAATTTTGAACTTGTTCCCTTGGTTTGATTTCATTGTGCCATACCCCAAACAAACCCATCCCTAGCCACGCCCACACTCAATATACAAAATGTATACATGTACATGTACGTACATTTGTACATGGTGTACAGAAAACTACAGGATACCGGATACTGTGATGACTGTCATGACTGTTGTAATACAGGTTTTTCTACTTTACAAAATACAACAATACAACATTGCGATCACACCTTTTGACATGTACAGTTTTGCGATTAAGATTCGTTCGACATACCTCTGTTGCTCCACTTTTTGCCATGCTGAATATTGCAGTGAACGATCACTATGCACAGAATTTCTTGTAAATTCTAGCAGACGTCGCTAACAAAACTGCAAGTCACTCCCGGTGTTGAGTGTGTACACGCAGAGTTGGTGATTATTAACCCGGCTGGACTCGGCTTGCTCTAGTACCGACTGTCTGTACGTGTGCAGATGGTTTTGTGGTACGATACAGGCAACTTTCTCGTAGCTCGTGCAACAAAATTCTGACCAGGAACAGACATCAATCCCAAAGATAACTGTCTGGTTTCATCACCCGATTCTCGATCTATATCTCATAGCCGGGTGCTTACTTCCTCATTCGACCCAGCCTAGTATGTAAATTCTATGTCCTTGTAATTGTACAGCTCGAAAACCTGCGATTGTTGACTTGCGATGGCACGTGTACTATGCATGTATGCAGTACGTGCAGTATATATAACGGGTTTATCAAACCTCGGCCCCGCGTGACAGTATCGGATCCAGGCTTCAAAATAACAATTGTTTTAAGCCTCTTCCTGACTCCATAGATCTTGCTTCCATCATCCAATATTTAGGCGAAATTCTTTGTTAGTTTGATTCCGACAGTGAATGTTTTCAAGTGGTTCTGGAACCGAAATGAAGCGAATCCGGAACTAAGCCGTAAGTTTGGAAATGATCAGTTCGAGGTACGGATGACCCGATTGGGACATCCTCCAATATTTTAGGCTAACATTAACTAGGAGCGTCTTTACGAAGAGGACCATGACCATCGCCGTTACATTTTAATGGCAGTGTCTTGCAAAAACCTCACCTTTCTGTGTTAAGATTTTTTCATTTTCTCCACAAAGATGTCCGTTATTCATGGGTATGTATTATTTTTTTTGCACCACATCTTTCGCCTGAGGTCGCTGTTCATGATAACAAGTACTACATGACACTGGACAAAGCTGGGCCGCGTTAACCCTTGCTCTTCAAAAAGAATTTTTTTTTTTTCTCTCTCTCCTAAGAAATTTTCGATTTGTATTTTTGTTTTATTCCAAATTTGATCGTCTGCAACTCCCTGGGAAAACAAGGGCTTTTATTTAGCGCACAAATGAGCCCGCCCGCCCTCTATAAGAGCCGAATTATAGCAGCCAATTGCAATAATTCGAATTTGGAAGGAAAAAAACTAAACGTTGCTGGAAGTTTGCGTTCGCTGTCTCATTCAAAAGTAACAACTTTTGTACTGCTAGGAAAATAGCAATTGGAAAAAAAACACTTCCGAGTCGATTCGAAAATATAATGTACGGGGAACACGACTTTAATAAGCCCTAGCCCTATCCAGCATTTTCTTTAACCCTGCGCAGCGTTTACAAAAAAACTTTACAACAACTCGTCAACTGCTGCCCTTTGGGCAGCAGGTACTTTCCCGCACTACGCAAGACCCTATTCATAGCAATACAACAAAAAGCCACGTGCCAGACAGTGTCCAGACAGTTGCCAGACAGTGCGCTGGAAAGACAATTGACTGGCGGCTGTGGTATGCAGTTATGAAGGGAGATGACTGTGTCAAGTTACAGGTCTTTGTTAATGTTTCAATGAGACTTGGCAGGAGGCCTGGTCGAAAGTTTGTTGACACGGCCTGGGTGTAGCCCGGGCTGCAAAGTTCATTGAACCAGCTTATTTGGCAAGGGTCGAATGAGGATTAGATGGAAGGTGACCGTCATTGGCCCTCAATTTTTTTTTTCAAAAAATTCGGTTACCTGGGGCCCAAAGGGCAGCAGGTCACTCTGCGCAGGGTGCAGTTTACGCTACAATTCACGTATTGGCTTTTTCGATCACTTCGTTTATTTTCTCCTTCGTTTCTACTTCGTTTATTTTCTCCTTGTTTTTTTTTTTTTTTTGCATCTTTCCCCACTCCCTCTTAATGATGGTGCAACTTTTTCGCGTCGTTTTCCTCGTGAAATAAAATTGGCGGATGCCAGAAGACGTTATAACCTTTGTATTACAATGTTTGATCTTTGCACCACATTAAGACCTGGTTTGTTTGATCATTTAGTTTAAATGCAATGGGCACATGCTTTATGGTCATCGACAGTGGTGTCTCCACTGGCCTTCGCTGATACGCCACTGTCGTTCCTGACATCAAGGTACTTCATCGTCCATAAGCTACGACGGGTTTTTTTTATATACCGGTACATATATATATATATAAAACCCCTAATTTACTTAATATGAGAAGCGGTAATTTAATGTCGTACCGTGATCCAGGGGCGACGGAACCGTGGGTGGCGGGCACTTCCCCCCTACCCAGATTTTCTCAGGCCAACAAAAGTGCCCCTCTCGCGGTTATAAAATATGTGCCCCTCGAGATGAAAACAAAACTGCCCCTCAATTAACGCATACGTATATGAAAGCATGATCGCGCGATAAGTAAAATTGTCTCCTCTCTTGTAATGCAAAAGTGCTCCTCAAAAACACAAGTGCCTCTCTCGCACCGTCTAGATGAAAAAAACTATACCCCTCGAAAGCACAAGTATATACCCCTCTCGCAATAACAAAGTTGTGCCCCTCCCGAGATGAAAAATGTGCCATCAAGAACAATAGTGCTCCTCTCGCGATAACTTCTCGAGATGGAAAACTGCCCCTCAAAAGCACAATTAGTGCGCCACTCGCAAGATTAAATTGTGCCCCCTCTCAAGATGGAAAACTGGCCCCTAAAAAAATAATAGCGCTCTTCATGCGAATGAACTAGCCATCAAAAGCAACAGTACCCCGACAAACATGGTCTCATAACTCGGTAAAAATGCACACAAAGAGCAAGATGGAAAATGTATTCATAATTTGTTCCTCGTCATATAAGTTTATAGCAAAATGAACGGGACCATCATCTATTATTCACTTTCACACAGACGAAGCCGCGCCCCTTTTTCTGAGCAAGTGGGCCGTTTTTTAGGTGTTGCCCCTAAGTGTGAAAAGCGTTCCGCCGTCGCTGCTGTGATGTTTTCGAACTTAGAAACAAAGTAATCGTTAAGTTCATTTCTATTATTTTCCCTAATCCAATTCGTACCAAGTGAAATAATCATTTTAAGTAATAATGTTTGACACTAGAGCCTAAATTTACTAGTATCAGCTGTAATTTTAAGAAAGAGTACCTAATAGTTGGTAGATACGTGCGCTATATAAGACTCCGATATTATTATTATATTAATTCAATATTAAAGCCATCACAATCTTTTCCCTGCATGCAATGACCTATCAATCATCAGAAAGCAATAACATGTTCTAGAAAATATTGAAGCATTATTTTACTCAGAAAACACTTTGAAATGTTTCCAGACCAGTCTCATGTAGGGTTTGTACACAGGGTGTCAAGTATGGAATTCTTTCCAATTTTTTTTAATGTCGGATTACACTTAGCAATTGTGACAATAGCCCAAACTACAGTTGTTAGTTACTGACAGTCTAGTCCCGACTGTAACTAAGCTGTAAATAGGTCAACCATTTGGACGACGTTGTGCATGACAACAAAACTGTAGGATGTCACAAAATTGTCACTATGCAAGCGCTATGCAGTTGAGCAAGTCGAGGGGTAAGCTAGGGGGGGGGGGGGTATACATAATTTGTGTGGGGATTTAGGGTTTGTTGGAGTGTAGTGATTTTAAGATATACCCCGGGGCCTACATAATTAGGTATTTATAATATACTTTGTTATATATAGTGTTGTCGGGCCCTATCATACGAAAGGATGGGCCGGACCCGGGGTATGACGTTCCCTAACACCTATTTTTACCCAATACCGATGTTCCGAAATCCTTATAGGGTTGGGGAACATCGGTATTTGGGGAACATAGGTATTGGGGAACATAATTATGCACCCGCCGGTCCCTCTAGCTGTCATGTTGTTCAATGCAGTCTTAGGCTCCTATACCTTTTCGGCCTCTGATGCCATTTCGTTGGGCGTTGGTTGGATGGATGTGGGCTGAAGGGTGGGCTGACTTGCTGGAGGTTGACTTGGTTTCTCTTCTCCTGATGTCGGCGTGGTCTTCCCCTGAGGAGGCTTAGGTTTCTGTTGCTGCTTTTTCTTCTTGCCAGAAGACGCACTGTTGCCCATAGGGGGCATGGATGCAACGAGACGGGCTGCACAGGAGCACCTTACGATACGTTACATATAGAACTCAATCGGTTACTGATCACAGCAGAGAAGCAGGCGTCATGCATGGGCAACTAAACTGACAAGTGCAAAAAGAGGCACACACAAAGAGATATTTGTTGAACTATTCAAAAGGCGCTGTGGGATATGCGGACACTTATCCATTCTACCGAGCTTAGCAACACTGTACACGAAGCTAAACACATGTCGGCGCCCCGTGGGTTCAGTATACAGGTGCACAATGCGGAGAAAATACAAAGGTCACTCGCGAAAGGCTTTTGTAGATATTTTTCATGCTTGAAAAAGCATGAAAAATAACCTTGTTTGAAGGCCGGGAATTTTTCTAAGCTTTGAGGATGTGCTGTGGGAAACCTATTGGCTTGGTTAATATCTAGCTTTAGCTGAAGGGGGAGGTGGATAGGTGGTTACTGAGCGGGGCGGGGTTAAAAAGAGACCGTCGTCCGAGGCAGCAGCGGCGTAGCCAGGGTTGTCATCATGGTGTGAGGAGGGGGAGGGGAGATGGATGTTATACAGTCGGGGGCAATTTTTGTTAAAGTCGTTAACCATGGTCACAAAGGACTCACACATTTCCTTGGGGGGTTGCATGGGGCGACGATATTTTTTTATTGGGGCGTGCGCCCCCTCCCGGCCCTTGGCTACGCCCCTGCGAGGTACCGAACAGACCCTTGACAGGCTGACAGCACCTACCGTGACATCACGACCGTCAAGGCCTAGCGTAACGCCCTGCCAACTTCACCAGGCTACCTATAGTCACGTGAAGCTATAATCCCGGCCAAAATGGTTGGGACGCTTGGAAATCAACCTTAATTAGCCTGCCGCGGTCATCTACTCTCCCGCTCCCCTGGTCAAAGTTGTTCTCTCCAGCTGATGGAGCATACACCGCGCAATGAGAGACACCATTGACAGGGGGGTTGGGGGCCCAGCGAGATTTGGCCAGATTGTAGTGACAGCAAGCATATATCAAGGGTCCGTGCTCAATGCTTAGATATGATATGCTATGAGTGTCAAGCCCAACGGTGCAATACAGCTGGAGGACACTACACCCACGCGGCAAGAAACGCAAACTAACCCGTATTGTAGATGGACCCTTTTATAAATTGAAAACATTATTTGCCGGTATTATTTAGGATTAATTTATCGTTTAGTAAATTAAGTGATTATTACATCATTCCTGTTCCACTTATTGAGTTTTCTAAGTAAGTGTAGGCTAGGATTATTCTATAATTAAGTTAATTGATGATTAACTAGATTATTTTGTGATAAATGTGTTAAATTATTCACTAAAGCCTTAAATATAATTGGTACTCTTAACGCTCTAAAATTCTTCGTATTAGTGACGTGAACGTTTTGGTTTCAAATCTACTTTCGTTGAAACGTCTCTCACGGTAATACAGATTTCTTGCAAGCTTAAATAAAGTCGTTCGCCTGGCGTAACATTCATCTCAATGGACCACCGTCGTTTAATTCTTTCAAATAATAATTCCCCGAGGCTTTTGCATGGAGAATTTGTAAATAATAAATTACTTAACAGAACGTTTCAGGAGAGTCTTGCAGAGTTTGCGCGAAGTTGTATGTGAGGGGAAAAGTCGGGAAAATCGTGCTGCGCTATTACTTGGGAAATGCAGTTGTAGAAACACCAAGTACACGTTCCCAAAATAAAAACCTCAACCACATAAAACTTTGAACTACACGGTCCACATAAAAACATGAACTACCCGTTCCACATAAAACTATCAACTTTAATACACGGTAGAGAAAAAAACCCACTATGAATAAGAACGTGTAGTTGATATTGTTATTTGAACAGGTTCATGTAGTTTTTTTGTTCAAGTAAACTTGAATCCTCGATCCTTAATGTAGATGAGGTGTTTATATACACGTTCAAAATACAATAAAGAAATCCAATTCGTTGGATTTTTTGTTAGCAGAGAAATGTACCCTAAAAATGACTGCTGTGACATGAATTTTTCTTAGGAACATACATGTAGTTTGTGCAACTTTTGTATAATGATGCTTTATTTAGTGACAACTTTGAATTTGTGTATTAATCCGCCTCGTCACATTTCTCTTCTTCGCAAGATTATTTTTTTAAATGATTAATGTTTCCTAATTTGAGAAACAAGGGCGGATCCAGGGGGGGGGGGCAAAGGGGGCCATGCCCCCCCCCCCAAAAAAAAAACGAAACCAAATTGTTTTTATGTGACATCGCAATAAAGGCAGGCAGTGAGTACACCACCATCTTTTCCTCAAAATAACATTGGTTAAAGTGGTCAGAAATTGCCTAAGATCGCACCACAGAGCATCTAGAATCCAAAAAAATTTCAGGGCCCTTAAGCGGGCCCCGAACCCCACGCCGTAATTTTTTTGACCCACTTTTTGGGGGGACCAACATTTTGTTTGTTTGCCCCCCCCCCCAAAAGGATTGTGTTCTGGATCCGCCCTTGTTGAGAAACAGCTCTAGTTCAAGTCAATTTTATCTCCAATTTTGATCATCATATTTGTTTTTTTTTAATATTGTAATGCCCTCTCTGTTTGTTGTTTAGTATGTGCAACTTTTTTTAATGAATGTAATTACCGCAATTCCGCTTTTGCCTGCTGTAATTGAATGAAAATAAACTATTTTCAAATTCAAACTCAAATTCATATAACGTGAAGATGATTCCCCCTTTTTTTTATTATAACTTGTGTTTTAAATTTCTGCTAGCAGAAAAGTAAGGGTTTTTTTTAAATGCAGTGTTGCAATTTCAAAAAACCTAAAATACTACTAGCAGAAAATGGGAAAATACGGTTGTCCACTTTTGACGCTCCATCTTTTTTTGGGGGGGGGGCGGAGGAGCTGGGTTGGGCTGGTACCCATCTTCCAAGTTCAAAATGGGGGCGCTCTTCAAAAATGACCATTATTATGCATACTGCAAAGTAGATGCCCATTTTCACGGCGCATTGTAATGGTTTTTGAGCGGGTTTTCTTTTGTGGGATTGATGTCAGAACTCTCTAACCATTTATTGAAATAACCCCCCCCCCCCCCCCCCCCGGATGCGAAACTGTGACTGTACTAGCAGAGGGAAATGAATACCTCAGTCTCCATGGATCACCGGGAGAACTAGGCTGAGAGTTTAAGAAGTCAACTTTTGCTTTATTAATCCTCACCCACAGATCGTGCTTGATTTGAACTGCTTATTTAAGTGATTAATTAACCAAAATCCAATTAAAATTTTCTATTTAAACGTTTCAATTAGTTGAACTTTTGCCAAACCACCCTTCCATGAAACTATTGGGCCCAGCATTGAGGCGCGTGGATTTAAAAAAAAAATCCTTAAAATTTCCTTAATTTTGTCATTTCCCTTAGAAAGGACCTTGGCAGGTTAAAAAAATATCCTTATAAAAAAATAAGGAATTTTAAGTGGGAATGATTGTTCCTGTTTTAGGCCCGGGAGCCTAGTCCTACTAGAGGGCGGTGTTCATAGCCACCGTTACAGTTTTGGCGTGCAGTTCACGTAGAGCGGGATAATGAGACGGCTGTTTTGTGTCTTTGTTGTACACGTTCCTTTTGATGTGGCAAAAATCCATTGGCTGGTACGTGCAAGATGGCGGCGCCCATGGACCTACAATTTTGATCAATTCAACTTGCAGGTTTTACGCTTATCCCATTTATAAACGATTAGCTTTTTGATGGTTCTACTGTGTAGAAAGGTAAGTGGAAAGATCACCTCAACAGACCGGGTCGAAAGGTATTTAATGTGTCGAATAGGAAGACACTAAAGTAAAGAATTAACGCAGTGGCTATCGTTACGGCAGCCGTAACACATTTCCCATTTTCTATCGTTTCGGTAGTACTGCAACTTTTATAAAAACATGAAAAGAAAATATAAAATTAGAAGGAAAAAAGTGAATTTGAACGTTATGAAATTCGGACTTTATTTCCCTTTTAAAAAAAATCCTCCAAAGCCTCAGGTCAGGTTAGAAAAGGAAAAAAATTCGAGTGCAAAACTGAGATGAGAACCCGCAACCTCGCGGTGCAAAATCCTACCCTCTATCGACTGAGCTGTCGCACTGCTCGCTAAAACGTGGGGAAACAAATAATTACAAAATATACCTGCATGCGTATCAAAAAAGTAATCGTAGAGGGCGCTTAACAACGGCTGCCGTAACGATAGCCACTTCAAAGAATTAAACAAAAAAGTAGGGAAAAAAATGCTGCAACCTGACGCCACTCAGCGGTCGTGTACAAAGTCTATGGAAAGTCAAGAACATTTTAGTCAGACTCCCTATTATCGCGGCATCCCTATTATCGAAGCATGGGAAATTTCTCTTTTTGTGTTGCCAAACTCCTTCAAGTGGCGATTTTTATCCAGTTCAACAGTCATTAAGGACTTTTTGCCGAGTTGAGATGATTAAAAAATGTTGTGTCTTTCGGGACTTTTAGTTTTAACTTTTAACGATTTTTAATAAATATTAACTTTTTCCAAAACTTGCAAATATTTTAATATAAATCTGTAATGGTGCTCTGTCCATGAAAGTTCTATTGTCTGGTTCCCATTCTTCAGCTGCAAATGTAAAATGAAGTCGAAGGATGATATTTGCACCGCAAAATTGTAAAAACCTTTACGGGATAAAAATAAGCACAGCGCGTTAACAAAAATACATGTAAAACGGCACACCGTGTAAAGTGAATGGCGCCCCAAATCGCCAATCAGTAGACTTGCCTCAGTGATTTGTGTTCTCCTTTCGGGGGAAGGGTAGGGTCTTAAGAAATCATCCTGCAGACATATAGTCTTTTATCAACTTGAACGTTACAGGGAAAATATCACACTTTGTTCAGGGGATGTTTTGGTCAAACATTAACTATGATATGAATAAAAAAGTTGAGACCATTATAAACAACACTTCCCGCATACTGCGATAATAGGGAGTCCACCTCCGTTCGCACACTCTGAGCATGTCTATTTTCACAGGCATCGTACACGGAATAAAGCACACCACCGTCGGATTTGTTTATATCAATTTGAAAAGGAAGAGTTATACTACACAAAAGACAGGACAATTCGGGAAGGTTAGTGGGCAATCTCTATTCCGAACGAGAAACGTGATAAGTACCGCGGTAATACGGCGACCCATCCACTTCCTAACAAATTGGAATATCGAAATGTTTCGCAGTCCCAGATTCATGTCTTAGGCCTATATCCTCATTTTGCAATGACTGACCTTCATTGAGATGATTGATGAAGAAAAAAGTGGCGTCAGGCTACAGCTTTACACAGCATGTAGTAGCCTATGTACAACATTTTTTTTCCTTTTTCCTTCGCAAACATCACATTGCAACCAAAACTTTCATTTTTGTAAAATTTATATATTTTGCTTTCAGGCATTGTAACACTTTCCCCCTTGTTTGTTTATTGTGTTTTTAGTATTTTCCCTGGTTTCACTTTCAGGTGACCTTTTGCCCTTGAATTTAACGTGCCTCTTGCTTGTTACTTCCTTGTTGAATACATGTAGGATGGGACTCCGTATTATCGCGGTACTTATCACGTTTCTCGTTCTGAATAGAGATGCCCACTAACCTTCCGGAATTGTCCTGTCTTTTGTGTTGTACAACTCTTCCTTTTCAAATTGATATAAACAAACCCCACGGTGGTGTGGTTTATTCCGTGTTCGATGCCTGAGAAAATCGACATAGGATACCCCATTCAATCAGCACAAAAAAAATTCTGACCGACCGACCCTATTTTTTGAGAAGCATGTAATCGGAGGCAGAACTATATTTTTTGGGACTAATATGTACATGTACATGAATGATGTATGGGTAAGAAATTACTTGTGTATAGACCCATGAATGTGGCTGCCTGTATATATAGCCACGCTCCAGAGTTGCGTACAAACATTTCGTGCGTGCATGAGTCGGAGTTCCAGCATACCGTGCGTGACCTCAGAAAATCAAAAGTTCTGCTCGTATGTTTGTTGTTGTGTTGAGGTAGTTTTTTCTCCTCAGATTTCTTGGCAATGCAAAATCCTACGCTCGCGTGAATGTACAGAACGTGCCGCATGACAATTTTGGGTGTTTTTACGCGAGGCTGGAGTGTGGCGTTGTTATTGACGCCACGTTTACGGGTCGCGTACATGTATAATGTTTTGAGCTGTATTTATTTCAGAATTTCATGATTATAACTTACATTTGTATGCCGATCCTGAAAATTAGGAGCAAACTAATTCTTTCTAAGGCTGATGGAACAGAAAACTCTGTGCTGTATTTGTTCCCTTGCCTGCTATTCCTTTTTGCATTTTGTTTATATACAAAACTTTTCTGATGTCGCATGCATTTTGTACAGACTCATCATCGGCCGATCCTGAAATTCTGCTTGAAACTGATTCCTGCCAGGACCGAGTTGGAACGCACCAGTCACATGCTTTGTTTGAAGACCCACTGGCCCAGGTGATATAGAAGTGCACGTTACTGTTAGCAATGCCTCCAAGGAAGACTGCAATTGTCAGTGTCTCAATCATCTTTCTGCTGTTTGTCGGCGGAAACTTGGCAAACAAGAAGAAAAACGAAGAGGTTCAGAAGAAATGTGACACGTGCAGGGAACTGGCCAAATCTTTTAAGGAGGTAAGGCAATGACACTCTATATCATCTTGGTCTTATATTTTGTTTCAAGAACTTTCAGCTTGAACTTGTATGAGTTTAATTCTGTATCTTTCATTTTTGGACCCTCATCTTTGGCCGCTGCTAAACTTGTCATTTTTTGAGGGGATCGTGTATCTAAAGGCCCCGGTTCCTATAAGGGAACAAAATCCTTTTAAAAATTATTTGACCACCCAAACTAGTTGGCGACATTAAGAACATACAGGTATGTCATAGATAAAGGGCACGTTTTTGAATTTTTTAAGGGAAATTTGGGGTTAAAATGACGATGACAACGACAAAACGCAACATGAAAATAAAGATGGCAATCACCATGTGATGTACCGCGAGCGTGCAAGGTGCGCTGAACCTCACGGCACCAACCGTACACCGCGCAGGAAAATTATAATTTCTACCCCAAGAAACTGTTCAAAAATTACAAAAAAAGGTGTCATTATATTGAGAGAAGTCTGCTTTAGGTTAAAAAGGTCATTTTTGAGTAATAAACAACACCCTTGACTCTCATTTGATCGAAACAAAACAGGGGCCCTACACTACACGATCGTCATTACTGTTGGATTCAGGATTTGGAGGACATCACTTGATTATCTTTTCAGAAAGATGGTCAGAAATTGATTTTAACGAATTTTTAAAGAAGTATTTATGGCTTTTGGTTTTTCTTTGATTGTGTAGGGGATGGAGCGAACAGCTCGGTACAACTTTGCTGGAGGTGACACAGACTGGGAAGAAAAGAAACTTGGAAAATATTCCACCAGGTACGTAAATGCACACATGACACTATCGCTTGGGTTGTGACACAGAAGTGCAACCCTAACTGAACTCAACCCATCAAAGTTGACCAGCAGGTTTTGTTGAAATCTGTTAGAATGGGTCCAGTACCCCTAAACTGATGGTCTTTTGCACTGGGTTTGGCATACCTCCAGAAACTAAGTCCAACAGTGTGTGTGTGTACAATTTCCCATGTGGGTGTTGGAATTTGCCAGGATGGGTACGGTTCCCAGTAAATTATGCTATGGGAGTTGGGGTTAAGTCATTATTTGGTGCAGACAGGGCTCTGGAGTGCTCTGAAACGTGCAAAACTAAATCAGGCCCACTTTACTCACAGTTTAGCCAGCAAATTTCTCAAAAAATTTCACTGGGGCAAAGAAAATGTCCTCAGTATTTCACCAACCAAGTTTGCAGACTCAATTCAATTTTTAAAGGAGACTTTCTTCAATATTTTGCACATGAGAGGGAAGTCAAGTGATTTCAAAATGGGGCTAAATACTAGACTGGTACATGTCCAACCATGGTCCAACTATTTGAAAAGACTGACTTCTTTTCAGGGTCAATAGTCTGGTGGCTTGACTATGGAGAAATGTGTAGTAAATTGAGACTAGTTCCCGCTTCATGACACATGTTTCTTAAATTCTTTTGGCATGGTTGATTGATGCAGTACTGAAGCTGTGTTGGACTGGTTGTTTTAGGTGCCAGTCTATTTTCTTGTTTTGCATGTTTTCAATACCTTAAGTTTTGGGACTCTCATACACAGTATTGAGAGTCCCAAATTTTCGGACTAGATTTGGTGCATCTAACAACACCTACTGTAACACATATGGGCAATTCTCCATGGGAGAGCAAAAAATGTCAAAAATAAATATTTACATATTAAACCTTTTTTGTACTTTTTCCAGACCTCAATTAAATGGGGAATTCAGTTCAAAAAACGAAATTGAAAAAAAATACATATTTCTGGTAAAAACAGTGATTTTTGCAATTTATGATTAAAAACGTTCAGATTTGGTAAAAAAATAAAATTTTGTGTATGTATTACTTTCTGAATTATAGGGAAAAGATTTGATTTATTTTATGATGTTACAAGTTACTAACATTACTCAGGGTCATTAAAAAAAATTTAAAATATAAATATATATATATATATATAGTGTAGGCCTTCATTTAAAAATGTCAAAATTAGCACGTAATTCCGTTACCAAAAAAATGGCAAAAGTTACTTATTTCACAAATTTTCTTGTTTTTTTTCTTCAAATCATGTATGTTGAGAAAAGACCCTACTACAAACATAAATGAAAAATAAAAACTTAAAATAGTAATTTCTTGGCATTTTTCCAAGTGGTAACGGAATTACGAAACGGTAACGGAATTACGGTAACGGAATTACGCATGCACAAAGTATGCACATTTCCTCCAGGTAATGTACATGACATATTAAATTGGAGATTTGCATGTAACCTTGGACAATAACTTTAAATACTAAATTACTTGTTAAATCATTTCCCTCTTTACTTTGCTATTATACAATTAAAAATAATCAGGTGTTCCATTGATATTTTTTACTTTTACTTTTTCTTTTTTACTATTTAAAAAATGCTAATAGTTGTTTGGATGCTTAAAGGGAATATACAACATTTCCAAACATCAGAAAATAAAACTAACAAGTTTTTACGAAATACCTTACTAGGATGTTGGTAAATGATAGTCTTAAGCATCCTGTAAAATTATGGCACCTGGTATGAAGTAATTTTCAAGAAAATGATATTTTTGTACACATTTCCAACGGTGGTCGGCCGACCACCGTTGGAAAAACCTAACTATTTTTCAACTACTGCTCCAACTTTACACTCTTTCCAGTCCAAATTTTGTTTGCAACCGGGTATTTGTTACATGTTCATGAACGGGTGCAGGCCAGCTAGTCTGGTTCCCTTACCCTCCAATTTTCAGGCATTTATAAATTGACCAATTTTACCTTTAGTGGAGTCAGGGAACCAGACGACTTGAACAGTTTTGTTTTTCTTGATTTTTCCAGCATTTTCGAACACAAAACTTCAAACATGTCAGTGTAACAATATTTGATCTATTATACTAACCCCTCAAATAGTTCACTTCTGAAAATTACAGCAAAAGCCAATGATGTACATTCCCTTTAAATATGTGTTGCCAAAGCCATTGTCTGGTACCCACAGAAAATATATTCGACAACAAGTATATGAAAGTTGAGTACCAGACTGTACTTGTACTTCTACATGTTCTACTTGGCATTTAACTTAACATCTTCCCTTGCTCAGAGATGCCAACCAGTGCAGTTTTATTGTATTTTCCACGATAAACTAGTGAAATATGATAATACAAATGTTCATAGTAAAATTCGATTTTCGGTAAAAAAAATATACATTGCTAACAGGCAATGCAGCCATCACCAGACTGCTTTCATTTGACTTTGACCTTTGACCTAAAAAATGAAGCCCAGACATATTTAGGCCTACATTTACATTTTGATCTGCTAATTTTCACTTAGCTTTCCCCTTGTGGCATTTTATAAACTTCTAAAATTTGTATTGTGATGAGTTTATGTTGAATTCAATGTTAATGTATTGCATTTACCTATTACATGTAAACCTATGGCGTAATTCCGTTACCGCCCAGGCGTAATTCCGTTACCGTGATTAAAATGCAAATTATGAAAAGAGTGATTATTTTTTCAACTTTGTTCTGCATTGTAGTTAACAACACCCCTGAACTCTACAAATAACAGGTAGTGTCCAATTTTAAAATTTCCAAACTTCAGAGAGTTTTATTAATTTATGCGAGAACTCAAATATGCTTGTCCTCTGTCCGTAATTCCGTTACCGATATTAAGCTCCGCCCCTTAAAGGGAAATCTTGTGGGATTTTTTTTTTTTTAGCGGTCAATCAATTCTATTGGGTCTTGGCTCCCTTTCCATGTTTAGATTAGTTGCCTAGCATAGAACATATTTTCTTGGGAAAGAATAATCCTTGACAAAGTGACAAAATTCCGTAATTCCGTTACCAAAGAATTGCCCATATATATCACGAAGTACATGTCCCGGTAGCACGACTTATTTTATTCTGAATGTGCACAAAGCCATAGAGTCTTTGCGTGAGCGTCAGACATCATCGGCAATGCGTTTGAATGTCTCTCCCAGTGGTCTCCCCTGACTCCCCTTCTTTAACGTTTAGGGGAACTAGTGCACAGAGCCTATAGTGGAACAATGCTGAATTCCCCAGATACAGTTTTTTGGAAGTTTACATTTTGTGGGACTTATTTCTGTGATGAAAATGGATTTCTTATATTTTCTACATCCGCACACAATTTGTTGTACATGTACCAAACAAATTCATCCTGAACTGTGTATTAAAAACAGCTGTGTACAGCATTCAGACAGCTCTTTTGTTTGACTGTTTGTACATGGTACATGTATCTATACATGTAAGTGTAATACTGTGGAACCAAGAGAATTATTGATTTTTTTAAAATGAAAAACGACAGATGGTACTGCATTAATTACTTGCATACAAGATTGCAATCAGGATAGTGTTTACTCAAATCCTGCTGTCAATATTTAAATTTGAAGCAAAAGTAATGATACCACAATTATTGGAATAATTTAGTAATTTATCACGGTGGAATGTCGTATTGAACCATTCTGAAACTAACTGTGAAAGTACACATGCACGTTTGGGTATGCAACAAGAATCATGTCTTCTGTCAACGTATTTTGTGTGAAAACATATACTAAACACCCTCCTCCCAATTTTCTAAAAGTACTTGCGAATCTTCATAAGGCTAAAAAAAAAAATGGTTCTGCTTCCGGTTTACCCTACCTACCCTTTTTTGACAGTCCCTACCCTAATTTTTTTGGGAGAAAAATGAGGGGAAAATCCCAAAAATCATCAACTACTGCCTTTTACCCTTGACTACATGCAGACACCTCCATGTGATCATACACAAAAAAAATTGCTATGCCATGTAATCAGAAGAAGAGCTTTTTGGGCATAAAGCAACTGGCAATGTAATCAGAAGAAATGATTTCACAGGAAAAAAAGTAAAGTACTTGTATCATTGCCACAAAGAAAATGTTATCCAGTTCACATTGGCTAACATGTAATACACACAAAAGTTTTGCGGTATTCAGTACGGATGACAGATAAACATGCAGCGAGCGAGGCCGGAAATATCTGTCAGCAACCCGCTCGTAGTGTGCGAGGCCGGAAATATCAGGGTGTGCTACCTGCAGATGAGGGCCCGAATCCGTCTGGCATCGAGGTTCATGCAAACAATCCCACGCCTGGGTCCGGTCAAAGTCAAAATACTCCCAGTGCCAACTGGTTAAAGCTACAGTCCATCATTTGTAATTAGTGCATTTTGTTCGTTTGAAGCAACAAAAGAGTTCAAAATCTAATGAAGGATACTGAGCAACTAACCTGATGAAGTTTCAGCTAAGCTTCAGCTGTTCATTCCGAGAAAAACAGCATTCTAAGATCTCAATTTCAAATCAAAAGTTACTGAATCATGTTTTGAATTGTTTTGAATTGCAGCTATACGCGACGTCGCGCACTGATCCGACGAATTACAACAACGGCGCGCGCGTGTGCGTCGTTCCAATACTTGTGCGCGCTGCACTGAATAACAAAACAAACTACTAATTGAAATTTTCCTACGGTGCTTCTTAAGAATCACCGTTGAAAATGCCTTCTTTCATTGATTACTTCAAAATGACAGCTTCCCAGAAAGAATAATTTCATAGGGAGTTTAATTCCCTTACTATCTTTCAACCAAATTTGTTTTTCAACAATAATTACGCCAGTTACTTTTCGGATGGCTGCAAATGATGGACTCTGGCTTTAAAGCTGCAACCTTGATTTGATACTTGTCACAAGAATGTCTGGACAGTTTTAACCAAATTTACCAATTGAATTCTTTACGAGCTCCATCTTTAACAGGGCTCTACAACTTTTTATGTTCAATACATGTGTGTGCCTTTGAAAATTTTGAAATTAAAAAAAATCACATTCTAGTTATTTCTCTTCTTTTTTTTACACAGTGAGACAAGATTGATTGAAATCGTGGAACAGGTGTGTTCCAAGGATAAATATGAGGTGAGCAGTGCATTCGGTTGGATCACTTGAAAATTCAAACGAGTCGTGTTAGTGTTGGGCAGATGCATTTGTCCTGTTTTGAATACGTTACACTTTCAAAGAAACTTATGAAAACTACTGTTAAATTCAGTACGTAGACCAATGAGTTCTCTATTCCTACCCCCTTGTCTAGGTTGAGTGATCTATCTCCTCAAAGGCAGGATGTCTTTGAACAAACGACAGACACCTAAAAGAGTGTTCCTTTTAGGGTTATACTCGGAGGCAAATCCAAAACAAATCTTAACACCAAAGAGTTCGAATGACACTCAAAACTTATTGCGCTATAAATTCATGTTGTCCAAGAGTTTTTATCTGCATGTATTCATGTACGTGTTCTTGTGTCCCTGTCTTCTGCACTTCAAAATCTTTCATGTTTTGCGGAAACATTTTTTGCCCAAAGAGGTAGCACCCACACTTCAAAATCCGTTGAGGTCATGTTAAGTGGAGTAGGGTAACACTTCAAACTCCACAACTCTTTTCTGTGGTTAAGATACGTGCAAGCAGGTGGATTTTGGTCATGCTTCACTGCTCTCCACAGTGCTTTACTTGTGCAGAAACTCTCTGTATGACACATAACCCACCTCACTCCTCCAAAATCCTCCTGGCGGTTTTGGAGGATTCTAGAGGATTGAGGATGAATGGTGATTGAATCAAATGAGGATTCTGGAGGATTGAGGATGAATGGTGATTGAAGCACATGAGGATTTTGGAGGATTGAGGATGAATGGTGATTGAAGCACAAGAGGATTTTGGAGGATTGAGGATGAATGCATCTTGAGGCAGGACTGTCTGATGATTTTGAAGGATTTGGCGTTGGTTATCCTTCATTTAAACACGAGTGCAAAATTTTGAGATGAGGAGGATTTTGGAGGATTGACGATGAATGCATTTTGAGGCAGGACTGTCTGACAATTTTGAAAAATGTAGGCGGAGTTGCAAAATTTTGAGGATGGTTCTTAGCAAAAAGGGCCTAGGGGGTTAGGGTTTTAAAGTAAATGTGTCGTACAAAGAGTTAAGACTTCATAACCTTTCATCTAAAGGGCTTTAAAGGGTTTCACATATAACTGTTGCATTGAACATTGATTCCCAGGTTCTGCCACCTCAGTTCTGTGACACACAGATCAGATGATTGGCGTCAATGTTTCAAACCATGTGTTTACTTGTTGTTATTTAGAGGAAGTAATAACTCATGATTGTCTTTTGTGCAGTGCAATACCATGCTGGAGCACAACGAGGAGACACTAGAGACATGGTGGACGGAACATCAGACCGACCATCCAGATCTTGTACAGTGGTTTTGCATTGACACTCTCACAAGTAAGAACTCTTTGCCACAGATTTTGGTCATGCTATTGTTTGCGTGTATACATACATACATGTATATACTGTACAGGAAAAAATATGTCCAGTAGAATACATGTACATGTGCACGTATCTGTAGTTGGCAAGATCCTTATATCCGCTCCGTTCACAAGTACCCCCTCACCGGCAAAGAAGGTACAGTTGGGGGTGACCGACCGACGCCATCTTGCCTGACTGCAATTCATTTGCTGCGAAGCGCGGCCAACCACTGCGTGTACATAGTACATATCCCCTGGTGTACATGTATGTGCGTCACACACAAGGAACGGTGCGCGTCAACCAGCTAAATGTCCTGCCCATGGGACGTCGTTGCTACGTAAAAGGGCGCCCTCTTTCATTGGCGCACGGAGCCCATTCCCTTGACTAATATATGATTGTGTTGTTTGAATATTCCTTTAAAGGTAATATACAGGATGCCCCCCCCCCAAACAGTTGTGCAAGCAGATATCTTTAAATTTCTCAAAAATTACCGAAAAGACTGTTTCATTTTAATTTTAATATCTTGTGTACATGTATAATCAGTAAATATGTCATGGAAACCCATTCATGTAAACCAGAGCTGAAACAGATTATAGAAAGGATATGTGTTTTCCAACCATTCCAATGGGAAGTACACATTGCATTGGAAATCACTCAACCGGCACTCTGCAATGGGTCTCTTCATAAACTGTGTAACATTGGAACGGGAGAAAAACACATTGTCGTTTATAATCTGTTGTATCTCTGGTTTGCAGGAATAGATTTTCATTAAATTTTTGCTGTGATTATACACAAGAGTACAAGCAATATGCTCCATCAACATGAAATGCTGTTGTTGGATACTTTTTGAGAAATTTAAATATGTCTGCTTGCTAAACTTTTTGGGGGTCACCATGTTGCAAACATCAAAAAACAAAAATACCAAATTATTATGAAATTCCTTACTTGACTGTAGTGTAAATGAATAATAGTCTCAAGCATCTTGTGACATCATGACACCTGGTGTGCTGTCATTTTCAACAAAAATGAAATTTTTATATCAATTTCCAATGGTGGCTGGGTGACCACCATTCGCTCTTTTTACGCTCCGTCATTGGACATGCAGAGCCTCGATCTGGCAACCTTACACAATAAAAAATAGCCAGTTCAGTGATCTGAACCCCGACACGGGAACCACTGAACCGACTATATTTATTGTGTAAAGTTGCCAGATGGAGGCTGTGCATGCCCATGGAGGAAGTGTGAAAAGAGCGAATTGGTAAAAAGCTGACTTTTTTTTTTTAAGATACTGTCCCCAGAATACCAAATTTAGTTAGGCCACATTTTGTTACACATCCGTGAACGGGTACAAGCCAGCTAGTCTTGTTCCCTGACCTGACAATACTCTGACCTCTATAAATCGCTCCTTTTTGTCTGAAGTAGGGTCAGGGAACCAGACTACCAAAACAGCATTTTTTTCCTTTGTTTTTCCAGCATCCATGAACACAACACTTTAAACAGGCCGGTCTAACAACATTTGCTATAAAATACTAACCCCCCCAAAATTATCCATTCCTGAAAATTACAGCAAAAGCAAACGTTGTATATTATCTTTAAGTACTTAGTGTTTTGATCATTACAGCACCCTTGCTACTTCTTTTCCTCTTTGGTCACATGCCACTTAAAACTACCCAGAAACTCAAACAGTACACACAGAAAAGTGATGGACAGAACATTTTTGTGCATTCCAGTGACTTTACTTGAAATGTTTCAGCTTTTCATTGATTCCACTGTTGTTGTTTTTCAATTTGTCTACAGTTTGCTGTCCAGATAACACATATGGCCCAGATTGCCAAGGTACAGTATTGATGAGATTTTATGAATTTTTTTGTTATAACAGGGGGGCTGTGGTCCAATGGTTACAGTGTTCGACTCGTGTGCCGTGGTACATGGGTTCGAATCCTGATGGGGAACGTGGTGCTTGTGCTACTTTACCATTATTGCTTCGTCCTTCGGATGGGACGTAAAGCATTTTGGTCCCGTGTGTTGTGTAATGCACGTTAAAGAACCCAGTAACACTTATCGCTAAGAGAACGGGTTTGCCCCGGTGTTTCTGGCAGTGGCTGCTTAATGCACCTTATAAACCCTTATAAAGGTGCTACATAATGGGTCTCATATTTCTCAAAAACTTCATTTACCTGTCTTTAAAAATAGACATAATTACCAGCGCCTTGAGTACCCAATTGTTGGTAGATACCTGCGCTATATAAGACTCTGGTATTATTATTAGTATTATTATCGTGAGTAATATCACTGAAGTAAAGCATTTTGTTATTATTTGTTTGCACAATTTTGCTTTTATGTAGTTGTTGAATGTAGACCTGTAGACATGTGGACCTGACATGCAAAAGCAATGCAAAATATGATTTTCCAAATGGTGTCAAGTATTCACACAGCAAATTTGTAAAGCTGGAACTCATTTGAACTCAAGCGAATCTCAGATCAAATGTGTTGGAAATCTGAAGTGGCCTGTTTAGGGGCGATGGAGTTCAAGAAATTCATTTACTGATTGTGAATTTTGTTTGTTTACAGAATGTCCTGGAGGCATCGAGAGACCATGCAAAGGCAATGGAAAATGCTCAGTAAGTAATCTAAGGGAATTTTTTTTTTTTTTGTAACTTTTATTTTCTGGGGGGGAGGGGGGAGGGGGTTTGTGGCATTGTTTCTCAGTGTGGTTGAACGTGGATAAATATAATATAGTCAGAAAATTGCTTCAAAAGGATAAGTGTGAAAAGCGAAGTGAAGTGTGATAGACAAAAATTTGCTTTTGTGTGGTATCAAAAAGAATCCATTTAACCATACGCTATAGAGTACCGAAGTGAATGCATCATGTGCACAATTGTGACCTGTTATGTCAAAAGCAGACGCTTCTGGGCAGAGGTTGAAATGAAGATAAGGCAAAAAACGCTGTGGGGGCGATTTTTTTCGATTTTCAAATGTTTGCATATTTGTAATCCTGAACATGTCTAAAATATACTATAAACGTTTGAAACCCTAATTTGAACTCTAAATATAGTATTTTTGATGATTTGTTAAGGCGTATCAGTTAAAGATATTACTGTTTTGTGACGTTCGTGGCCATTTTCTCAGTTTTCTACTTTTCAACACAATAAACTTCAAAATAGCATAACTCTGCCCAGGAATGACTGGTTTCAAAAATTGAACCACCTATTAAAAGTGAAAAAGAACATATTTTAACAATATGCAAAAATCTCATTTTTGACCTTATGCCCAGAAGAGTCTGATTTTGACAGAACAGGTCACAATTATGTGTGTAAAAGACATTTGCGAGTGGTTCAGCCTGTGAACCAACATGCGTGTATAGTCCATTCCTTTGCACTACACTTCCCGTTTCAAAATGACGTCCACGCTTCGGTAGTCTATAGCTAGAGCAATTTGGGTCGGTACAGGCATTAGCAGGAGGGCCGGCAGGGGTGGTACACAGACTTAAGGGATAACTGACGAATTTGCTGTGATGTGTGTTCTTCTTTCAGGGCGGAGGTACAAGAGCAGGTACGGGGAAGTGCAAATGCAACGGTGGATACAAAGGTGAACTCTGCGATGTCTGCAAAAACGGCTTCTTCACGGAGATGAGTAACGAAACACACACAGTCTGCACAGGTTAGTCTTCATTCATAGTAGGAACGTTGGAGAGTGCTAATTGTGCAATATAAATAGATTTTGAAATTGAAAATTCTAAAAGTGGCTGGAAGATAAGACTAATGAAATCCAATTAAAATTTGGATTCAGCTCATTGAGTACTGAATAGATTGCCTTTATTAGACTAAATTAAAACAATACACAATTGCATTAAAAGCCCAAATGCTCTTCTGAAATTTTGAGATGATTTTTCCGCTCACCAAACGTCAGCGTTAAGTGAAAATAAGGGAGGATCATTTTAAGTTACTGTGTACAAAGCAGCGAAAAAGTACAAATTTTTGATAAAAATGCCAAATCTCTTCAAGTAACAAGAAGATCACAGATCGTATTGATAAAATTACTATTATCCCGACGACGAGTGGAACACAGAATAAGGCTTATTTCGCCTGTGTCCCATATGCCATGCATTACATTTTCCGTGTTCCACACACTTCATTTTCCGTGTTCCATGGGCGTGAGTGGGATAATGTTATTGCAAACTTGACGCAGAGTAAAGATGGAACATACACACTGTACACGACCTTTATCAGCGGTTTGCCTATTACAAGTGTGTGCAGCGGGAATGGCGTGCACATCTTAGAATAGTACAATAAACTCAGTGTGATGTGAACTGTGTTATATGGGATAATACCACACTGTTGTCGCCATGGATCGACCAATCAGGATCGAGAATTCAAGTTTGCTTGAAGATAAATTTTCATTTATAGGTAACATTTTCTTGATCGCCCGTTCTTTATTCAACTGCTGTGAATCTGTGACCATGACATTTTGATGGAAACTGGCTAAATATCTGTAAAAGCAATTCTAAAGATTGCTGGGTTACATTACACAAATATTCAGTGGCTCAGCGTGGAATGGGAGGAATGTTATCGCAAGGTAAAATCTGGACTTTTCCATTTCACGAGGCGAAGCCAAGTGAACTGGAAAAGTCAAGATTTTACCGAGCGATAATATTCCCCCCATTTCACAATTTAAAGCCACTCAATATTTGTTTTATATAACTGACATATAGATCCTTGTCATTTGATATATTTGAACTTTTATTTCAATACAAAGCTGGAGGAAAATGTATTTCTCTCTTCCAAACCACCCCTTCCCGAAAATGTTTGAACCCATCGCTGTAGCGCTGGCTCTTTGGAACAATACGTGCAACGCTGAACGCGCACATCAGCATGCATTTCCACACAAATACCGCGTAATGATCCTAACTGTTCAATAGTATTTCCCATTCCCCATGGGCGGATAGTACTTTTTGAGCCGCGGCGTGAATGTCACGTGATGTGAGTTCCACCAATCAAATGACAAGGATCTGTATGTCGGTTAAATAAACTTGTATATCGGCTGTTTATTCATTCGGGTAAAATTATCTTAACATTTGGACTGATTTTTTTTGTCATTTTATGCTTACTGTTTGTCAGCATGTGACGACTCGTGTGCAGCAACCTGCACTAAGGGCGGACCCACAGGATGCAAGAAATGCAAAGGGGGCTACAATATGGTGGAGGAAAAAGGTTGCCAAGGTAACCGGCCAGTTTAATAGTGACAAAACTTTGAAATAATGTGTTTTTGTGGCTATGTGTTTAGTGAACTTTGAAATAATGTGTTTTTGTGGCTGTTTCTCTTAAAGATGGACAAAAAAATTTAGGTTTTTTTTTTGGAGCTACGGTGCTTCTTGAGCACCGTTGGAAAGGCCTTCTTTTGTTGATTTCTTCAAAATGACAGCTTGCCAGAAAGAATAATTTCACAGGGAGTTTAGTCCCCTTACTATCTATCAACCAAGTATGTTTTTCCACAATAATTACGCCAGTTACTTTTTGGATAGCTGCAAATGATGGACTCTGGCTTTAAAGCTATAGTCCATCATTTGCAGCCATCCGAAAAAGTAACTGGCGTATTATTGTTGAAAAACATACTTGGTTGAAAGATAGTAAGTGGACTAAACTCCCTGTGAAATTAATCTTTCTGGCAAGCTATCATTTTGAAGTAATCAACGAAAGAAGGCCTTTCAAACGGTGCGTCTTAAGACGCACCGTAGGAAAATTTAAATTAGTAGTTCGTTTTGTTATTCGGCGCAGCACGCGCAAGCACTGGCACGACGCACAGGCGCGCGCGGTTGCTATAATTCGTCGGATCAGTGCGTGACTCGCGTATAGCTGCAATTCAAAACATGATTCAGCAACTTTTGATTTGAAATTGAGATCCTAGAATGCTGTTTTTCTCAGAATATACAGCTGAAGCTGAACTGAAACTTCATCAGGTTAGTTGTTCAGTATCCTTCATTAGATTTTGAACACTTTTGTTGCTTCAAACGAACAAAATGCACAAATTACAAATGATGGACTATATCTTTAAGACATGGGTTGTATTGCAGCTGCCTAAAGCGCCTTTACATGCCTTCGGCTCTGCCACATTGTAAGCTGCGTCCTTCCCAATTCAGCTTCTGCTGCGAGCAAGGATGATTAACCCCCAAAATGTATTTGTATGATTTTTGCAGATATTGATGAATGTAACCAAGAGAAACCACCGTGCCAGTCCAGTGAATTCTGCCAGAACTCTCCAGGGTCTTATAAATGCGTAGAATGCAATATGGCGTGTGATCAGTGCATAGGGGAGGGGCCTGACAGCTGTGTCAAATGTAAAACTGGCTTCCAAATGATAGACACTACATGCAAAGGTAAGGAGAAACTGAAAGCGAGATTGAAGAAATCAAGCCTTTTATTAAACTCTTTTCGTAAATTGTGAATGTGGTGAGTAGTGCAGTTAGAGTATCATTAAATTGGAGACCCAACTCATTTATTGTGGCTGCCATAGAGGTAATTACTAGAGTGCTAACTCATGTACAAAGTGATGCCTGCTGGGCGCATTCATGTTTGTACACAAACCTATGGCGAACAAGAAATTCTGTACGTCTTTTGTACGACGATCTGCATTTGTATTCCATATCGGTGCGTCATCGAAGCCGATACGCCCAAAACTGAAACGCACGGTCAGCAAATGAGCGTGTCATTTTGCTCTATGCAAACAGCGCAACATGTGTGCGTCCCTCCGCTGCAAATGCTTTTCGCCGTGACGTTTTTTGAACCATCATGGCGCGCTTAAGTTGTTTGCGTATCGTCTATTTGCGCGTTGCATTTAGAGTACACTATTAAAATTCAATCCACCTATTTTGATAGTGTTCTACAAACACGCACATGAATTCAAAATGTCTGCACCCAGAGCGGCTTCAAAGTGTCTCCGCGCGCAAGAATGAAGAGTTAGCGCTCTAGTAATTTAATATAGCTCTATGGTGGCTACCCATCCATTGTGGCCACCTGTCAATCATGGCCACCTTTCCATTGTGGCCACCTGACCATTGTAGCCACCTGTCCATTGTGGCCACCTATTCATTGTGGCCACCTGTCCAATTGTGGCTACTACCTGATCATTATGACCACCTGTCCATTGTGTAGCCTCCTGTCCATTGTGGCCACCTGTCCATTGTGGCCACCTGGCCAATGTGGCCTCCTGCCCATTGTAGCCACCTATCCATTGTGGCTACCTGGCCATTGTAGCCACCTGTCCATTTTAGCCACCTTTTATGGCCACCTTTTCGTTGTGGCCACCTGTCCAATTGTGGCTACTACCTGATCATTGTGACCACCTGTCCATTGTGTAGCCTCCTGTCCATTGTAGCCACCTGTCCATTGTGGCCACATGGCCAATGTGGCCACCTGGCCAATGTGGCCACCTGTCTACTAAATATTTGTGTGGTCACCTGGCCGTTGAAGCCACCTGTCCATTGTAGCCACCTGTCCATTGTAGCCACCTGTCCACTGTGGCCACATGTGACCTGTCTATTGTGGCCAACTGTCCATTGCAGACACCTACTCATTATGTTTTTCTCTCAGATATTGACGAGTGTGAGACAGACGAGACTTGCAAGAAGGAACACATGTTCTGCAAGAATGTACCTGGCAGCTTTTTATGTGAATGCGAGGAGGGTTATCTACAAAGTGCAGATGGCTGTGTCCCTAAATCAATTTGTAAGTTGTGAGAATCTTTACTTTTTGATTTTGCTGGTCCCAGAGAGCCAGCGTTGTGTCCTCCTTGCACCTGACTGACTGACTCACTGACTGATTGACATTTTACAATTGTTGACTGCTGTGATGTGGGATATGACGTTTTTAACACCCGAGGGGTGCCGAGGGTGCTATGCACCCCGAAATATTGTCCAATTGTGAAATATTGTCCAGTTGTGAAATATTGTCCAGTTGTGAAATATTGTCCAATTGTGAAATATTGTCTAATTGTGAAATATTGTCCAGTTGTGAAATATTGTCCAATTGTGAAATATTGTCCAATTGTGAAAATATTGTCCAGTTGTGAAATATTGTCCAATTGTGAAATATTGTCCAATTGTGAAATATTGTCCAATTGTGAAATATTGTCCAATTGTGAAATATTGTCCTATTGTGAAATATTGTCCAGTGACACGATATACAAAATGGACACGGAATGCGCAAAATCTGAAACAAACAAAACTTAAGGTACAAAATTCCATAGGGTTGTCTAAGGGCGATAGGTCAATTGGGCGAATCCGTGAATGGATGCATGCATGCTGACACTGTGCGCGGTTGCAATTCTTAGCGAGAATCGTCGGTTCAGTGTGTGACATCACTTTGCAACAATCGTCTGAATGAGAATCATGTCTCAAATGCTGATTTCGGGATTGTGTCATAACTCGGCAACTTTTGAATTGAAATCGAGATTCAGAATATTGTGTTTTCTAGAAATATACAGCATTCACAGAGCGAACGCTTCATTGGGTTAGTTGTTCAACACTGGTCTTTAGATTTTGAGCACTTTCGTTGCTTCAAATGAAAAAAATGCATAAATGACAAATGGTTTGCTCTACCTTATTGGCCAAAATGTCATGCAGCGTGTGTTGCTTGCAAGTGGGTCTCCCCTGTTTTTGGTTAGCATGTAAATCCAAAAATTTAACAGCAACAGGACGACTAAATTCCTTTGTAGACTACGGTTCTTCACCGCTACTAGGTTTAATCTCAGAGCCATCAATATTTACTATTATACAACGCCTGAATAAATCCCTGTCGTCTGATTGGTGGGTCGTTGATCACATGCCATTGAAGTACTCGTCCAATGCACGGGGCGGCAGCACGGCAAAAATATACGTTCTACACTTTTGCCGGCTCTGACCAGTCAGATGACAAGGATTTATTCAGGTGTTGAGTAAAACAAAAAAGGAATGTTTCACATTCGTGCAATGGAAAAAAATTATTTCATTCAGTGACTGGGCTTCGTCTTGTGAAATGGAACGTATCATCTGTCGCCATATGAAATTATGCTCATTGCACTCACAAACATTCATTATGTGTATTTTATACAACACCCGAATAAATCCCTGTCATCTGATTGGTGGATCGGTGATTCGTCCGAACGCACAGCGCGCACGTGGCGCGCAGCGCACAGTGCAATGGAGGTTCTATCGCACGGTGAATAAAACTTCCATTGCATGGTGTCACAGCTGCCGGTGGTGGCGCTGTTTAAAATCAAGATATATTGAATATGATTGTTCTCAACCTGTTGAACAGTTTGCATAAATTAAATATGATGAACTTGTCGAACTTTCCAACAGTTTTTAATCCGAATAAATTGGCTATTAAAAGTCAACCAATCAGATGACGAGGATTTATTCAGGTGTTGTATAAAATAAATAATGAATGTTTCACGTTCGTGCAATGATAAGAATAATTTCATTCGGTGACAGATGAAATGTTCCATTCCACTCGGCTTCGCCTCGTGGAATGGAACATTTCATCTGACACCTCATGAAATTATGCTTACCATTGCACTCACAAACATTCATTATTTGTGTACTATTAGTTAGTCGGATAATCAATATTCAACCTTTTTTTCTTCCTTTTGTTTGTAGTGGAAGGAAAGGATATTCTACCGGACCCCTCGCTGAGTCTTAAAGGTGAAATTCTAATCTATCTTCTTTACTTCTTTCTTTTTGTTGGGTCCATTTTGGCCAGTAGAGGGAGCCCTATCATGGCCGTTATATTTGGGATGGGACTTGGGGTGTGGTACATCACAAGATTCTTTGCTCAGCATCAGGAGGCAGTAAGAGACACATGAGAATTGTAGGCTGGTAGGGGGAGGGGTTAGTTTGGGAGGATGGGGGGTGTTGGAAAAGGGAGGGGTGGATTTGAAAAGTGCACATTCATGCTTTTATTCCCCTTCAAGTAGCTTGGCATTCTTTCACCTTTTCATTAATTAAATAGAGGTTTTTGAAAAGGGTTTTTACTGAAACAATACATTAAAGCTATAGTCCATCATTTGAAACTATCCAAAAAGTAACTGATGTAATTATTGTTGACAAACATACTTGGTTGAAAGATAGTAAGGGGACTAAACTCCCTGTGAAATTATTCTCTCTGGCAAGCTGTCATTTTGAAGAAATCAACGAAAGAAAGCCCTTTCCAACGGTGCGTCTTAAGACGCACCAATGGAAAATTCCGTCAGTAGTTCGTTTTTTTATTCGGCGAAGCGTTGGCACGACGCACACGGGCGCGCGACTGCTATAATTCGTTGGATCAGTGCGCGACATCGCGTAGCTGCAAACGGCTCAGAGAGAATGTGCCTCGGACGCTGAATTCAGGCCTAATTCAAAACATGATTCAGCAACTTTTGATTTGAAATCAAGATCCTAGAATGCTGTGTATCTCAAAATATACAGCTGAAGCTGAGCTGAAACTTCATCAGGTTAGTTGTTCAGCAGCCTTCTTTAGATTTTTAACACTTTTGTTGCTTCAAACAAACAAAATGCACAAATTACAAATGATGGACTATACCTTTAAAGTTATATGTAGGGGTATCCAGTTTCGAATAATTTAGTATTTGATTACTCGAAACTGCATTTGACCGAATATTCAAAGCTGCCGGCTGCAACTGCGTGCGCGCGCCAGTAAAAAGTTGCACAAAGAGTGTGGCAGTCAAAATTTGTAACTGTAAAAGTGTTTTAACCTGCTAAAAGGATGGGAACAATGAACACGCCGTCTACAGAAATTTTACTTTCGACAAAAAAAGTGGCACCTGACAATAAAGCGCCGCAAGTTTATGATAAAAACATTACAGTCATGGGTACATGTATGTGCATGTGTTTTTCTGTTTTCAAATATTCAAACCAGCAAAAAGCTATTCGAATATTCGGATGATGATTGAATATGTGAGTATTTGGTATAGTCTGGACAGCCCTAGTAATATGGCATCTTTTATTGGAGAGATTTTATTTAGTCCAGTCTGTCAAAATGCAATAGACCACTTTTTAAGGAATTCTGTAAAGTTGATAATTAGCTTAAGCGTGAGTTATTGAGCAGTCCGCTACCTAAAAAAAATCCTCCATTATTTGCTTGAAAAAAAGGGCAAAAATCCATTTTAAAGTTTACTTTCGGACAGCTTTGAGTATACAGTGCTGTTGAAATTATGTCGGTGAAGTTCAAACCAATCACAGGGTGAGTAAAAAAACCACCAAAACCCAAATGTTGGGACCATTGTTTAAAGGACGTTCTGCATGTAGCATTTTCAAAATTTAGGATATGAAAGCCCAATTCATAAGCTTCCTTTTAGTACAAGAATCATTCAAATCACTCATGAACTTTTCAAGTTACGGAATTTTAAACACAACCACCGTTTTCAGGTTCTGTCCACGGATCACAAAAAAAGTTCAGTGTTCTTTCAGCAAAACGAAAACAAATCACATAGGGATGCGTGTGAATTGTTTTCGTTTTGCTGAAAGAACGCACACCTTTTCTGTGATCCGTGGACAGAACCTTAAAACGGTGGTTGTGTTTAAAATTCCGTAACTTGAAAAGTACATAAGTGATTTGAATGATTCTTGTGCTAAAAGAAAGCTTATGAATTGGGCTTTCATATCCTAGATTTTGGAAATGCTACATGCAGAACTTCACTAGAACAATGGTCCCAACATTTGGGTTTCGTTTTTTTGGACTCGCCCTGTATTTAATTTACTGGTACATGTACATCCATGATGTAGTAATGGTCTAGGAGACTACAGACTGGGAGTTTGAGGTCATTTCTCTGAATCATTAGTTAGACATCATGGCTTATTGGCTCTGTCAAGGACATTGTATTTCCTTTCATAATATTGGAATTGCACATTTATATTTAGTGATTTGTAAAATGGGCTACGTTCAATAATAACAATATTAAATTTAGGTTTTGCCCTTCACCGACGTATAAACACTGTATACTCAGTGTGTTACCTCCCGAGTGAAAGTTGGACAAAATCACTCGGGTGGGACTCAAACCTATGACCTCCTGCTTTGTAGTGCAGATGTCTTACCACTCGACCACCGAGCTAACGGGATCGATTGGCTGGTTCGAATCTGATGTACATAGCAGCGGGTACCGCATTAATATTCATAAGATGGGATATTTGCGTCGGGGTGATGTATATCAAATTTAGGTTTTGCCCTTCACCGACGTATAAACGCTGTATACTCAGTGTGTTACCTCCCGAGTGAAAGTTGGAAAAAAATCACTCTGGTGGGACTCAAACCCACGACCTCCTGCTTTCTAGTGTAGATGTTTTACCACTCGACCACCGAGCTAACAGGATCGATTGGCTGGTTCGAATTTAATGTACGTAGCTGCGGGTACCGCATTAACTATTCATAAGATGGGATATTTGCGTCGGGGTGATGTATATCAAATTTAGATTTTGCCCTTCACCGACGTATAAACGCTGTATACTCAGTGTGTTACCTCCCGAGTGAAAGTTGGAAAAAAATCACTCGGGTTAGACTCAAACCCACGACCTCCTGCTTTCTAGTGTAGATGTTTTACCACTCGACCACCGAGCTAACAGGATCGGTTGGCTTACCATATTGCCGTTGAAACATGTAAATTTATGTAAAATGGGCTACAATGTATATTATAACGCCATTATATATACACCATTCTTGAATTTCTTGTTCAAGGACGCCATTTTTATTTATCTTCTATCTTGTGCACTATTTATGAGTAATATCTCCCATCCCATTTGATGTTGTGGAATTTTTGTATATTTAAAATAGTTTTAAGTCATCAGGGTTCCCACGGTCCAAATCCTGGAAACTCCTGGGGAAAAAAGGTGTCCTGGAAAAGTCATGGAAAATTGGGAACAATAAAATAGTCATGGGAAAGTCATGGAAAATTGGGAACAATAAAAAAGTCATGGGAAAGTCATGGAAAATTGGGAAAAATAAAAAAGTCATGGAAAAGTCATGGAAAATTGGGGAAAAACAAGTCATGGAAAATTTGGAAAAACAAAAAAGTCATGGAAAGTCATGGAAATTTGGGAATAATAAAATAAGTCATGGGAAAAGTCATGGAAACCAAGATTATGTAACCATGGTAACTAGGAGTATTTTTGATGGGTCACTTTTGATTTGATAATGGAATGATGATTATTTTTAAAAGCTAACAAATGGTTAGCCCAACATCAGTGGTTCGTCAGTGTCATAATACCAAACATATTCTCTGCAAAATGGCGTTGAATGTCAGGGAAATTGTCATATTTTATTCCTGGAAAGTTCTGGAAATGTCATGGAATTTGGTTTTCAGATTTCTATGGAAACCCTGGTCATTGAATCACTTCTAAATAATTCTCCAAATGCAACATGCAAGTATTTCTCCAAATATTAAGTTTAAAATGTAATTTCAAACGTTGAAAGAAAATGCAACTGGCCATATTTGCCAGAATAAAAGGGTTTTGCATATATATATAATGGTAGTCTTGTTTGGAAATTGTACTGAAAGTGCCCTTTTAAACATTTTGTGCGAAATTGTGTTTGACTTTATGTAGAATTTAGTATCGTGTGACCAAAGATAGCTCTTTTTAATAATCATGCACTATAAGATATTTCACTTGTTCAAAGTACTTTCAACGTGTGTGTTCCATTGATAATTAAATTACACAAGCTTGTCTTCCTCCAGCTATTTAACCTGTCTTTAAACCAGAATTTAATCTGTTGCTCTGATTGCTTCAATAAAGGTATGTAGGTTAGTTTGCACTTTTTGCCAAAAAAATGCTTATAAAGCAACAAAATTGCAAAGCAATTGGCGTAGGGTGCATAATAATGAACCTGTTGAAGTTTTAGCTAAGTGGCTACTTTACATTTTGAGAAAAGAGAGATTTCTGATCTCATAAGTGGTTTCCGTTGGTTGCACTTCTGTTTCAAATGATGCTGTTTCATAGTTATTTTTAATGATAACACCAAAAAAAAGTACAAAAATTGGTAACTTTCAAAAACCATTGGACATACTTGAGCGAATGCACCAATGGCGTACTTACATGTACAATAGTACGGCAGACAGGTGATGAGATTGTTCATTGATGATAAAAGCATGGCATGTGGCACACAGTAAGAGTATGTCATGAGAAAGATATTTGGCAATAGGGCCATTGCAGATTTGTCCTTTCAAAAATTAAAGGTAAAATAACAAGCAATGGCAGCCATTTAAAAAAAATTGAAAATTCTACCTATATTTTTTTCAAAGGACAAATCTGCAATGGCCCTATAGCCAAATATCTTTCTCAAGACATTTTCTGACTGTGTGCCAAATGCCATGCTTGTATCATCAAAGGCACAATCCCCCCACATAATTCCCCTATCTGCCCCACTACATTGATATGGATCCCAACAGCATTCATAGACAGTGGACGTTCCAATCATGGCCTTTCACCAATAGTGCCCCTCTCACTGACCCATGTGACTTGGCCTGCATCCCAATACCGGAAAGTCAGCATCGCCATTTTAGTAGGCAAATATCATATTGCGCTTCGTGCACTGGGTAATAGGCAAGCCTTCAAAGCTGTGGATGGCAAAAACTGTGAGAAAAACGCGTAGCCAACACCCAGTCCTTGGTCGGCACATGATTGTGACAAATGTACACGGCACAGGTAGTGACCATTATGCCATTTGGTAAAGAATTTGCGATTATTTTACCTGAAAATAAGCCCTACTGTCCAGTTCACAATGCACGACGTGGATGCGAACCAAACGCTTGCCTACTGCAATGGTGGCCAATTGCCGGGAACTTCCAGGTGGTCACGTGGTACTTTGATGTCATATGATCGGACCCTATTTGTACGAGTTCGTGTTTTGAGTTCATTTTGTGCAACATGCTGTTATCCACCCACTGGGTTTGCTGGTGCTTTCAACACCTGATCTGACGAAACCCCCTCTGGCCTTAGAAGAGAAAAACTGGAGCTGAACAAAAGGTTCAAAACTCTTTGAAGCTCTTATAGTTGTGTTGCAATAAGTGGAGTACTAGTCTGTCATGTAATATATATGTTGCTTGTTAATTTGCTCTCGTTATTTATTGATTTTTTAACCTGGTGTGATTTTCAATTTTGTATTGTATTGGCTTTGTGAAGTTGTGCTTCTTTAGCATGATTTCACCTGTACTACCAGTATTGTTGATTTTTGGAGTTTTTTGTTATTTTACTGGCACGACTGTAAGTAATTTATAATAAGATAAGTTGTTGTGGACTTGCGGTAGCACCATGTGGTTAAGTATATTTTGCGAGTATGTGTGGTTCTGAAAAGTAACAACTGTATTTGTTTAATATAGTGACAATGTATATTGTAATAAAGTAAGTTCATTGCATGAACATGCATGGTGGTCAAGGTCAAACTAAATGCACTGTTTTGTATGTTCCTTTTCGTTTTTAACAAGATTTTGTGTAAGATTGATTTCACTGTGTGTACAATCCATGGTGTTTGTCAATCATCTGTTCTCAGGGAAACAGCCTCAGTGTTGCTGTTTGCCATCTGATGCAGGCTGAAAATCAAGCTGGTTTCCACTCTTGTATCTCAATAAGTTGTTAAAAGCTCTTGTATTGAACAACTTAAAAATAGCCTTGTTGTTTCTTGGTACGTTCTCAACAGCTTTGCAAACACTGGTGTGGATGGAACCCATTTGCAACGGTTTGCAAACCATTACATCGTTGATGTCAGAGAGGTACAAGCTGCGCGGTGTTGTTTTGCAAAGTTTCTGTTTTAGCTTGACTAAACTTGAAACTAAATTATTTGTTGTTGTGCCACCCCTCCTTTGCAGATGGTGATGCTCCACCTGCTGCAGAAACAGATCAGGAAGCAGACAGTACCACTACCAAAGGAGGGGAGGCCGACAATATCAGTGACGAATCTCTGAGAAGGGAAACAGGGGAAAATAAATCCAACACTGAAGAACAGAATGATTCAGTGGATACAAACAGTTTAAGAGCTGAGGAAATGGAGAGTATGGAACAGCATCATGAAGAGTTATGATGTCTGTTTTTATTTTATATTCGAATTGGAAAATATTTCCCTCATAGTATTTATAAAATGTCTTTTTTTCACTGAGGCATTGTATCAAGTTATAAATGAAAGGTCACTAATTTTAGGCGCCATTTTGTAAAAAGAAGTTAACGAACATCTCCTTACTTTAATGCTAATGTTTAAAACTAAGCAATATTGACGTAATTCAACCACGATATTAAAATATATTAAAATATACGATTCCGATTGATGTGAAAAAAGCGTGTTTCTCTACAGCTAGCTTTTTCTTATAAAGCTTGAAGTGGAACATGCAAGTATAGTCTCAAAATGCACTGCAAAAACTGCGACTACTTTTTAAAACAATTTACACTCCCTAAATAATGCCAAGTTAACACTAGCTGTTGCATCAGGAAAAAATGTTTTGTTCTCTTTTTGTATGCAATTTTTAGCTGTTAAACTGGGCTCAAGGTAGATATGAGGCTCTGTCTAAAACCTACTTTTTTTAAAAACAGTAACCGGTATGGTATATATTACAAGTCTGATAGGATATGGGACCGCTGTCCGCTTTTCAAAACTTTCCAGGTCAGCATCTTCAAACTCTATAAACTACAATGCCAAACTGCAAGCTTTATCGCAAAAAGTTACGGATTGTGTTATGAATACAGTGGATGTTTTTTTTTTTCAACTTCCTAGGAAATGTATATATACATCGTCTCGAAATTGAGATGCACAAATGTCAGATATACCTTTGGTACTCAATGTGGTCGGTAGCCCTGCCTTTATCTCCTGTACTATTCAACCATTTATTACTGTTATTTATCTCTACGTAATATTCCCCCAGAATTGAGCGGAGTTGGTGAAAGGTATTAAAACATGGAGAATTTATTTGTATCTTCTATTGTGAGTTTGACTTTAAGAATTATTCTCTGGAAATCATCCTTATTTAAAAGCAAAAGCAGAACTTTCTAAGATGCTGCAGATTGTTCCAAGTTGGGATCTTGGGGGGAGGATGGTTGGGTCGGCTAAAACAATCCCAAATTTCCTTCAGTTCCCTCAAATAATTGACTAATAATCAATTCAATATACACATCTATGTTCATTGCTTTAGATGTTTTGTCTATTTTTATGCCTGACTGCAATGCCACATCTAGCTTGGACTAAAATGACTAAACCGCAACTGTGCTCAGTTACTGATTGGAGTTTACTATAAACGAAGCAAAGATACTATTATGATGAGCAAGCAAGTTTGTAGTGAAATTCCTACAGCAGCTGTATATATTATATGCAGTCCTGGCCGAAGAAATAAAAGTCAGTTAAGTCCTTTTTTGTTCTGAGTTCTGCCCTATAGGCCAAGGCATTTTTGAGTTCTATTGCCCATTGTGTTCAGTTCTTTGGACTGGGCAGGGCAGGGCATTCCATTCTACGCGTCGGTATATAAACCAGGAGCACATGCTTTCACCACCCCACTCCTTCGCTGTGTAGAGACTTGGCAGTGTTATGGTCGTCTACTCTACAGTTCCAGTCGCCATTTTTATGCCATATGTGTCCAGATAGGGGAATAGGAACCATTAGGTAGTGTTTGCTCCTTACAGTGACTCTTCCCGTGGAAGGACACACTACTTTTGTATATACGCCCGTAAATAAATATTATCGACCAAACCAAGAGAAGTTTGACGTACAACCAGGAGTCCAAAAGAAGCCGCTGCAAGTTTAGAGCGCAGACTCCAGATGATTAATTTAGGGTTAATATTTATAATAAAACTTAGTCCCTAAAACTCAGTTACTGATTGGAGTTGACTAACGAAGCAAAGATGCTATTATGATCAGCAAGCAAGTTCTCTGGTGTGTCGTACTCGATGACCTCTCCGTCTGCCAGGGTCAGAATGGAGTCGGAATCCAAGATGGTGGCCACTCGGTGCTGTTTGAAATGATAAGCAAATAAAAATCAGAGTTTTATACAGCGTGTGTCAATAAAAACGCAGGATTAGAAACAAAAATATTAAGAATATAAACCACCCTTATTCATCATAATGTTAACCCTCTTTTCAAAGTACCTTTCCTTCTCTTCACTATATGCTTTTTATCCCATCTCATTTGGACAATCCTGTCCAGAGATAGAGTACATTGAAGAAGGGTTATAATTCCAAGCTGGTCTGATTTGTGAAATCACACATACCTAATGAAAGGTTTGAATTCAGTACAGGTGAAAGTATTTGTGGATCACAAAGAAGGACATGTCTGGCAGGATTAGGCTTACATTTGATATGTCAGAGACGACATTCATGATGCTTTGAAACAATGATAGTCCAGTTATTAAATTTAAGTTATTCTTATCATCAGTTGTTTCAAAGAAAGTTTTGTTCTGGTTTAATTGTCTTCAATGCATACCTGCATTGTACATAACTGGTCGTTGTGTTTAGGTCATTGAATCAGACCAACCCGCTTCAGAAGGGCTTCACAAAACTTGTCATAACTTTTGAACCAAAAGTCCAAATTCCACCAAACAAAAATCTTGTCAAAGATGAAATTATGGAAAATCAAATCCTTATCAAATTAGGCACTCCAGTAGCATAATTTTCTCAGAAAAAAATCGCTTTGAATCCTGCGTTTTTATTGACACACGCTGTATATGCACATATTGGGACTCTTACCAGGGCCAAATCTCATGGCGCTGCTAAACACAAGAAAAGTGCTTGCTATAGCAGAACATGTGCTGACCAGACCTTCAGCACTATTTCATGGCATGGATGAGCTAACCGTTGTTACGTAACTCTCTAAGTTAAGCAACTTTTTCCTTTTGAGGTAAGCATGTATTTTGCTGTGCTTACTGCCTACGGTCTCCATTAAATAGACGGAAGCTCTACTTCTAGCAGAAATGTGCTTAGCAGTGCCATAAAATTGGGCCCTCCAGTGGTGTAATCCAACAAAACAATTTTGTTTCTTTTCAGAACTTTGACCTTCCAATACAAAACATAGCTTTAAAGTGAGGTTAACCCTGCAGGGCCCGGGGTTGATTAAATCTGCTCAACTGTCTGCTCAACTGCCAGTGTTCCCAATTGTCAATCAGCCAAAGCAGCCCTCTTTTGTTAGAAAGTAAGATCACATGACTGTCGCTTCCTGCATCTTGATGCCATCTTCATTATTGTGTAACATTGAATTCCACTTTAATCCCTATCTCTGGCCCCACCGTTAGGCCCTTCCTGTGAAAAATGTCAAAAGTAACTTAAGAAAATTAAATCTGCCCCCAAATTTGATGGAATTTCACACCGATCCTTTCCGGCAGTTTCACTCACCGCGATAGTTAAGACGGTGCAGTCAGCAAACACTGTGGCAACAACTTCCTGAAGAATCTTATCCTGTTGAGGGAAAAAGTGAAACACTATTAATATCGGTGCAAAATTGCTAAAATCAATCACAGTAACCATCTCTCTGCCCTTACAGGTTCCCATTTAGTCCTGGGTTGAGAGAACTAATGAGCAACAAAGTGCCTTGCCCAAGGGCACACGCACCGTAACCCCAGGCTGGACTTGAACCAGACTGGGACCGTGATAGACCCGTGAACGTGGCGTTGTATAGACCCGTGAACGTGGCGTTGTATACAACGCCACGTTCTTATGTCATTTCGAACCTGGCGAAATCGATCCGACATACATAATTCCGTATGGGTGTTGAGTACTCACCTAGAAATCTAAATTTGCCCGTCCGATTGTTTCGGCTGTGTAATTTCGACGAAATTTGCCCATCAGTAAAGACCCATACGAACGTGTAGAATTAGATTTTAACCTGACAAGTGACCCTGACAACTGACCCCGGACGAGTACCCGGGTCATTTGCGTGCAACAGATTGACGGCTGTTTCATGTCGCAACCACGAAAAAAAACCCCGCAAGATGATTGGCTGCTCGGCTCACGTGTGCGCTTGCACTAACGCGCGCATGCACTGCACTGCTGCTCGTCTGTGTGGGATCGCGTGTGTACAGAGTACGTAATACAGGTCAGAATTTTCACTTCTGAATGAGCACTATTTGCACATAAAAATCATTGAAACACTTATGGAAGCATTACCTCCTTTGTAAATAGTTTAAAAGTAACAATCAAGGTAACTGGGATTAAAAATAATAGATAAAATCTCACAGTGATCATTTACTATTTTGTGCAACGAAGACCTGGCGGTCTATGTAATGTGTGTAAAGTACATGTACATGCACATGATGTATGCACACATGTGATGTCTTGTTACATGTACATGTACATGCAGCATACATGTGCATACATGTGCATACATGTGCATACATGTGCATACATGTGCATACATGTGCATACATGTGCATACATGTGCATACATGTGCATACATGTGCATACATGTGCATACAGTACATGTACGTGCACGGTGTAAATGATATAATGTACATCATTTTACAAGTGCACTAGCTGCTGCATTGACTGTCTTTTTTTTAACATTGTTGTGTGAGGAAATTCATTTTCAACTTCCGAGCTTTAAACTATTATTGGCAGAGGCAGTTTCACGCACTACGCGCTATTGGTTTGCATTTATATTGGTCAATGGGTGTATGTACATCATGTTCATGAGCATGTTTCATATTTAGAACTGGAGCTTATTGAAAATCCTCAAAGTACATTGTTTTGTCAGTCGTGTAACACTAAATCTTAGTGAATATCATCAAACGTTTGTTTTTTGGTTTGTTCATGTATAGACCTGTCACTTCTGATGTGATTAAGGACATTCAAAGCGTGTTTTGGTTTTTGTTGGTGAGTTGAAGGGTACCACTACATGTTGTTTCAGTTGAGCATCACCTGAGTGAACATCATCAAACTTCACTTTGACCATGGATTTGAATAATTGTCTCAATTGTCAGCATCCTTTTGAGAAGCAAAACAAAAATAAGGGATGGAAAAGGGTTGGCATTCGAGCATTGCATCTCTCACCAAGTAATTTTGGAGGAACAGATGGATACATTTGTTGGTCGTGCAAGAATTATGTAATAAAAACCATCAAAGTGACGCCCAATATAAAAGGCAAGAGCATGAAGAAGAGAGTGCTCAGTTCACCATGGAGCATTCGAACTCCAAAGGCCCGGCGCATGAAATCTCCTAAGTCATGCAGGTCTACGAATAAAATTTCATTCAAAGACAGGGCCAAGTCTGCCATAAATGACAGCAAATATGAAATAGCCTTCAGAGCGCTTTTGGAAAGTAGCTCTGCTAGCGAAGCTTTCTTGAAAATTGTAAGAAAAAAGATTCAGGAAGAAGTCAAACACTACCCCAAAAAGGGTAACTTTTCTCGGTCTGCCAGTACTTTCGAAAACCTTCATACCTGGAAATGGAAGGAGGTTATTGAGGAAGCTGCTTTACACATGCCAGTACTTGTGAATGCACTTCAAGGTAGTCTCCCAGACCCGGGAAAGACTAGACCAGGACCACAGATCTTCTGTGGTAGGAAAATAACGTATAAAGAAGAAGCTGAACTCTTGGTTCAAATGCGTGTGGGTTTTCTTCTGTCCGTTATGTTGTACTCTCACAAGGCCATGATTTTCAAGTTCATCCAGAGTTGTCTTTCCCTGCAACTTTGGAGACACGGTTGCAGCCAAGCACTCATTGATTGTCTACATAGTCTTGGAATCTGCCAAGGAATGTCAGCCACGCGAAGCACCCTTGACAAAGCGTGTTTGAACTCCAAAACCAAAGTGAAACAGTGGCAGCATGACATTGAAGGCATCATGACACAAGCAGAGGAAAGACCTACAGGTTGTACATCTGAATCAACATGTACACCCGTTCAGGGTGCTAAAAGGAGATTATTTTCAGGCGAGGAATGGGATAGTGATGGTTGGGACAGTGACAAGAGTGGAGGTACATGTTCAGATGGATCATTAAGCAGTTGTGATGACAGTACTGGTGACTTGTGCCAAGTTGGTCCATCGCAAGAAGAAAAAATCCAAGTGGATGTACATGTACCTTCATGTAGCTCATCTCAAGAAAAGACACAACAGGAAAACACAGGAGATGTAAGTAAACAAGATGATGCAGTTCCAAAGGGTGCGGACAACAGAGGGGATGAGACAGGGATACCTGGATACTGTATCACTTGGGATAATGTCCAGATCCAAACAACAGCACGTCGACAATCGCGTGAGCAAGGTAACAAGTTCAAGATTTGGGCAAATGCATTTGCCACAAAGAACAGAATTCCTGTTGGTGAGGAGTCATATTGTGATGTTGTCCAGGCAAAGTGCATTCCACTGAGTAAGTTTCTGCCCTCTCAGTGTGATTGGGATGATTTGAAAGCTCAAGTTTGTGGTGTTGTGGAACGCATTCTTAAAATGCATTTGACATTTCTTGGGAAGGTGAAGTGTTCACCCTCGGCCAAACATGTCTACAGTGACCAAATGAAGGGCAAAAGTGAGATAGTCAACTTGGGTGTCATTGAAGAAAACCCCTCCACCACGCATGGAACTGTTCGGATCATGACTGACCTCCATCAGTATGTTCCAACAAACAGTAAATCTATGCATCCTATTGTTTGCTTTGGCGATGGCTTGTCGATTGAGCGAATGCTTGACTCCCAAAAGTCAAGATGTACAGGTCACACTATGAGAACAAGACTCCAGGGATTAGTACCATGCCCACAGGAATTCCACAAGCGAGGCATTCTTTTTCAAGACACAATTACCAAATTCTTCAAAGGTAATAGTTCAACTCAGCGAGGATCACTCTATCAATTAAAGCAAGCTTTCAATCACAAATCGGTGAACAAGAAAGTGATGGAAAATTTCAATCATGTGGCTGATTTGCTCCAATTCACCACCCATGCTTACTGCACAATGCTGGCTATGAAACTTGGTCGGATTCAAACAACAACTGATGCACCGTCAAGTTTTCCTTCTTGTGAGCATCCCACAGAGCAGAGTGAATGGCTTAGCAACCTCGCCCATGAGGTTGTCGATTTCATTTGGCCCCAATTTCCGTCTGAAGAAGTCAATACTGTGTGCTCACAAAAGGGCATTGATTCTGAAAGCAAGCATGCTGCATCACGTGTACACGTGCATCACCTTGAAGGGATGAAGGATGCTACTGATGCTGAAGATGATGGTTGCAAATGTGGAGAGAGTACAGGTGAGGATATGGTAAGGTGTTCAAATTTTGACTGCAGTTGGTTCCACCATTCTTGTGTTCAGCTCCAGGAGGTTCCTAAAGGTGATTGGTGGTGCTCTACTAAGTGTAAAAAGTCCAAGTCTTACATTTATTGCCACTGTCACAAGAAGACTGGCCATGAGGATGAAATGGTACAATGCGAGATGCAAGATGGATGCACCCAAAATGAGTGGTACCACCCTGATTGTATTGGTGAAGGGGCTGATGACTTGCCTGATAAATGGTTCTGCTGCATAGAATGTGAGAAGAAAGGATCAACAGAAATGGCAGATGGTGGTGATAGCAAGTTGGAATACTCAAAGGCCTTGTTGTATGACGGTCTGTACCACCTTGCTTTACGAGATTCCATACGTATTGGTGATGGCCCTGCCCTGATGAAGCACTGGCGTTTCAACATGATTCCATTTTGGAATAACAACCACTACAAGTATTTCATTTTGGGTCATAATATGCTAGCTGCAGTGAATGGCTTCTATCCTGCAAGAATTGCCCATGACATCACATGGAATAGGGTAGCAAACTTGACAGGTAGGGAGGAGGGAAATCTTGGTTTGGATCTAGTCAATGAGTTTCTTAATCGGGATTATAAGGAGATGCTGAAGAGATCAAGGGGGGTGTATACAAAACAGCAAGTCCATCGATGCAGCCAAATGGCTGGGGCATATGGTCGCGAACTTGACAACCTCTTTCTCCAGTCCATTGTGGGGATTGAAGGAACATCGTCAAGACACCATTATGAGAAGTATGCCAAAGACGTGCAGCTGTTTGTAACAGAATACCAAGATGATTGCTTGTTTGACTTTGTTCCTGGACGCTTCCATCGTTCCTTTCCAAATTTCAGGCATGCAGTAACCATCAAGTCTCCGGAGAAAATGGGTGCAAAACTTGTTAAACTGAGCAAGTCAATGGACGAGTGGAGGTCAATTTCCGATTTCCATTGATGATACATGAGACCATTTTGTTACAAAATACAGCCAATAAGAGACATGACAATTGAAAGATTGGCACAAAAGCCACAATGAAGCATTCCACCTGTTCTATTTTGAACACATTTCATACAAATGTAAATAATAGCACTTGAACAAGACTTATGAAACAATACAAGATATACCTGAAGTAAGTCAAGGAAACCTTCTGTTCATAATAACTTAAATTTACCAGATGATTGATCTTGTTTTAAAGATTGTGCCTTGATGAACCTGAAATTTATGCCGAAAAGAAGTGAAAAGTACAGTGCATGCACATTGTAATCTAAACTCTGAAATAAGTGAGTATAATAACTGAATATAACTAGAATTTGTGCCAACCTAAATTTCTTTGGTGAACATGGTGAAAAAAAGCACTTTGTTTTTTAATAATGCATACATGTATGTGTACTAAAGCTTGATCATCTTCAGATTTCATCTGAACTTGGTGGACACCGGGAGTTTTGTACACAAAAGGGTGACCTAGCAGTTTACTAACCCAACGAAACAATGTATGTACCCTGGTTTTTTTGTGTTAAATAAATGACTAATGTACATGTAGTACTATAACGGGGTCTCTATCAAAAATTAAAGGCCTACCGCTATTTAAAAAAAAGTAATAGATACATGTACATTAAATTCAAAACCATACGCCTAAGATAAATGAAGGTACATGTACATGTACATGTACAACCCCTGAGTGGGTACATGTACATGTTCAGTGTACAGCTCATGTTTACACACGTTTAAGCACCAGTTTTCAATGAAGAAATTCTAATTCTTTGGAAAGATTTGTATAAGTACATGTAGTTACTATGGGGGTATTTTTTTAGGGGGGGGGGGCCCTGGGATATTCAAACAAAGTAAATGTACCCACATGTACCCAGTACAAACCCTACATGTACTTTGCCAGACCATTTATGCTTCTCAATTTACATTCGTGTAAGTGTTTCAATGTAGAAATGTGCAAGTGTTCGGTACAACAAGCTTATATCTGCACCTGTATACATTGTACATCTGTATTACATGTACAATATAGCGGTACATGTACAATTTCACCGGACACGAATGTATTGCTGCCTTCATTTTCATTACTCATCTGGGATCAGAAATCATCTTTGTGAAAGAGGTAAGTTTTTATATTTCAGTAGTACATTGTTGTACGCTACATATCTGTATATTCTTATTAACTTTTAACAAACCAATGGGGGTCTTTATCAATATGAAAATGTCCATTCGGAGCCGTGTTATTACTTGAGTCAATATTGGTTAAGACCCCAATTGGTTTGTTAAAAGTATGCCAGGGGGAGTGGAAGGACATTTTGACTGCTTTTCAGTTTGTGACCTTTAAAATAGCAGTAGGGTTTATTACCCATATGTATAACTACCGGTATGAGAACCAAACAAGCACATCACATACATGTTTTCATTCTCGGCAACATGAAATTCCTTTAACCTTAACCCCTTTAAATATTCTTCAGGCCTACCAGCAGATACATACTTTTATGTACATAAAACACAACTTAAATGAAAACCCTGCAACATGTTAAGCCAAAACAAAAAATAGTTCTGCTTCTGGTTTGCCTACCCTAATTTTTGTATGGGAAAAATGAGGGGAAAAACACCCAAGATTATGGATTGCTACCTCTTCCCCTTGATCACACCCAGACGCCTCCATATGATCTTACACAAAAAGTCCTCATTTCATTTCCAACATCAGGTATATGACCAAGTTAGTGTACAAATAGTTTTTTTTAAATTCTGGTAACCCCCCCCCCCCCTGCCCCCCTCGGCAAAAGCAAATGTTGTATCGGTATATTATCTATACAGAAGTGGATTAGCTAAATGTGGAAGTCATACTAAACTGTCAACATACAGACATGTTCATGTACTGAAAAAATTGCTGAAACGATTAACAACACATCCCCAGATTGGTCAGTGTTTACTTTTTGTTCATTTTTGAATTCTGCAGGGGCATCGACTTCGGCAAACTGAGCAGCACATGCACTTTGTGCATTTGCATTCCTCAATGCATGTGCTCTGACAGCTGTCTTCATCATGAACAGGCTGTGGACCCATCTCGTCCATCCACAGGTGGGACAGAATAGCTTCCCTCATACACGGGACCTCACCACTCTCCACTCCTGACACCATCTCCTTAAACTCCATGTCAGTTGTGACGTGACCGCGGGTTGGAGTCCGATACAGCACTGCTGTCCCTGGCTCACCATCCCGACTACAGCGACCAACCTCCTGCCAGTAGTCAACAATGGTCTTGGACAGCCCCCAGTGGAAGATATACCTGACTTTGTGCACCTCGATACCCATGCCAAAAGCAATTGTGGCAATGATGCAGCGGAGATTTCCATCGGTAGTAAATGAGTTTACTACCCTCTCTTGACTGTCGATGTCTAGGGATGAGTGGTACATGTCAACAATGAGATTCTTTGGCAGTTTCTCATTGTTGACCCATGCTGATTTGCCCAGTGTTGCCATGATGAAGCCAAACAATTTACAAACTTGGCCAATGTATCTGCAAAATATTCAAAAATTGAAATAGGAATGATCATTGATTTTTAGAAGGTTTGCATGGTTAAGGTAATAATGATAAAATAAGTTGTTGCGGTACCACCATGTGGCAAAATCTTTTTTGTGAGTATGTGTGGTTCTGAAAAGAACCGGAGGGTACTCAACGTTTTGGACAGTATGCTCTGTCTGTCCCAGTATCTCTCTCATGCTTCATTGCCTCCAGGCTCCAAGCACTATAACCAGGCACCAGGCACCATATAATCCCACTTCACTGTTGGAATCCTTCAGTCTCCTGACAACGGACAGAGCATACTGTCCAAAATGTTGAGAACCCTCCGGTTCTTTTCAGAACCATACATAATCACAAAAGAAATTTAGCCACATGTTGCTTCTGCGACAACTTATTTTATGATCAGTGATTTGTTTGCAAGTGCTACATACATGAGCCTTATTCATGAGTTGGCCATAAAATCTTAAGTTTTTAAATTGCGAAGAGAAATTAAAGCAAGTTAGTCTGGCACCATCTCGTACAACAGTTAACAATTAATGAAATACATTTAGGGAACTTGACAAAAATGGCCAACTCTTGAAAGGCCCATGTAGTTCTGGTTCAAAGAATGGATGTTGATAATGCTCTCATAATGCAGGATGCCTTATTAATTGCAATGTGTACAGGCAGTACTGCATACAGGGTGCAGACAATTGGCCTACCTGTTTGTAAATAAATTGAATTCGAAGTAAAGTTAGTTTAGAAATCGAGATATTCTCAGCCCATTTACAAATGTAGGTCTTCAAATCACGTATTAAAGGACAATCAACCCTAGTCCCTTTCTTCCCACTTCACAATCAACCCCTCCCCCCCCAAAAAAATGAAAAATATTGAAAATTTGAAAAAAGGGACCAGGACAGATCGCATACTTTTACACATAAATTGGGACCCCCTCTCAGTCTCACTGCAACACCCTCTGCATTCTCAGCCACACTCCCCCCCCCCCCCTCAACCGGCTTCCAGTAAAGTGCGATGCTTCAAAGTCAAAATTTCACCAGGGTACCCTTAGAGAGTGCTTGAGCAAACTATCAGATAAGAAACAAGGAAACACGTTTTATCCATTTCTTCACAATTCCTATTGGCACCCAACATGAAATGTATACTCCATTCATACCTGCAGTAAATTATGGCTTTCTTGGCCTGTGTGCCATGAGTTTGCAGCTCTGCAACGTACTCTTGCAGCCATTGCGGCTGTTCGATGTCGTCCTGATCTTGTCCTGATCTAGTCCGTGGACAGAATTGTAGGAAAATGTTCGGCCTAAAAGAGGGAAAAATATGGTAAACTACTTGCATGTATTGTGGAAGGTCATTATGTAAACAATGTTAATGTTCATGATCATGTGCACTTTGCCCAGGTGTGCATTGTGTTGATTGACATACATACACATGTATATGTACATGACTTAATGTTATCTTCGAAAATAATACGCATGTACATTGTTGGATGTAATCTTGGTTACCAACATATGCAGTTGTCTTGGTATTAAATATTAGGAAATTGTTGAAAGCTTTAAAAGTTCTACATTTATTCATTACATTACTGCATGGAAAAAAGACCATGTTTGATCCGGAGATGAAGGATGACTTTTATTGTTTAAATTATCTTTTTTCTTCCATGTGACAGTATTGGTCAATGGCAATGGAAATTTTTTACTGATCAAGATAGTCCTTTGCCACAAGTGTTTTGGAAAGCATGACTTGACAAACATGACTTGTATATACTTTAGATATAAATTATGTGATATGGCTCAAATACTTGGGAAAAAATGCAGACAGTAATAAATGATAGATGATAAATAGTCATGCAACAAATGTTCAACCACCTTTGTGATTCACATTTTACCTGTACATTTCATTCATGAACATGTATACAATTTGAGGCAATTCCAAATGTGGTCTGCCAACATGTACATTTGTAAAGCTAGGTCTGACCTGTCTGGACTTCTCGCTACTACTTCTATTTCAGCAGGCTCCAGATGTAGTGTGTCGAAAATGCTCGTCCTTAGTGCCCCTGTCAGTGTAGCAGTTGCTACCAGTGTCGGCACGCCATCGCCAAGCATGCTGCGTATTTGTCCAACCTGACTATATGCCTCACGAAAATCATGTCCCCTGGAAAAATAAACACATTGTTGGGAACTATTGTCCTACTGCCTTTTTCTTACTTGCATTTTGGGATTTGAGTCTTTTTGAATTCAGTTTAATTGCTTTGAATTTAAATATCGTAAGGTGATTCCAGAGGTTTATGAAAGAGCACAAATGTCTCATTTGTCAGTATTTCTCAAGCCCCCCTCCCTTCCCCACCTGAAAACCCCGAATGTTTAATACAAATGTACATGGTATAACACAGAAACAATAATGAAGCAGAAAGAGTCGGTAGAACTGGACCACCGATTGTTACTTGTTTTGTTCATTCTGTCTCTCTTTCATTCTTAATTTTTGTAATTTGTATTTTCAATTATTTTTTGAAATTATTCGTGGTGGATTTTTTTTGTAATAATGTACATGTATGCGTACATGTAAAACCTTAATTTCAAACATCCATCTATCTTAGCAGAACCCAATGACTGTTGAGTGTGAAAGTGAATGGGCATTTTAAGTTCAGAAAATATGTCTGCTGGTTTAAAAATCCTTTTGTTGAGTAATATATAGTTGTTCCTAAAAAAAAAATAAAAGTTAAAATGGTGAGTTTATGCACATGTCTTCAGATTTCTTTGTTTCTACTCAGACCCATACTGCAATGTATGTGGCTCCCTTTCTGAAAACCCCAGTCTGCATTCAGATTCTTGTCATACAGTATTCTTGCCAGATAGATAGTAAGAAATAGACACAAACAAAGCAAGAGTGGTTACCGGTAGTTTACCATCCAATTACAGTTATGAGAAAAGATTAATGTTGAAGTCCTAAAGAAGTTCCATTTACCATTGTGCGATACAGTGCGCCTCATCAAATGCAATTAAGCACACATGTTTCCTGAAACGGGTTTGTCGCATCATCTGTCTCCAAGGTTGGTCTTCTGCCAGCAATGCCTCTGGTGAGGTGAATATTAGACTCGTCCTGCCTTCCATGATAGCTGAAAAGAAAATGTTGCTTAATTGATGGGATTAAAGGGATTAAATACATGTTCTGACATTAACCAAGCATTGGCAAACATTGTCTTTTTTTTTTTTAACTACATAACATATCTGTTCATTTTATTCACATGATAACAGCAGGCGCAGCAATAACTAATATAAGATGGAATTTTTGCGTCGGGTGATGTAAAATTGTTTTAATAACTAGTTATGTTAGTCTCAACAAAATGTACACTGACAACACAACATGTTACATGTACAGTGTATGCTGATAAAAACTGTCCAAAAGAAAACAAATATTCGGTAAATGTACAAGTAATATTTGTAACTGAATAATCACAATTTAAGACAGTCAATTTCACTTGGCTTTTCAGACCCCCAGGTGTGGAATAACCTGTATTCAATTTAACATCCTTAATAAAGTGCCCTCTTCAGCAAGTGAACATTGAAGGTCATTTATTTACAACTCACCCTTTCTGTTCTCTGCTTTCATCTCTGAAGGAGGTAAGATGCAGCCTGCTGTTATGAACCCACTCTCACCCCATCTTTTGACTTGGTCCATCATCAGTGCCCTCAGTGGAGACACTATCAGGGCAATGTGGGGGCTGTTTTCAGGGTGTAGCTGTGTATTAAAAACATGTAACCTCATTATATACCAATTAGTCACCAAGCAAACTGATGGTATATATAGACAGAGAACTTAATATCAAACATATTAATTTTGGTGTAATTGGGTAGGATTAGGGCAATGTGGGATGGGTTGGGGAGCAATTTCACATTTAATCTTTATTCTCTTAAAGATATGATAATGGGTTGTCTATCCATTGCAGTTCCTTTTTATGAATTTGATTACAACAATTATAATAATTTTATTAACCTTCACTAGGCCAACAAATGAAACGAGAACAATGACAGTGCAAATATGAATTTTATATTTAAAAAAAATCAATTTAACTATAAAAGCAAGCAAAAATGTAACTACAAAAGTAATAAAATTTAATAAGAAAAATGTAATACAATTTCATAAGAAAGAAAAAGGTAATCAAACTGTAAACTTGCAAACAATGAAAATAGGCCTATTATTGAAAAGTAAACATAGATTACACACAAAAAAGGAAACAGCTTGGAGTAGAAAAACAACAAACAAGCAAACTTACAAACAACCAATTAGCACCAGGGAATAGAGATATAGGTAATAATAATTTTAAAAAAAAACACCCAAAAAGGGGGAAAGAGTCATTAGGATGCAATCCAACGAAATAGGGTTCAGATAAGAAAACTGAAAAATTTACCCCCCAAAAATGGAGAAATTAAATTGGCAAGAACAAACAAGTGGAAGCTCCAGGTGGAACCTCAACTTGTCAAACAAAAGCAAAATAAAGAATAATAAACTAACCTTATCATGTATATATGGTATGGATGCAAATATGGTGCTCTTGCCCGATCCTGTGGGGAGGACAGCTATCACATTCTTGTTGTCCATAAGAAGACCTATAGATTGTTTTTGTGGTGAACTCAATTGATAACCGAGTTCACCAACAAGATCAGAAAGGATCTTTTCCATGCTGGCCGTTTTACTTATTTTTCAAGGAGCAGGTCTTTCTGATTTAAGGAGCAGGCGTACACTAGAGCATGAATGGCAACTCGCTATCAAATGTCATGGCACAAGAGGTGAAAAGTGTAATGAATGCATCTTTTTAACTCAGTTATTAATACAATTTGGATATTAAAGTGAAAAACAATTAGAATATTCTTTTATGATGAATTAAATTTTCAGGAAGCCAGATCCACCCATTTCTTGTGTTATATATATATTTTTTTATTGAAAACCAAATTAAGCACAAGAACTAATGTTGCAAAGTAGGGTGTAAATGTTGCAAAGTAAGATGTAAATTTGCTTTGCAGGTTTTGCTTAGGAATTCCTTGTATTTGTAAAGCAGGTCCTTGTTATTTGTTCAGGAAATCAGCAATAAGATTTTCTCTCGATTTCAGTCTTGCCAAATAATTTTCGCGTCGCGGCGAGTAGTGCGCCCGTGTGCGGTGCGGTGAGAGAAGAAAGGACTTGAAACTTGTCTAAAACGATGTCTCTTTTAGCTGCGACAGTAAACAGCCGTCTGATCATACGAAACAGACGGCACAATATAACGCAATGCGCATGCGTCAGTTGGGAGAAAATGGCAGCTCGCAGTAGCAGCAGGACTTCATGAACTGGGGCCAGAATTTTCCTCAAATTTCGTCAAATGCAAGTTTTGACGTGCAAACAGATTTCAAGATAGCTTCATATGTGAGTACTTATTACATGGGCAAAATAACGTCCAGTGTGTGTAACGGAGGGAGTCAGAGGGACACGTTCGCCAGGTTCGAAATGACATAAGAACGTGGCGTAGTTTACAAGCAAGCCACGTTCACGGGTCTAGGACCGTGAGTGCATAAAAACGTGCAAAATTACTACTGACATTTTTTTACTCACCATTCAGCTAATTAATGCCCACAGAACACATACATCAAAATGCTTAAGTTGCAAGCATGTCACCTGCAAAATTTGAGACCTTAAATCCAATTTTAAGGCAAGTTTTTGACAGTTCAAAAACCATCCACGTCATTCTCCATGCTTAAGAAATTGTGGTGTGATTCCCAAGGTATTCTGGGTAGGTGTAGGAAGAGCCTTGCAGCTTACTTGTTTTTTAATCAATGGCCAAATGAACATAGCGCCCTCTGTTAAAAAATGAAACATTCTGCATTCACTCAGATCAACAAGAGGGCGCTGTTTTATATACACAATGAAAATGTTTTAGCTGAGGAGTATTTTTGCACAATGCATTGCAGTACACATCAACCTGATGTTTCGCGTTTGGATTTCGATAACTCCCTGCAAAATTAGAATTAAACGCTGAATTTTTGGTGATGCAAAGCTCACAACAGCAACTTTGCAGGGCAGAAGTTTTGGGGATTATTGAAGAAACTGTAGTGAGTAAGAAGCTTGCACATTTGATTCACACTGGTTTTATTATGCAGCACAAACTTTTGCACAATATGGATACCTTAAGTTTTGGGACTCTCATACACAGTATTGAGAGTCCCAAATTTTCGGACTAGACTTGAACCCACAATTGGCAGAACTACCTGCCGGTCACAAACTCAATTCTCCAGACCATAGGCCATGGTGTGTGGACCAGAAGCCCCCCCCCCCCCCCCCCAGTATTCAAGTGATGCTGATGTTGACTCACCGTGTCCATATCGATGGAGGCCGTAGCCTCATCCATGATGAGAATCTTAGACCGTCTCAGGAAGGCACGAGCCAGACAGAAGAGCTGCCTCTGGCCAACGCTGAAATTCTCGCCACCCTCTGATACCTCAGAATCTAAAAAAGGAATATTATGGTGTGCATTTGGTTTCATTAATGGCCAGATGTTATTACCATTGTCAAAAGATAGAGCTGTCTTGAAAACAATTATGCTGGCATTTTTATTTATCTCCGATTTTCTTGGCATTAAACGAATAAGAATATTTTTAATCCCCCTGGATGGGATGCCAGTCCATCGCAGGCTACTCCCTAGCTAATGGCGGTACCCAGGCTCGTCGCTAAGTGTGCCCCCCCCCCCCATCGGCAAAAGCCATACGAGTAAAAATTAACTACAATTGTGTTTTTGTCTTGTGGTGTGGCCCCCTAGCTGGTACTGTACGTGCCTCCCCCATTATTATTGTCATTTGAGAGTTAAGGAGGCTTTGTGCTCCCTCCCTCCTTTTTCCCCCTGGCGCAGAAGTTGCGGAAGGCAAAAAATGACCTTCCTATCAAAAGTACACCTCTGCAATAAAATCACAGTTACACCACTGTTTCAAACACTTTTCCCCTACTCAGCATCCATTTAAGCTGGAAGAGAAAGTCAAATGAAAATTTTGACCTCCAAAAATGCTATTTTTGATGGGTTAACATGATTTACTAACCTAGACCTTTTGGCATCTGACTGACCGTCTCCTTGAGCTGAGAGATCTCAAGACTGTCCCACAGTTCATCGTCAGTTCGATAGTTCTCTGGATCCAGATTGTATCTGTTACAAAAAAACAACACAATTACCTGTTATATTTTTTAATAAGATGGAATTTGTGTCATCAGATGTAAATTTTTATGTAAATGGTTTTGCCCTTAGGCCAAAAAGAAGAAGTCTTCGGTTTTTGGTATGGAGCTTGCCCCAAAAGTGGTGCGGCGACGCGGCTTTTTTTTGTTGTTGACTTTTTTTCTTCTTCAAATGTCGGCTGATGACTGCAAATGGTGCCCGACTAAATTTAGTGCAAAATATATGGGAGCCCAGAGAGGCCACTTAAAGCTTATTCTTGTGCAGCAGCAGGATTCCAGTTAAACCAGTGAGTTTTGCAGTTAGTGAGACATCATTTTACATTTTTTTTTTTTTTTTTTTTTTGCCGACGCGCATGGCTACGGCGACGCGCGCGCATAGGCCTACCGGAGCCTTTTTGTTTTGTTTTGGCCTTAACTGCCCTTTGACGACGTACTTTTAGTCATTTTCTGAGGACTTGCAAGAAAGAATTCAGAAGCTAACTTGAGAGGGACTCGAAGCCACGGCCTCCTGCTTTAAAGTGCAGACGTCGTACCACCTAACATGAGCTTGCAGGGGTCCATGCTGCATACAGTGTTTACAAAATATGTCGGCTAAAGGCAAAGCTGTGTTACTAAAAATCGTACATAGAAGAAAGGAAATTTGGACTAGACATTGACATTGGATGGCTTGTTATTAGGGCACTCTAGACAGTGTGGTCAATATCTTGTAAAGAGAAGGAAACATACTAGGCTATAGCTTTTTGACAGAGAGTTTTAAATTTGGCTTTGTAACTGGAAATACGGTATAATTAATCCTTGGAAATACATTATTTTGTCTGATACTACAATTATGGTTTTGTCAAATCAAATATCAAGATGCAAGTATGGTATCTGAACTTCGCTCATACTTTTAGAAATTGATGTAGCTAGGCCTATGTAAGTTTACAAGGTTAGTACTGACTGATGACTCAGATTGTTTCTTATCTCTCCGTGTGGTTTAAGCATGAAGCATAAAGCATTTTTACAGAAATTCAAGAAGACAACCCTAAAGTCAGCTGTAGATTACCTGATTGTGCCATTAAACAGGACAGGATCCTGGGGGATAATGGCCAGGCGCTGCCTCAAGATAGTTAAGGGGACAGTGTTGATATCAATGTCGTCAATAAGGATGGAACCTGAGACATAAAATCCGAGATAAAAAAAAATCAAAACAAAATGGTCCATATCACAAAGGGTTGAGGTAGTTGAGCCCGTCACAAATTTATCACAAGTTTTGTCACAAGTAATTAACAATAATCTACAGCACTGGTACGAAATGCCAAGGCGTAGCAGCTAATTTGCCTTGACATTTCAGTTTTGAATTTTTATTTATTTTGACAACATCCAACAGCGCAAGCGCCAGAACAGGATGGATGAGTGATAGAAGATGTGGAAGGGATTGCAGTTTTAGTGGTGGGAGGAAAACCCCAGAGTGATATTCTAGGGGGGAAAAAACACAGAATCAGGCAGGGACTGAAAACCTAATCCACATGTTGGCCCAGACGGGATTCAAACCCCAGTCACGGCGGTGGGAGGTGAGGAAAGTACCACTATGCTAACCAAATCCCCCAAATGTTGAGGTACTTGTATTGACTGAATATGAATCTTTTCATTTTATAACAAATATGAGAGAAATAGGAGACACCAAAATATTTCGTTGTTCCCAGTGTTCTGGACGAAGGATTTTCAGTGGCAGCTGTTTGGAATGTGCTTCATCAAGAGCAATGGATACCTCTCTGTATGTCATTTACTTTGAGAAGGAATACCCAGTGCTCTACTCCTTAATTAGTATGATACCCCAGTGTTGTAGTCGAGTCACAAACGTCGAGTCCGAGTCCCGAGTCATAAGCCTCGAGTCCGAGTCCGAGTCTCGAGTCACAAGCCTCGAGTCCGAGTCTCGAGTCACAAGCCTCGAGTCCGAGTCTCGAGTCACAAGCCTCGAGTCCGAGTCGCGAGTCACTTGTTCTTAGTTGTTGACCAAACTAATCAATTTTTTTAAAATTATTTTTCAATCATCCATTCTGTCTTTTAAGTAAGTCCCAGTGTATATAGTTTACCTTGTGTGTGTACATGTTGTTCAGACCCAAAATGTGTTTTCCTTTTAATTCCCATCCCTAAAAAAATCCTCCTCCATCCCTTCCCTCCATGTTTTATCATCCAAACATTATTCCTCAATGATCCTTTCCCATCCCTATACGTTAGGTTTTTTCTTTTGATGAAAATACATGACTCGAGTCACGAGTCACCAAGCTCGAGTCAAAGTCATCATGGTCGAGTCCGAGTCGGAGTCCGAGTCATTTTCCAATGTGACTCGAGTCGAGTCAGAGTCACGAAAAATGTAACTCGAGTCCGACTCGAGTCCGAGTCCTGGACTGGAGTACCAACAATATTGCTCGGGATGGTTTATGGTGATTTTCTACCCTCGCTGCATAATTAAACTGGTGTGTTTGAATGATACCTTTGTAAGTGTCAATGATTCTGAAGAGTGCCAAGGTAAGCGATGACTTCCCACTTCCTGTCCGGCCACAAATACCGACCTGGAATTCAAAGCAGAAAAAAGGTAAAAATTAGATTTTTGAATTTGAAATGGAAGGAAGAGTCTCCCCTAGAAATTATGCACTCAGAATATCCCCATGAAATTATCTTTTTTTCATAGGGTTGTCTGATGTGGATTTCAGTACTACTTGTACATTTTCTCGATCCGGCAATCAAAAAATTTACAATACACCAACAAATTGATAACACAAGTGTGATATAGAAAACGTTGTTTTTAAAGACAAAAACGTGAGACTTATTAAAGAGTACCTTTTCTCCAGATTTGAAAGTGGCTGTGACATTCTTGATGACAGGGTCAAGTTCCTTAGCGTAGCGGACAAAGATTCCTTTCATTTTGATTTCTCCTCGCTGGGGCCAACTCTCTGGGGGCTCTGTACCTGTGAGGATTAAAATTCAAAAAGGCAAACAATCAGTGAATGAAGTGGTGTAACTTGGGGGGGGGGGGCAAAATGTTGCAGGACACCCCATACCAGCTTAGAGATAGGGCAATGAACTTTTTTGGGTCAAAACTCAAGGAGTGCCCCCTCCATAAAGGCCTCCTTCCAAATAGCTAGTGGACAGAGCTAAGACTCCCCAGCTATCATTCAACTGCTCCTTCCCAAAAGAACCCCGTATAATTTAGTGTTTATCACAAACAGACATTTGGAACCAGTGTCTATTAATTTTCAAGAATTCTTCTCTTGGTCCTCAAAACGATATTGAACATCCCTTCGTAAAATACAACTTTGGTTAAGAACAACAATGTGTTGTGAGGAAATTGGGGAAAAGGACATTTTTGCTCTAGCATTAAGTGAAATTTTCTCTTGATGAAAGGGTTAAAGCCATGCGGTGCATGTCAGATAAGATGTGAAGGTTTCATGGTGAGGATAGCAAAAAGATAACGATTTACAGTATATGCAGTAGCAGCATGTGACAAACTTCTTTTGTGAGTTTGTGACGCTCTGAAAAGAACTGGGGGAAAATTTTTCTTTGGTATATTTCATTTTATCAACAGTGTATGATAAAATGCTTTATACTCAGCAGGTACATGTTTGTATGTACATGTACATGTACATGAATTCATTTTGCACGTAGCCCTAGTTTTATATACATGAATACAGGCCAGCAATCTGGCATGCTGCCAAGTATTTGAGCTAATTAGCTGGATCACCTCACTCATTTTCTCCAGCCTTGCACAGCTGCACTCCATGACCGTATTTGGTAATCAGAAGGTATGCCAGTGAGAGATTTGAATATGCAAATGTAGAGGCCAACTTTGAACCAATGAAAAAGTTTGTTTTGTCTTATGTTGCTTGGTGTGAAGTGGTGGCCCGTGTTGGGCCGGCTGTGCTCACTTCTGTCACAGTCATCGAGAGAGCAGGATCACTTTTCATTATGCACAAGTATATGCCCTAAAGGGAAAGTGCCTTTTGGGTATCTCGAGCTACATAAAATTCTTCAACCTAAAACGAGAGGAATAACTGCAATAAACGAGGCCCAAAGTGTACCTTTGTAGTTTTCATTGGAAATGCTGGAGTACTCTTTGATGCGCTCGATTGCATTCATCTGCATCTCAGTCTCAGCACCGAAGCGGACGGCAAAATTCATGAAATTAGCAACCTGTGAAATTGAATTCCAAACATTGTCTAGTTGATAGGAATATAGTTCTTTACTGCATTCTTTACTTGGTGTTTGGGGGAGGGACAGATTATCAGTGACATATATAGCCAGGCTTTGAAGCTTAGGATTTTAATTTATCACATTTTCTTCGAGATCAATTAAAGAAAGCTACTTTAAAACTGGGTTGGTATTGGCCAAGTACCAATGATGTTGCCTGAAAAAAAGCTTGTTGGAAATAGTCCTCAACATCCAGAGAGCTATTTAAGGATGTAGTTCAAACAAAAAATGTAACATTTGTTACAATTTGTTTGTTTACCCCCACAGCCCAACAAACAAACAACTCAACAAACACATTCATACAAAAAATGCACAAATCTCTAAGAGAAAGAAATCAGGTTTCCTTAAAGATCCATCCCTACGCTTCCCGCCAAAAATGAATATTTATGTATTTTATACAGAATTTTCAACTTGTATGTTTATTTTAACCAAAAAACCCCTATTTTTCCACCGATTTTTGGCATCTGCAACCTCAAAAAAAGTGCTTTTATTTTGCACACAAATCCATCCACCCTACAAGAGCCGCAAATAATTTTAATTTTGTATTAATAATTATATTTGAATTTTTTAACCAAAAAACAACAACAATACATCGGTGGATTTTCTTCATTAAATGTCCCTTTTAAAAGTGACAAACGTCTTTATTGCTGTGGGAAAATAGAAAAGCAATTGAAAAACAAAATTTATTTTTCGGGGTGAAACTCAATATAGCACGGAAATTCATCTTTAATGTTTCGAAACTCACCACCAGTGTGTAGGACACTGCCAACCCAACTTGACTGGGATCAATGGTGCCATTGATTGAACTGATAATGGTCCCTACTCCAGCTACCAGGATGCCAATCACCCCAATCAGTTCCTGGTACAAAAAAAAATCAGACCCTTTCTCAAATCGAATTTCCCCAAAGAGTAGAGCGTCAATGTTTTCCCTTCAGAGATTATTATTCATTTATGCAACTCAGTTTTATTTATTTAAGTAGCGCATACAATATTAAAGTTTGAACTTTCAAAAAACAACACCATTTTTTTTTTACATTTGGAGCTCACATCAAGTGATCCACCCAGAACCATCATGCATCCATGTCACGCACATCATGGGAAAAAAAACAAACCCTGAATTGGCAAATGTGAAACCCGTATCAACATATTCGTTTTCTAGCACTCGATTGGTTGACGCAATTTCCCGTCTGCTTACTTTCGCCCAATCAAGGGGCTTTCCTGCGCGTTAAATTTGCATATAAATACCCTCATAAACAACTGCACCTGTGTCTATCCCCGATATGCATACAACGTGCTGTGAACAATAATGCAGTATCTCCGTACCGTTTGTGGCAAGTGAAGTCCATCAAATTTGAAGATTATAAATGTGAACTTACCATTCGCATACCAGCCCATCTGTGCGTTGTTTGGAGGTACAGAAAAGCCGTGTTGTTAACGTTTACTTTCTGAAGGAGACTGCCGTAAAAACGGCTCTGGTCTCTGTTAAATACAAAGCATAAAGTATACGTGGATAAATTAAAAATATACGTAAAATACAGCACAGTCAGCAGGCCCGGACGGTAAGTTTGCATGTAAAGATTGTAACCATAACAAATTACAATGACCTATCCTTGGGGATACGCCAATAGGGGATTTTGACGTGGGGATTTTGCACTTCTATCCGAAAAGCGCAAAATTTAGGCCAGGTTGGTTGGACCAGGTTGGAACCCACTTCATTATTTTCACATCAAATAGGAGCCTACAGATAATAATCAACGTGTTATGAATAGGACAATAACCCAACAGTGGGACTTTTCTTTCATTCGGCAAGATTTGGTATAAAAATCTTAGTTTTTTTAAAACTAAACAATACCGACTGTATACACTTATAAATAACACGCTTGTGTATCAATAAAAAAAAATGAAAAAATTGGCAAGTTAGGAAATAAATGTTTAATGTTCAAAATTCAGTCGTCCGTTGGGGATAAAGGCTGACTGATTATAGTCCTTGCATTAAAGTCGTGTCCAGGTAACTACAATCCCGGCCAAAATGGTTGGGACACTTGGAAATACCTTAGCCTCCAACGGTCACCAACTCCCCCGCTCAATGTTGTTCTCTTCAGCGGATGGAGCACACACCACGCTATGAGAGACAACATTGACCGGGGGCTGGGGGGTTGCGGGCCCAGCGAGATTTGGCCAGGATTGTAGGTCCACGTCCGTTTAATATAGCTTTTCCCGGCCAATTTCCTAAAATTTTCATTCACATCTGAAAATAAGTCATTCAGTTTCGTCTGAATTTGAGAATCGCTCTGAACATGCGTTTCATTTTCACTACCAGAGCATTCGATTCCATTTCAGTTCAATCAATTCAGTGATTGAACAGCACATTTCGTTTATGTCCATTCAGATTCGTGGGCGATTTCAAATATTCACCATTCTATTACACTATTAGATTAATGCCATCGGCACCAGATACAATTAAGGGTTTCCTTTTCATTAACCGTAAATCAAATTAGCTGTACCTGAAATCAATTTAAAAAAGGTATGCTTGCGTAAATGAATGCGCAGGTAACGTAATTGGCCGTCTGTTTCTCAAAACCGAATGCACGGACAACGAAAACCATTGAATTATCATTGAATTGAAATGGGATAACGGGCGTGCATTCAAATTCAGACGAAAACGAATGACCGATTTACAGAAGTGAATGAACACTTCAAGAAATTTCGCCGGAAAACCTATATATCAGCAATTCTGGACAAACAAATTTTGTGAAAATTCAGTTCTGGGTTAAATTATGTCCATATGAATATAAACACTACTTCTTTTGTTTTTTTTCCCGAATTTACTCATTTTAAGAGGGGTTTTATAAACTGTTTAGAATTCAATTTCTATATCTTTATGGTTTCAATTTCGATATTTATTTCTATCTTGACGCCACTAATTTCATCATATATTATCTCAATGAAGGTCAACGATGTTGAAAAAAAGGGAATCTGGGACTGAGATACATTTCCAATGTTGGCAGAAAATACTTTAAAATGCACTCGACTCTCCATAGACTATGATCACAACTAAATAAGTGGCGTCTGAATACTACATTTTTCCTTTCTCTTTTTAGATCATGAGTTTACCTTCAAATACTAAAACTTTTGGAAATCAGAAAAAAAGATATGAAGTTGCAGAAAATGAAAGTCACGTCCTCTTTGTCCATCACAACTGTTTTACAATCGATCGATTACCGATAATCGATTTCAGATGACCATCACGTTTTATACCTGTACGCTCGAATGGTAGACAATCCACCGAGAGTCTCCGAGAAGTGTGCGAATACAGGCGACTTGGTGACACTGTCGAGCCTCTGAAGAGATCTGCCGAGGAAACCCTTAAAATGGTAAGTCCATCACATTGATTCCTTGGGCGTTCCAGCAATAATAATTTCATGTTTAATTGGGGCGGGGAAAAATCCAAACATCATTAACCTCCTTGATTTTTTTAAATTAAAAATTGAAATGTAACAGGTACCGCGGGGCATGCTGTGCTCGTTTTGACGTACGACTTGAAACAATACATTTTGCATTTTGCCTGGGAATTTCAACAAATAGCATAATCAAACGAGCCGAAACAACCAAGAAACCCTAACGAACATGGCAATAGACTATACAGTGGCGTTGCCCAGGGTGTGTGTGTGTGTGTGTGGGGGGGGGGGGGGGTTAAGGGTGGTATCCCCGGCCCCCTCCAATATTTTGTGAAGACTGCCCTTTTTTTACTTAGAAATCAGCAAGTGCCTTGGGTTTTTTTATCAGTGGCCTTTTACGAGTGCCCTTTCTGTAATTTCGCGTAGCTGTCGGCAATTGTGCCTCCATGAAAGCACCACCTATATTGTCCGATAGTGTAGATCGTCCGGTTTGAACAGCGGCCCCATAGGAAGATGGTACCAGCCCCCTCCCCCACCCCCCCCCCCCCCCCACCCCCACCCCGGAGAAACAAATCCCTGCGTACATTGTAGCATGGATTGCGAATGCCCTGTAACGAACGTTTAGATACCGAAAAGTGACACCGCTTACCTGGACGTTGTGACATAGAACTTTGCCAGAAAGTAATAACTGACCATCATAGGCACAACGAAGATGAGGAAAATCGGAAGGATGATGGAATTCACAACCAGGCCGCTGACGTAACCAACAGAAAAGAAAACCGTGGCATCCATACTCTGGTAAAGTTTCTATATGATGAGGTTGGAAAGACAAAGTTGGAACAAACGAAATTAATTTGATCTAGTTCAGGTATTACGGGTATTTCCTGCTTAATCGTTGTCGGTTATTTTTGGGAACACGTGGTTTGGTCGTGTTCACGAGCCGAGACAATTGATGAGCTATTGAGCCATTTCGGTTGCCAGTTCAATTGACGCAATGATCCCTATTTTTAGAAGTGGTTTGGGGTATGGAGTGACCGAGATGCAAAGATATTCTCTGTTTAAAAATATAATGTGGACCTTATACGTCAACTTTTCTCCCCTCTTACCATATCCAAAAGAGTGGTGTCAGCGGCAAGTCGATTCAAGACGCGGCCCAGAGGAGTCGTGTCAAAAAACCTGCAGCAACGAAGTCAAGGGAAAGCAACATGTAAAAAATAATTAAATGTATAGCCTTTTCCCCTTTATTAGACATTAAACAGATATTGAAATACGAACAGGACCGGACAATAATTAGCATAAAAAAATACGCTGTTAAATTATTCATTTCAACGTTTTACCCTAATATTTAGGGGAAAGATATTCTGATCGCATTCAGCACGTGTACACAGAATCAAAAACAGATTGTCGGTCCTTGTTTTTAATTTAGAAAAATATATATTTATATAAACTACTCCTAACAAGTTTCAGCAAGCGTCGAGCTTACGTGCGGTGGAACCTTTTTTGCGGAATTGTTCACTATACTCCATCCCTTAAAGGGAATGTACATCATTGGCTTTTGCTGTTATTTTCAGAAATGAAGATTTGAGGGGTTAGTATAATAGATCAAATATTGTTACACAAACATGTTTGAAGTTTTGTGTTCGAAAATGCTGGAAAACCAAGAAAAACAAAAATGTTCAAGCAGTCTGGTTCCCTGTCTCCACTAAAGATGAAATAGATCAATATTTATAGATGCCGGAAAATTGTAAGGTGAGGGAACCAGTCTAGCCTGCCCGCACCCGTTCATGAACATGTAACCAATAGCAAACAAAATTTAGAGAAAAAATGGTAAATTTGGATCAGTAGTTATAAAATAGTGAAGTTTTTCCAACGGTAGTCAGCCGACCACCGTTGGAAATGTATACAAAATTACTATTTTTTTCAAAATGACTTCACACCAGGTGCCATAATTTTACAGTACGCTTTATACTGTCATTTACCAACATCCTAGTAAAGTATTTTGTTAAAACTTGGTAGTTTTATTTTTCGATGTTTGCAAATGTTGTATATTCCCTTTAACAAGAAATCTTACGGGCATATAGGATCATGCATTATGTTCGGTTCCAATAAAACCAACACGCAAAATCCAAAGAAGAATGTTCCGAACCTATCCTGTTGAACTTTCAGCTCAGCGGATATTACACTTGCCGTTAAAAAAACATTGAAAAAATGCACAACCTTTTGATCACGTAACACGATTTTGCCTATAGCACTCTTTATTTCCAAAAAAAACCAGTCGGTTCACTGATCGTTGGAAATCACCTACATTTCTCAATTTCTTCTAAAAGACAACAAGTCAGACGGTATAATTTCGTTAATCCAAGTAGGCTTTTTGATATGCAAAGTTCGATAGGTTACTTTAGGGATAAATGCGAATGATCCTCTGTCCCTTTAATCAGGAAAATTATCATTTACCTCATGGGGCATCTTGTAATATTTTGAAGCATGCTCATGTGCAGATCACGCGAGGCGATGTAGGCGCCGAACACGATGAACAAAGAAGCGATCAAAACGGACACAACCCCGCCAACGGACAGACCAGCATAGCCAGCAATGTAGTACCCTAACATATCGTCTGTGGACTGAGATGCAAAGTAATAGAGATTTATGTCAACTCAAAAAGACCATTTACGTGCAAAAATGTTAGAACTCACATATCATTGGTCTGATCATTACTAAAAACTGATTGATGGCTCATATTATTATTATTATTTATTATTATTTATTCGGCCAACAAATGAACAAAAGTACAATGACAAAGCAAAGATATATCAAAAAGTAAACAAAATTGGAAATTGAAAAAGTATGACCAGACAAGACTGAATGATGCGAGAAGGAATGGGTCGAGGGGGGAGGGAAGGGAGGGTGGACAGTTTGACAGGGGAGAGGAGATAGAGGGACAGAAAACAAAAACAATATAACATTCCAAACCGGCCAGGGTAAACAAAAGTGTACTTAAACACTGTAGCCCTAAGGCCTGCATGCCTACCCATATTGCACATCCATCATTTTCTGAAAGGGGTCCTCTTTTTTGTTTGTATGCCTTCCCCAAATTCATAATTGGAAAGGGGGTGTCTAGTGGAGGGGACACCGGCCTCAAGCAGGGAGGGGGGGGGTGCGTACCCCATCGACAATGCCCCTCATTAGTCAATCCACTGTTTGCGTATTTGAGAATAGGCCAGGATGCAATTGATAACAGAGGGTACTTAATCACTCTAATTTACAAGCGTAAAGATCCACGTAAGCTATACCTGGTTAAAAAAAAACAAATTAATATAATCTACGTCAATGCCGTATGCAATTATCCGTACGTTGTCCCCTTCAATCAAATCATAATATTTACATTGCCATTCATGTCATCTGTCATTCCTGCTGTCGACCACTCTGCCAGCCAGAAGTTGGTTCCCACAGTGAAGCCTGCGTTGGCTACATATCCCAGAAGGAAGGAAATCGACATGGTCCACGTCATAGCTCGGCAATAGTAGGCATACACCTTGTAAGACACCGAACCTCGTTCCACTTCTTCCTCTTCAATTAGCTTGGTGGCTGTATGCGAGCTTTCTGCGCAGAACAACCCCAAAAGAACAAAGAGTATAGAGACTCATATTTCTCAACAATCACGTGCTTTTTAAATAATTTTATAATACCAGTATCACTGTTTTCCACTTCAAGTTGGTGTATACGTGCTTTTTTGGGTGTGGCATCTTGAAAAATAGATTATCAAATTGAATGGATAATTTTCCAGCATTACATTAGTTATCAGCTTTCCAATGAGATACCGCACGAAAAAAATCGGCCGACGACAAGTTATCAATTGAATAATTTCACTTTTTGAAATAAGAGCGGGACGCTCCTAATATGTTCTGAATAGTGTGCGCAATTTCTACCCTGTAGATATACACCAATTACCACTACTCTAAAATTCTTCAAGTTTATCTTTTTCTTCTGTTTATTTCTCTTCACGGTAAGTCCGGATCTCTTTGATACGTTTTTTCCCTTACGTGAGTCTTTTGACAGTTCTCGTTTGAGTCTCCTCTTGAAGACTTCTCTCTTCTCCTCGTCAGACATCGTCATGATGATCTCATCTGCCTCCGTCTCTGACTCCGTCGCCGTCTTGACGGCCTGTTGGTACTCACTGTACAGCTCCGGTGCCTCATCGATGATGTCTTGCAGAGTTCCTTGGTAGGCAATCTTACCATCTTTCATGACAATGATCTGGTGATTGAGGTTCAGAGTGGCCTACTTTAGAGTTTGTGACTCATGATCAGAGGGTCAGGGGTTCGAATCCAGCTGTTGACCGTATTTTTTGTCCTTTGGGCAAGTTACCGCGACTTGCCTCTCTCCACCCAGGAGTACAATGGGTATTTGCCGGGGAGTAACCTGTGATGGACTGGCATCCCATCCAGGGGGGGGGGGGGATAGAAAATATTCTGAGTCGTTTCGTGCCAAGGAAACTGGAGATAAACGCCGCCCTGGTGGGACGTGCATATTAGCTCCTGACAGACTTTAGGCCCACTTGCATTAATGTGTGTTTAGCTTCAGTGGCCCACAGAGGGCAGCATAAATAGGGAGGGAGAGGTGACAAGAAGCGGTAAGAAGGTTGCCCGTGGTGCCCAGACGATCAAGGGTTAAGGGACCGGAAAGGGCAACTGTTCTCGATGCAGTCGAGAAGAGCTGCTGTTAATAATTGCTCATTTTAAAGACATGTAGGTTCATTTGCGTTTCATAGATTATGTTTATTTCCAATAACAACACTCAAGATCCAAAGAAGAATATTCAAAACTTAACCTGCTGAAGTTTCAGCTTAGTGGATATTACACTTTTCGAGAAAGCTATAAAAAACAAACATGCACGAACTTTGGGGTCACGAAACACGATTTCGTCTATCCTCGAACTCTTTACATGTATTTCCAAATAGTCGTTGGACATCACCCAGGCTACATTTTTTGATTTCTTCTAAATGACAGCAAGCCAGACGAGATAACATCACTGTGTGTTTAGTATACCAGTACGTTTTTTAATCCAAGTAAGCTTATTTGTAATTAGATAGGCCTACGTATAATTATTTGTGACATTCCTAACAAAATGGTGAGCACAGTTTGTCTGAAAATAAGTGATTTATTTGCGAACATTGAAACACCGATGATTGTCTATTTCTAATGTTTTCTTTCTTACCTTGTGGGCATGATGCAAGTACTGCAGTTGATGCGTTACCAAGACGACGGTTCGTTTCTTTTTCAGTAGGTTACCGACGATAGCTTTGCGGAAGACGTGCGATCCCACGTGGACGTCCAGGGCCGAAAGTGGGTCGTCCTGCCGGGAAATTAATCACGATGGAAAGAGAACTTGTTTTAACAAATTGGTAACGTATATTTCATGAGTGATTTTGTAGAATTTAATTATTCCCAAACGCAAGGCAGTTGTAACTTTTATATATCTGTGGAGAAAGTATGGGTCACACGGCAAAAACTGTATGCAATAAGAATTATACTTTTATATAATAAATGTAAGTGTCAAAGCTGATTTTGAAAAAAAAAATAACATTTCCATCCTTTTTTTCCCGATATGACAATTAAAAAGAGCAATACAATATCAAAATTGTCTTTCTTTAAAACGTTTCTATCTTGTCAGATACCAAAACGTGATGAAGAAATTTACCGAAAATATAGGGAGACATTCCCATAGGGTTGTGCACAAAAGTTTCAACTGTCATGACCCAAAAAAAAAACCTTTTCCTTGTCCTACACCCACGAATTTGGGTACATTCATGTTTTGAACCACGAGCAATCGATCTAGCCTATTTGCGACACTAAAGTTTTGCCTCTAAACAGGAATTGTCACATTAAGGAGACATTGAAATGTCTCCCTAATGTACCTTGTCTCTCTAAGGTATACTGATAACCAAAAAAAATTCCTTAAGGGTACATTTACTGGAATTATTTCACAATCAATTATCCCCCCCCGGCCAACCGCCCCCTCCCCAAAAATCCTGAGCGTAAAATAAAAGCAGGGGTAAACCAACCAGTATGACGATGTCCCTGCCTGAGTAGACTGTCCTAGCGATGCTGACTCGTTGTTTCTGTCCTCCGCTCATATTGATTCCCTTCTCTCCAATCTCAGTCTGGTCTCCTCCGGGGAGGATCTCAATATCTGGCTTGAGGGCGCATACGTCGATGGTTTTCTTGTACCTGTGAAGAATTGTCAAGCAGTTTTCAGGCTTTTGTATGGTATTCTTTGTAACAGCCCTTTACGAGTGGCTGAAGTGACGAAATGTGATTTTACAATAACAAGTTGAGGTTTTTTGGCCCGCATTTGGGATTTTTCTTCCATTGACAAGGTTGATAGTGTAACCAATAACTAAGATGCCTTGATACATCGCGCACGAATGACACAGCTCTGTAGGCGTGATATTCTGGTTAATACGGTGCTTGGGAAATACGTGCTCAACTTCGATTTAGCTTTTTCCCATTGAAATTGAGACCAGATATAGCTCGTAAGCGCCGAAAAAATCCACGCTCTGACCACAGTTTATCGTGTGTCACAGTTTACTTCAGGCACCAGTGGATATGTTGTAAATGTATAAGTGTCAAGTTTCGTAACTGGTGTTGTTCATCACGTATGTACAAAAAGCAGGGCTTATGAATTACTTTTTGTTGTCGAACTCCTCGCCGAACAGGATATTTCCCTTTAGAGTGTCGTTGATTAACCACGCTTTCTGGGCTCCGTATGCAACAGACAGTGTGCTTCTGCAACGAAAAGGAACCACAATGTTTTAAAGCAAACAGTTACAATACTTACCTTTTCTCCTAACAAATTGCGAATGAAGTACAATACTTTGGGATGTGAATGCCTCTAGAATGAACAATGGGCATAACAGTATCCGCACTTGAAGTAGGCCTGTACCACTCCTGTTTGTTTAATAATGATTCCGATTTTGCCTTTAATAGTTATTTGATCATCAAAGTTCCGATAATATATATCAAAGTTCCGATTCATTTATACCAATCATTCAGGTAATATTCGTTCCTGGATGACTTCAAAATGTTATTGCTCTTTTTATTCAATTCAGTGCAACATTGATTTCTATTCAACCCCACACTAAAATAAAAATCAACACGCATGTACATTGAAAGAGATATAAAAAAAAAAAACATAGGCAAAACAAAAGTAAAAACCACAGAAAACACAACATTAAAGAAAAAGGCAATTAATTTATAACTTCTTTCATTTTAGTGGCATTCAACTGACCTTCGCTACTTCCAGCTGTACTAGCTATCTGCATGTATAATCGTTTATAAAAAAAACTGAAATATGAACGACTCACTCGTTGAACTGAACGTTTCCTGATAAGGTTGTCATCTCGCCTTGAATGGCCGACACTAATGATGACTTGCCGCTACCCACTGATCCTATAACCATCGTCAGTTTACCTGAAATAAATTACCGAGCAAATAATGTTTTTATTAATTTAGTTCCCTTTCTTTTGGACGGTATGCAAAACCTTAAGATGGAGCTTACTTTTCTGGAGAAAACCTCGAGTGTAGCCTATGTTTCCTGACGGTTAAGCTTACTGACGGTAAGCTTCAACAGTTTGCCACTCTTTCTTTATAGTCCTATTGGTATTATGAAAGAATGTAGTTGGAATGTCTCAAACGCAATTGTTCATTTAGAGCATCACTCTGACTTTATCAAAACATCTTATGTCATGAAGACTCAAGTCTCAAGACTCGAGTTTAGTACTTATCAAGGATACCTGCAGGAATGTCAACATTGATGTTTGAGATGATGGGTACGCTGCTGCCCTTTTCCCAAGTGAAGTTGCCGTTAGTAATCTAAGACAGTGAAAGGGGTGAAATGGTAGCGACCAATAAATGTAATATTCATCACTACACACCTACACACTCAGACTAGACACACTAACGCGTGTTCACCGTCGATCGTGGACGTCCTATTGTCCCACTTTTAATGTTTGTACTAGGAAGACTCCCATAGGTTTTGTACACAACCCCAATCGCGGACGTATGCTGGGAATCATGGACGATATTGTTCTCTATTGTTCTCTGGTATTTTTCGTCCACAGTTTGAAAAAATGAAGACGTACATGTTTACGTTACATACCAAGTGTGGACATTCCCTTGGTTTCGTGTAGTTTACAAAAACCTCGGAAAAAATAATTTTACTCTCACTGTGAAAACACTTTCAATCCAGGTTTTCTATGATTTCCTTTAGTGTTTCTCTTCATTTTGCCACGGATGAACCTGACCCCAAAATGCCCCTAAACCTGTTTGCCAGAAAAGGGGAAACACTGTGTGGACTTGCCCACGTCCACAAAACGTCGCCTCTACCTGGTTTCTTTTGTTCGCCGAAGTCCACACAGTGAATGTAATGCCAACCCACACACACACTCACATACACACCGTACATACTGAAATTTGTATCCTTGTGGAGACATTCCTTTGTTCGTGCGATCTGATTCACCGTGCCCTCTGGAGACATGCACACAATAGGGAGCAAAAGATTGTATACGTCTCCACAAGGCAATTTCTATGGATGAATACGTCTCCACAAGGTTTTCACGAAATATATACATGTATATGGATTTTACTCAAAAACTAGGAATTGCCGAGGTATGCTGATTTGTCGCAAATGGTAGATTTTCAGAAAAGGGATATTAAGTCCTAATTTCAGCCAATGAAATTAATTCTGGTTAAAATAAGAGCATTTTGAAACTGTACTTTCAAACTCGAAAACTTTAGTGCACGAGTTTTTTTATGGTGTAAATCGAGTATTTTCTTTTGTTCCTCCACCCTTTTCCTTTGTTTGTACTCCAGCTTTTTTTGCAACAGCTCTCATTGGTTTCGTAAATCTTTTCTAATCGAGGTCACCGATGACGTTGAACGTGTGTGTCCTCAATTTACACCTACTGAAACCTCACAAAATACGCTCAAGGAAAACCAAGAATGCAGGGGAAATATATTACGCACGTATATTCCACCAAGTGAGGGCAAGATTAAAACATAAAAGAATTTAGACTTCTAGCTACATCTATCTACAACAACACGCCAACACATGTTAAAGCCTGTCCGTCACTGTAAGAGTATAGACATAGGTACAATTTTTTTATTAACTGATTCCTATTGGAGAGTATGTATGGAGTATAGCCATCAGCCACTTTTTAAACTGACTCTGCGTGAAGATACCTGCAGGGATAGACCAGCAACTTTGAGATGTGTTGAAACTAAATATTAACCTTCACGACAGTTAATATGATGACATACCTTGATTGCTACTGATTTGGGCAAGCGACTTCTCTTAGTAGTCTTGGTGTGATTGGTTGCCTGGTACCCGTCGGGTCGTTTAATCTTCGACTCCTTGATCTTGGGCAGCATGTGCGTCGCTTCGTCGACGTCACTTGTCATGACGCCATCTTCAGTCGCATCTACAGTGGTTTCGTGTTGCTGTTAAGGCAGTTAATTAAAGTTTTAAATACTTAACTTCAGGAGGAATCAATACCTGAGACGATGCATAAAGGTCAGTTTAATGCCGATTGCATAATTCCAAAACAGATTGCAGTTGCGTAGCACGGTCATTTTTTTTTATGGGGGGGGGAAAATTTCTTTAAAAGGGCACTTGTACATCCGTGCTGAAATGTAGACACGTTTTTTTCTCCGGACACTTGGCCTCCGTAAAATCAAATAAGGGGGGGGGGGGGGGGGCTGGTAACATTTGTCGATGGGGGCGCTCTTCAAACTCGACGATTGTGCACACTAATGGACTATATATGATGCTTTTCAGGGCGATACATGCGCAAAATTTAAAAAAGAACGGCCGATGGAACAAAAAAGGACACGACTTTGTTTTAAAGAAAGGGAAAAGAAAGGCACCGGAACGGCCGTTGGGACAAAAAAAAGGGCACGGGTTTGTTTTAAAGAAAGGGCACTTGTTCAGAAAAAAAATGGCACTTGTTAAACAAGGGCACTCTTTACAAAAATATTGGGGGGGGGGGGTTAAGCGCTGGTAAAAAAAATATTGGAGGAAATACCCCCCCCCCCTACCCCCGCCCCGCTGGCTACGCGTATGGATTGTGCAACACGGGCTTGCTGTGCGTACCGAGGTAAGTGTTTAATTTATATCATAGTCATTAGATGAAAAAAATTTATAATGGAGAAACGGAACAAAAACTCATCATTCATTGCTTTTCGGAAGCTAATAACTCCACATTTCCGGCTTGCCCTGCAGCAAAGTTGCAATTAAGTTAGCGAGATAATTAATATGCACCTGCGAGGAATAATGTAAAGAACATGTGTATTCTCCAATCAGCCTGCAGAATCGGGAAAGAGGAAACCTATATATCGCCGAACCGTTGAGGACATGTTAACAATCATATGGCCGGGTGGTAGAGTGGCATTCTTTGCCAAGATAATAGGGAAAGTGTAAAGACAAGTGACAAGGTCCGAGCTATAATCCATTGCTTCTCTCTATCTAGGATTAAAGTATGATCATCACAACTAAAAAGCGTGGATGTTATTTGGCCAGCAAGAAGCACAATGGAGTGATGAAATGCAAGCAGGGGTACAACCTCGTTTCCTGGTGTGAGCGTATAGATGTTCACTACGTATCGCAAGGCATGCGATTTCCACAACACCAGCAGGTTACAACAGTTTGGACCAATATATCGCTGTCACCGAGGCATTCTCAGTGCAGTCATCCCGATCTTTTGGGTAGGTATCCCCATTTGTCCATAAGGACCCTACATCGGCCATATCAAGTGCGCAGTCGGTTCATCTCTCCAGGTTGTCCAGCAATGGTTTGCACCTGATGGTGCCAGAGACTCATGTGGTTTTACCCACGTATTATTTACAAGACAGGAATGACGACTTACGTAATCATAAGGGCCCCGTCCATCGTCCACTCTCTCCCTCCAATCTTCTCCCATGCAACTCTTCTCCACCTCCTGAGCAAGGAAGAATTTCTGGAGCCGCATTGTGCTGATATAGCCGTTGACTATGGCAGTCGTTATTAGCGGCAGCATGAAAAGGGGGCCGGAGAGTATGTTGAAGAGCGCCAGGGAAGAGAAGGCTTTATCCGCGGTCAGCGGCTCACCGCTGAAGGCGGTGTACGTGCCGAACGTCTGCGAAGGGAATTTCGAGTGTGGGGCATCGTGAGGCAAGTGAAAGACTAAAGAATGAAAATTCCATCTTTACGACAGACTTTACTTGAACACCTTTTGATGAAACGGTGACGAGGAAAAGTCGTTTCAACCTTCACTTCATAGTCAGTTCGGGTATTGCATAAAATGTTTTTATTACCCGAAATTTCAGTGTCAAAAAATCATATTTCACAAGTTTCTCATTCAAACCCCATGTTCAAATAAAGGTAAAAACACGCGCAAGCCCTTTATAATAGGTTGAACCATTGACCCAGAAATTACCTAGCGAAAGCACCAGCCCCAGTAACTAGAACCATCTGTTTATGTCAACAACTCCCTGGCAGGGCAGATATCATCAATCATTCTATCACTAGAATTGGCAATGAACATTAAATGGCATTTTATTTCCAATCCTTTGAGATCCACTACACCCCCAAACAGCCTCAAGACTATTGTTGTCTTAGTGGTTGGGATAAATACCCAACGTACTGAGTTCAGTAACGTTCTGACACATGTACAAATGGCGCAACCGAGGGTTAATTACATCTAAAAACCAATTAGAGTGAGTACATTGTAAACCTTTACGTTAGTCTAATTAATAATAGCTCACACATCAAGGTGAGATCAGCTACAAAAAAATAGAAATGCAAAAGAATTTACACTTCAGAAATTGAATCAATAATATTTTTACTTTGTTAACAGACTTACCAAAACCGTTACAATTAGGGGAGACGCAGAAACTATAAACCCTGAAATTATGAAAGAACAAAAATAGGAAGATTTGGAACAGAATTGAGGAAGAAAATAAATCATCACATTGTCAGATGCGACTATTTTTGCTACTTTCCATCCGACAAAAACGTTATCTTAAAAAACAAAATTCTGTAAAACGACAAGGAACGCAGCGGGTACACATACAGCCGCGAGTACACGACATACCAATAAGTCCATAACAAACGTTCATCTTGAGTAGCGACAGAAGCTCATTATTGCGTATGTTCTCCACCACCTTCAGATAGAGATGCTCCCATCCGTAGGATTTCAGGAGTTTGATGCCCTGGAGTATCTCGTTTGAATGCTTCAGTCGTTCGTCTGCAAAGAACTGAAATTGGCAACAACGTGTATCGTTCTAGCTGTACTATAAGGGATATGATGGATTTGTTATTGTTTTTTATTGAAGTAAAGCAATCTGTTGTAGAACAAAATGCAGTTCTAATATAGGAATTTAATATTAGAAAAATACGACTTTACATCAGTGGCGTCGCCAAGGGGGGGGCCAGGGGGGGCACGTGCCCCCCCTGGAAAACCTAGTGCCCCCCGAGTGCCCCCCCCATCTGAGATTTGGGTTGGTAAAAAAAAATTCTGCGCGTTGTTAAAATCATTACCTCGAAAATAGCAATTTCTGGAGATATCTTCAGATCGAATTTAGCATCAAATGTGGCACCATTTTGCATCTAGCCCATCCTCCGTATGCGAAAATTTTCCAAAGGGGAGGGGGGCACCCCCTCCCCTTAGACCCCTCCCCCAGGACGGCGATCCGTATCCACCTAAGTGCCCCCCCCCCCATCAAATGCTGGTGCCCCCCCTGTGCCCCCCCAGACTGAAAAGTCTGGTGACGCCACTGCTTTACATCGCATTAATTCCTGTGCCTCAAGAAAATGTTTCCTTAGACACTTATTTTGAAGTTCAAATATGACTGGAGCGGGCTTTGAACCTGCGACATCTAGATTGCCATTCCGATATTTTACCAACTGTTCTCCATTTTATTCAATGTCTTAAATGTGTTCAAAACACACTATATATATATAGTCAAAAGCCATAAACCTGTGAATGCCAAGTAGCCAGAGAAAACTTGTTACAGGGTTATGTTATAAGTTTGGGTCCCAAACTGTGACATTTTGGTGTCCCTGTTACACCCGGCGACCTGTAGTGTGTCATTTTACATGGAAATAGCATTGAAATTGATTTCAAACTATCTTTTATTTGTTGAGCAGGTACTTTGCATTACATAATCACTCTTAGAGGTAGAAGACATTACAGAATGTGTTTTGAATTTACAAAATCTGATGTCAGATGTATAACTGGGACACCAAAAAATAAAAATTGGACTCCAAATTTATAGAATGACCCTACAGTGAGACCTGTTAAAAGAACATTGCTATAGTTACCAATGCTTTCTTCTGATGTATAGCCATATAGTTGGCAATGCCTAACTGCAATGGAATCACGATGACGTAGACCACAGCTCCTAGCAACGCGGCCACGCCTAGAGCCTCGTACAGGAAATACAGCACGAGGGCAACCTGGTATCAGTGCAACGAAAAAACAACTAGCGTTAGTAAACCACACAACAATTACTTACAAAACCTACAAAGACGAAAAGATTTTGTTGGTGATACCCTAAGAAATTCCATCCATTCATTACCATCCGTATTTCGATCCGTAGGTCACAATGTCGGTCCGTCGGTAAGGTGGTATTCGTCGGTCGGTCGCACCTTCACAGTCACATAAGCTTTCCTGAAGAGGAAGTCTTACTGAAATGACTGAAACGATTTGATTCAAGTTGATTTGTTCCGTAAAAATGGATAACATTGGCATGATCCCAACTGTCATTATTATTATTATCATTGTCAATGATTTCTGACAATGAAACCAAGGAATCCTCAAAGGCGCCCTAAGCACTGTAGATCGCAAGCCTGAAAAAGCCTGTCGAGAGAAGACAATGAGAAGAAATTACATTTTTTTTTTTTTAGGTGGGAGGAGTACCCCAGAATCATATTCTTGGGAAGCAGGCAGGGTCTAAATATACCGAATCAACATGTGTCCGGGGCAGGAATCGAACCCTGGTCACAGCGGTGGACGATATCCATACTTTCATTAAAAGCCTTTTAATTGAAATACAGGGTGACAGTTTTAGCCGATTTCGGCTAACTTTGACAGATTTTTGGTTAAAAAATGAGTTTAACAGAAAATTTGACAGAATGGATTTTTTTGGCAGATTTCTGACAGAATTATGCAAAAGTGGTTATTTGACAAAAAAACATAGCAAACTTGAAAAAGAAATGGTATATTTGTGTGAAAAAGCTTTTCAAACAAACCCTTGCATAATGGGACAGGTTGGCTAGTCTAGGTGCTGAGGTTCACTGGGAACCGGACTTCGTCGTGACGAAAATGTTATGAAATTTACGCAATTTCATAACATTTTTATGTGACTATAGATTGTTTAGGATGTAATTTGAACCTTAACTAAGGCAAAACTGCAACACCTGCATGTGATTTTAAGTGGTTATAGTGTATTTAGAGTTATTTGGGGGAATTTGGCAGATTTTTGATCAAAAATCTGTCAGATTTAATCTGACAGATTTTGGAAGTGAATTGAGCAGAATTTGGCCATGACATAACGGTCACCCTGTTGAAATGTTCCTCCAAATATTAGGGTTTTTTTCTTACCAAGAAAGGAACAGTCCAGGAGAAATGGAAATACTGGAACATGTACAGCAAGTTCATGGGATCCGTCGACATATGATTGGTGATCTGACCCGCTGTCATGTCTCCCCCAGTCGTAGCGTACGTTGACAGACTCAGTGATTTCTCGTACACCATTGTCTATGAGGCACAAACACCACACTCGTAAAAACACATAATGGTAAACATATATACAGATATTAACATATATAAGTTATTCATTTTCATATTTTCAGTTGCAAGTAGGGAGTTCAGTATGAGGTAGTTTCCAGTCAAACATTTCCTCAAATTTTAATTGGGAATGAATAAGTTGTATATAAGGAATATAATGGGTGTTTTTTGAAAGATTATCTTAGTTTGTAAAGACACAGATCCACTTGTTAATCTTTAAGTATAGATTAAATATTGGGCATTATCAATATGAAATAGAAAGGCAGTACAATAATTTATATAAAAGTACAACGTCCGACAAGACTTGATTTTAAAAGAAAGAAACAGTAAGTTAGAATCAAAAGAAGTATACCTCCATCCTACCTGTATGCTAGAGCGAACGCACATGCCGTAAAGTATGGAATAGAAGAGCGACTTGTGGACCATGATGAACTGGAATGACGAAGCCAGGAACGTCGCGCCAATTAGGACAAATCCATTGGCTGTAAACTCAGTCAAGTCGATGAAGTGGGGGCGAACCTGAATTTTGTTTTAAGAAATGATGCACAAAATGTGAGACCTTTATTTTTTGTTAGCTTAATGTATTTGTGTATAATCGTTCTTGTGTCCCTGTATCTTCTTTGTTATTTAGGGAGCGTCTCATAAGTTGGAACGCTCGGAACGTTCTCATTGGAACGGCGTGTTCCCGAACTGGAACGCTCCGGCGTTCCATTGGGAACACGGGACCGTTCCGTTGGAACGGCTAAATCCCTTTGCGAGAACGGTCCAGCGGAACGGTCGGGCACACGCGTTCTATTGCGCGCTCCAGCGGAACGTTCCCAGCAAATCGCGTATACCATGGCCCAGTTTCGAATATTTGCCCATTTTGCGTCAGGAAAAATGGCGTCGCGATCTCCGGCAAACCGTGCGTCACTGAATGGTAGGTTTTGCCTGTTTTTGAGGATTTATATGTAATATTTGGACGTAAATGTGAAATTTCTGTGATGGTTTGGGTAAAAAGTTCGACACAAGGTACGAGTGAGCGTTAATGCGGATGGAATCTTGGTAAATCTAATGATGTAAATATCGTTTCTGTGGTGAAATGTCGGTAGCCCCGAACCTACCATCACATGCAATCGCTACGCTGTGGTGAGTGTGTATTCACGTCAAAGTATGCTTGCGCAAGAACAATATTTCTTAAAATAATACTTTGATAATGCGTGAGAGATTAAGGGAATCTCCTAAAAAGTCGTAGATAGAGAAGGGGTGAGGGGATTTCGAAATATGTTAAGTGAATTTCTGTTAAATATTATAATCGATTACGAAACGCAGTGGCTATTGTTACGGCAGATGTGAAGTTCTTCGGTGAAATTTCGCCCTGAACTTTTACATGGCTACGGTGATTGTATTTTCTCGTTTACAATTGATACAGGGCGCATGTTTGTAGAATGCATTCAAGGACAAAAATTGTCTTGGACACTACGTGATAGGTTTACTGAAATTACCCAACAAAAATAGCGTAGAAGGAGTGAGGGATTTTGAATTAAAAACAAATCATTTCCAAACAAGAACTATAGTCTTCATCTCGAAAACAGCCCAGCTGATAAAATGTACTTGAGGGGCCTGAATGTTTTGGCATGGTACTATGCTATGCTTTTACGAAATAAAAAAAGGATAAAAGCGGAGCTTACTTTTGACGATATAATTTTTGTCAGACAAAAATCTGCGTTTGAGCATAAACTCTGACTCCGGGTCCTGCTGCACGGACGTACTCACGTACGTATACCCAAGCGCGAATACCCATCCGCGGAGCGTTCCGCCGGGAACACGGTGTTCCCTCCCCGTTCTAGCTGGACCGCAGATCGGTGCGTTCCATTCATTGCGCGGAACGCACCCGCGTTCCATTGGGAACGCGGCACGTTCCCATTGGAACGCCTGGCGTTCCTACGGAACGTTCCATTGGACCGCGAACGTTCCCGACTTATGAGACGCTCCCTTATGTTCAGGGGACTCGCACTCGACAAGCTGTGCGTTGTGTGGGTCCCCTGCAGCTCTAGGCAGTGTCATTCCCATGCTATTTTTATCTTTAGTTTCTATAATGAATTAGTTTCTAAGTACACATTGTTTTTTCTGATACCTTTAGATTAAATAAAGTAAAGTAAAGTAAAAAGTAATAGTAAGTGAACATTTCTATATATCGCTCTAAATAAAAGGTTGAGTAAAAACTATAAGGAAATGTTATTTGCCCAAAATCGATGTACTCGGTTGTAACGCGGTTACAAATTGGCCAACTAATTTGATTGCTCTTCAGACCCAGTGTCGTAGAGAGGGGGAGGGGGGGGGGTGGGGGTGGGAGATGCAGAGTGGCAGACTGCAACAGGATGCTAAAAGCAGAATAGAAGCAAAATAGGGTCAGCAAAAATGGGTTAAAGGGAAGATACAACATTTGCAAACATCAAAAAACGAAATGATCAAATTATCACGAAATATCTTACTGGATGTTAGGGAAGGACATTCTAAAGCATCCTGTAAAATCGTGGCTCCTGGTGTGCTGACATTGCAAGAAAAATGGTATTTTTCCAACGCTGGTCGGCCGACCAGCGTTGGAGAAAACTGGCTTTTTTCAAAAACTGCTCTTAAATTTTCATAATATTTTTTTCCGCATTTTCTTTGCAATTGATTACACACCTGTGAAGGGGTACGAGCTTGCCGGACTGTTTCTCTGACCTTACGATTCCCCAAAAGTGACAAAATGCTTCGTTTCATCTTAAGTGGGGTCAGGGAACCAGACTCCAAGAATATGATGTTTTTCTTGGTTTCTCCAGCATCTTCAAGCCCAAAATGTGAAACAAGTCAGTTTAACAATATTTGCTATAACATTCTAATCCCCAAATCCATTTACTACTGGAAATTGCAGAAAGAGCAAATGTTGTACATTCCCTTTAAACGGGACGAAGAGTCTATTTTGCAACCCGGCGGGCAACTTTAACCCTGACTATACGCGCCTGGTCAGATCCACTGAGAATGATCACATTTCGTACTCTGTAAAAAAAACAGTGTTTAGAGTTAATTAAAACACATTTCTAAACACTTTTTTATACCCATATTTTAAACATGTTTGAATCATACGACAGTTGATTCATGTTTGTCTGTGAAATATTTAGTTACGTACGAAAGCCCATTAGTGACACCAAGTACAAATTGCAAAAGTTAATAAATATGACTTATCGGGTTGAAGTCAAATGACAGGCGAAATTGACAAATTATCATATGTAAAAAAAACCCGAACATTGAATTGAACTTTGAATTATGTATTTACTTTTTTATAAGTTAATATTAATGACACTAGGCCTATCAGGCTTTCGTACTGTGCAAAATTCTAAACGTGTCTCAAATAAACAAGTGAAAAAAGTGGGTAGAGGTGTTTAAAAGCTCAGCACCACTTATACAGGGTACTGTTTAAGTTTTACACAAATGTATGTGTCTGCAACTGGCACCTTATCATTTATCTTCCATTGCGTAATCCATTCCGACAAATTCTTCAAATTCCTCGTTGTTCCGGAGTGATTGTTTTCCTAATGAAATCTCCGACAAGATTTAAGTACGATAATTTTCTACCCTCTCACCTCTTCTTTCGACTCATGTTCGTTGTAAATATCTTCGACGTAGAGCACTATGCCAGCCACGCAGAGCGGGCCTACAAGACCGGCAAAATCACCGGCCAGTTTCATTATCCCAGCCCAGGCCATTCTCAGCCCGTAGATACGGAAGATGACTTTACTCAGCGAGGGCTGACGACCCTTGGCCGCAGCTTTTAGCTGACGTTAAAAAAACAGAGGAGGAAGAAAAGTATTACTTAAATTTATTAGAAGGACGTTGTATTTAGAAAACTGTTGATTATGATTTTTTTTTCTACGGCGCAAACATAAACACAAGAGCCCCTGTCGCAAAATGACTCCTATTTTGACAATAATGCAGGATTTGTAGTGAATGTCGTCAAATCATATAGTGTAGCCTATAAATCTAAAACCTTAATTGTACGCTAAAGGTTGAATCTTACGTATTTTATTCCACTTTTGCAATTTGTAACATGAAAACTTGTGGGAAAATGCCGAATTAAATTTGGGTCTGAATTTTGACGTGAGGAATACTATGTACTAAAGAATTGGAACCATGTAGGCGTGCATGTAGGCGGGGCACGGGACCCCCCCCCCCCAGCGGAGATCCGTGCCCACAGGGTGCCCCCATTTAAAATCCCAAATTGCCGCACCCCCATACCCGCAGTGCCCTCTAGAAGTTGAAATCTAGTTAAGCCGTTCATGTATACATGTAGCTACAATAGTTAGGCACAAGATATCCTTATATCCCTTTTTCGGGAATTATTTTGGTAAAGCCTGATTATGCTTTTTTTTGGATGGATATACTTCTAAAATGCTTTTAAAAGGTTGAAATAAAACAAAAGCAATATCAGGGAACAAACAATTTGTACCTTCTCTTTTTGGAACTCCTCCTTGAATTGCTGCTGGAGCCGCTCAGCGCTGAGTTTCTTAGGCAACCTGCCCAGGTCTTCTGTGGTGAGTGTCTGCCTGTAGCCTAGAAAGAAGATCCAATTCACCCACCAGAAGACGAGCTCGGAGAAGAAGTTGACGTAGTCATTGCGGTACAGCAGCCCGGGGGAGTTGAGGTCCTCCGGTAGTGTGTCGTAGTCACGGTGACGACACCGACAAAACACCTGTCAATTATCGAGAAACCACAAAAGCCTGTCAATGTCGATTGGTCATGTTGGCGCATTGTGGTTCTTTCCTCGCATTTCCAGCTCTCCATGGCCCGTGTTAGATTCTCGCTCAGTTACAGATTCATGTTGATTGGGGTGCCAGTACCTACACGATTTTTGTGTTTTTTTCTCCAAATTATTCTCCTCTGGTTTTCCTCCCACCTCTAATAAACTGAACATTTCTTAGGCCAAAAAAAAAAGTCTCCGGTTTCTGGTATGCGCGCGCGTCGCCGTAGCCATGCGCGTCGGCAAAATGAAAAAGTTTTTTTTTCAATACAAGATGATGTTTCAAAACCGCCAAACTCACTGGTTTGACTGAAATTCTGCTGCTGCACAATTTTAACGTGTTTTTAGAAGGGGTTATGATCGAGAATATGATTTATGTGGCCTCTCTGGACTCCCATATATTTGCACTAAGTTTAGTCGGGCACCATTTGCAGTCATCAGCCGACATTTGAAGCCCCCCCCAAAAAAAAAGCAGGTAAAAAAACAACAAAAAGACGCGTCGCCGCACCACTTTTGGGGCAAGCTCCATACCAGAAACCGGAGACTTTTTTTTTGGCCTTACGCAGTCTTTTTTTTTCAGGCCTGCGAACTTCGGTGTCATTGGAGCTTTTGAGGGCTTGGAATGCTTGCTTTATAAGGTGTTTCCGAGGCAACGGATGTCGGAGAGTACAACTGACGAGATCTAGAATATGCCAACGGGTTTTTGGGGACTCATGACGGTCAGCAGATCAGGCCCTATATACCCCAAAGGAAATTCTGAGACGAAATGTTCAGGGGAGGGGCAACAGGGCAAGTTATGAAACATTTGACAACATCAGTGCTGCCAACACTCCATAACATTTTAATTACTTTTAGAAATTCATAACATTTTTTATCATGGGTCATTAACTCACCTTCAACCGGATGACATTGAGTTCCAGCGTAAGAAGCACCACAAAACAAATCAGCTTCAGTATGGTCAGGTCGAACCGAGTAATTGTAACCGACCGTTGGTCTAGCTCCAGTAAGTTGATGAGCCTTCCGATTTCTCCTAGAGCTGCTGCTGCGTAGTAGAGGACCAGGAGGAAGGCCATGCCACTGACTTTCCATATCTCCATGTACTGGTAGTAGACAAGAGAGAAGGAGATAGCGACAAGTGCGCAGATGGGTGGGACATACAGATGTGGCCGACTGGCGCCCAGACTCTGGATGTAAGTCTCATCCGTCAGGATGCCTTCCGCTAATGAGGCTAGGAGAAGGATAAGAAGAATGATGGTCACGGGCCATCTTATGGAGTGACCTGGAAAACGGATGAGGTACTCCGAATTACTCTTCCGGAAGAATATGCAGCATCCCAGGAATAGGCCGACAACGGAGAGGAGGAGAAACACCAAGTGTGGAATGGTGTCCAATGCGTCCACGAAACAGGTGTTATCGTGTCCATTGACTAGATTGAAGCCTCCTGATCTATCCAGATCCGAAGAGTTCAATCCGCACAGCCATTGCCAACCGATGCTTTGCGCCATGACTGTGTAATCGTATTATCGGTCTCGGAACGACAGGTTCTAATCACATCCCAGCCAAATGGTGCCCAGTAGGCCTATATCAGCATATCTTAAAACATTATATCAGACGTCAGTGCAGCATATTCAACGACTAATGTAGCCTATGGAAGGCAGGAAGGAAACTTATTTCACCGACTGCTGTTTCAATGAAAGAGATTCCTGCCAAAGTTGAACCAACTTGTATTTCACAACACTCAGCAACAGGTTTGCACTTTGGTATGACATACAGTACACCTTAGCACAGAGCCATACGTCAAATATTAGCTTACAGATGGAGGTCGTGATAATGGACATGTCATGTTACTTAGTGCCCGAATCTTGTGTTTAGAAAATATATATATATTACATATCATTCTAATTCGATAAGAGGTCATTCATTCATTCCGTAAACTTTGAACCACCAAAGTTCAGAAGAAGTACATCTGTGTGATAATATATACATTGTGTACTTAATATTTCAAAGAGCGACGAGATTTATTGCAAGGTAAGCATATCATGACCAAGCAAAATTATGCAGAAACGTTAGGAATACTTTATTACCGTAAAGAAAAATTCTCACTCTCCGAGGCATCAAACTAGGAAGACTAATTACGCGAAAATATTGATTAAAAACCACGCAACAAAAAGGAACATAAAAAGTGACGTTTGTATTTTTAAAACAGTACATAAAACATTACGTCTCTTATATAGGAAACCAGATAACATTTAGATTACTACTGTTACCAATCATTTTAAAAGCTCGATAAATAACATAAGTAAACTAACAAAACGTTATGCATGCACAAAGTTAAAAGCAATTTTATGTGCTGTAAAATAGTACATCATGACTTGTATAGTGTGTTTTGTACCAAAAATGAAATTGTTAGAATGATACAAATCTTCAATTACAAATAATAAAAACTGCTTAGGAAATGACAAAAGACGATACAGCCTTTCACAATATAAAAAGGTTAGCTCGGAAATATTGTTGACCCACAGTTTATATTGGTCAGAGTGTTTTGGGAAGACTGGGGGCAAATTAATGTGGTCGCCTCAAAGATGCGGCCAGTTATTTAATATTGGAGCGAATTTTGAAATTGTGAATGGGTTTCTATTTCTCATGGTAACCAGTCCAGTATTTTGTGGGATTTACTGCTGGCACAATGCATTATGGACAGGCACGGCTAATACTCCAGCCAAGGATGTCCCGATCGTCAAAGCAAGTATTGTCGTTCCCATTGCAAACTCCTTGTATTTGGGACTCTCCTATAAAAGACATAATAGGTGGAGAAATAGAATTATGAAACCTTTGAATCAACCAGGAAAGGTCATGTGGCAATAAATTACAGTAATTAGGATTACCTGGAGTAATTCCTATTTCTTTTACAAACCCTTCGAAGGCCTTCTCATTACACTTTGAATTTTTTCCCCGACCCTCAGTCCTTGGATAATGTTGCCAAATTTCTTTCATTTAATGCCCACCAGAAAATTAGACCCCCTATAAGTCCCAGCCTCCTTTTGGTAAATCGAACCCCAGATGCGCTACTGGTAGAGAAATCATTACACAGACCATCATTATTTCGATTTACCTACCCGACACATAGGCGTAGCCAGCGGGGTGAGGGGGGAGGGGGTGAGGGGGCATTTTTCCCCCAACATTTTGTAAAGACTGCTCCGATTTTGTTAACATACAGGTGTTTTTTTTTTCCTGAACAAATACTCTTTCCAAAAAAGTCGTGCCTTTTTTTGTCCGTTAGTGTGCATAATCGTCGGTTTTGAACAGCGCCCCTATCGATTATGGTACCAGCCCCCCCCCCCCCCCCCCCCCCACACACACACACACACTATTTGATTTTACGGAGGCCAAGTGACCGGAGAAAAAAAAGTGTTTACATTTCAGCACGGACGGGCGAGTGCCCTTTTCAAGAATACCCCAATTAAAAATGGCCTTGCTACGCCCCTGCAACATGAATTATATTTGAAAGAAAGATATTTTATTAATTCTTAGTACAGGGCTCACCCAAGCACCCCCCCCCAAAAAAAAAACCACGTCGATTTATTTCGTAACATTAACATTATTGTTAGTATAAGCTCAAGAACTATGAACAATTTTTTGTTGAACTTTTGGAGCTTCGGTGACATAATGAAGGGGTATAACGTTTACTCAGGTTAGGCGACGGATAAAAAAAAACCCTAAACAGGCGCTCCTTGTTAGGAGCGCCTGTAGGTGCCATCATTATGTCCTATGTAGGTGCCATCATGTTTGTTGAATAACGATTACGTTGTCTGGCTTTCTTTCGTTTTACGCATTTTCCCGGTGAAGATACATTGTACAGTGAAACGCTCGCTACCCTATACGTCAAAATAATTCATACTAGCCTTTTTTGCGTACGACATAACGTTGCTCCTTTATGAAAGATTACTCCTGACTCACTTTGACTCTGATTTGATAGAAGGTGTTGACGTAGGCCGATCCTGCCACCAACCCCTCCAGCAAGACGATGACGAAGACGATGGCTATACTCGGCATGTAAGTGAAGTAGACTTCTGTGAACACTAAGACCAAGACACACCACTGCATCAAAGTCGGGAAAAAAGGAAAGATTTTGCTGTTAACATCGAGACCGACAGCGTCTTAAATAGTGCAATCCTTATAAAATGCACCTTTGTGTCCCATTTAACCTTATTTTCAATTTTTGTGTTGCCATTTTCAAGGGTACTATGGTGCCTTTTTATGCTAATACGAATGTAAATATTAATGAGCAAAAAGTGTGATGTCATTTCAGGCAGGAACCTCATTGTTTTAGTTTTTTCAGCATATCACAAGTTGCCATAATTTTGGGTATTTTGGTGTTGTAAATGTTCTGTTCTTTTGTGATTGGTTGTTGTGTCAGTACATGGCAGTAATCCAATAAGCACACTTTTTTCCACAATTATTTTCAATAAACAATTGTGTTGGTTCTCAATCAGAACACAAACCCCTAAAGCGAAAAGTGTCTTCCGGAAATGACATATAAAACAGCAACAGCGCCCTCAGTCGTCCAGAAAAGCATGGACATTTTAAAAATGTTTAAAGAAGTGCTCTTTTCAATAAAATTAACAAAAAGGATGTCACATAGTTTTCATACATATTAGAGGAGGAGTAAGTTGCACAGAATATGTTCCTCAGACATAATGGACATAGGACATAATGGAAATTATACACAAACGGAGAGAGACTTTGGCTTTGGTTTGTTCACCCCTGGGCCAACCCAAGGAATAAAGGGTTCAGGAACAAGAAATCATATAGAGTTTACTTGAAAAGGGATCTCATCGGAATAATTAAACATACCTCTAAAATGGAAAAGATCCAGAGCCGTTCGACTCTGACGATGTTAACCGACGAACGCGAGATGAACGCACCTAATCGGAACAGAACCTGTAGCCTGTTACAGATGAGAAGACGTCCGAAATATTTAATTTACAACTGTATGGTTTTACATTTCCCATAAACTGTCCTTTTTTTCACAGACAGTAGGTCCTGTAGGGGCCCCGCTGATTTAGACCATTTGCATATAACGTTACATCCGAGGACAGGGCCAATTTCACGGCGCTGCTAAGAACACAAATTTGCTTAGCACAAAAAAAGTCTGGCTTATAAAAGCAGGTTACCAGCCAAAACTCCATGTGATGTATATTGCTCGTGATTAGTATTCAGCTGTTGTTGGCTGAACATGAAAATCACATGGAGTTTTGGCTGATAACCTGCTCTAATAAGCCAGACTTTATTTGTGCTAAGCAAATTTTTGTGCTTAGCAGCGCCGTGAAATTGGGCCCAATATACAGACTGTATTCGTGATCTTCCATATTGAATTGAAAGCGAGGCGAACTCTTCAACTTGCGAGTGGAAATGGAAGCAATGAAATAAAGTTCGTTACAAAGTAATACCAGTCTGCTTTGATAAATTATTTAAAATTAGTGATTAAACATACCACAACGGTTTAAGCTTAAGCCACATTTAAACAAAGCGAGGCTTAGAACGCACTTCAATCATAAAATAGTCTGGCACTATTCCATTCAACAGTTTACAATTTATAAAACATAGTAAACTAGAAAGCACTCCGAGATCACAAACCTCCGCCAAGGCTCAACAAGTCCCCGCCATAATCACCCAAAAGAAATACTGGCATAAATGGTGAAAAAAATCTTTTTAAAAATTCCTGGATTCAGACCCAGATCCGGATCACTTCCAAAATCTAATCGATTGGACCACCCCTGAAAAATTCTTATAAATCTGTTCATAACTTTTTGAGTTATCTTGTTAACAGCAACCAACCAACCAACCAACCAAAGAACCAACCAACAAACACCGGTGAAAACATAACCTTCCTGGCGGTTGTAAAAAAAAAAATCAGTCACAAAGGGTCTATAACCATGTGTACCACATAATTATTCGTCACCGTCACCACGAAGTGACTTTAACTCCCGCAGAGTGGAAAATGTGTGTTTCGAGATACAGGCGGTTTTTGTAACGGCTGTGCTTGTCTCCAGATGCCACATTTTCACTGGGGGGAGACAGGGGAGGGGCGCCCCTACGCCCCCCCCCCCCCCCCCCCCCCGTAGCTACACCGCTGACGTTGCGCAACTGCCGACTGATCAGACATTTAAATTCCTAAATGTTGTGTCACAACATACGTTATATGAATTACGTCCAACTGTACAAATCAAGAAGTCCTACCATCTGTATTGACTGTCATGTGTCAAAAATGTTCCCCTGAAGTATATCAGCTCCAGCTGTATAGTGGAAACAAAAGAATATTAAAAGAAAAGTCTCAAATTCACGCAGAGATAAGACCCCTTTCAATCAAAGGCTTTAAAAACGTAAATATGGGCCTTATTCACGAGTTGGCCATTTTGTCGAGTTCCCTGAATGTATTTCATTAACTGTTAACTGTTAAATGGGATGGCGCCAGACTATTTATGCAGGCACAATGCAGCCTTATTTTACAGTAATTTTTTTTTTAATTTGGCTTTAAACATTAGGGAATGTTTCATTACAAATTTTATATCATTCATTGAAGCAGACTGGAATGTATTATAAATATACTTGCTTTCATTTCTCTTCGCAAGTTCCAAAAATAAAGATTTTACCTAACTTTCAATTTAATATGGCCGACTCGTGAATATGGCCCATAACATACTCAGGCAGGAGCCTCTAAATGTCATTTCGTGGTTTGTCATTTCGTGGTTTGTCATTTCGTGAAAATTGACCAAAAATTTATGAGCCCCTAAGTTTCCGATAAAACATAACTATCAATTAACCAAAAATTGCCCAAATAGTGCAATGCCGTCCACAGTAAATGCACTTTTGGCAAAAGTTTTCGGAACACGACCTTTTGTTTCGATCGATGCGCATGCGCATCTCATTTACATTTGAAGTGAGACATGCCGGAACCGGGCCAGAGCTTATTGTGCACTCGCGCTTTTTTTTATAACATTTTCTTTGCATTGTGTACATAAGTTTCAAGTTTAACAACCTAAACATCCTATAGTTATCTGCTCAATTCAATTAAAATAAAATAAAAATTAAATAATGAAAATGTATGAAATTGGAGCTGAGATCCTCGTTTTGTAAATGTAGGCCCCCTATTATGTCAATATGTACCCTTTAGAAACCAACAAAGATAGACATCTACAAAAAGATAAAGAACGCTTGAAATACATTTCAGTTAATCAGGTTAAGAGTCAGTCATAATGAAAAACTTACCAAGCCCTGATTGGTAAAATACTGAGCGATATACACGAACATCAGCGGGAGTATGTACTTCAACAGATACTGTAGGGTAAAGCAGGGCCATGCGAAGTTAACATTAACTGCAAACTTAAATACTTTTATTGATTGCTAATTCGTAGCTATGAAACTATGAAATCCCAACGAAATAATACCATCACATTTTGTCAGAATGATTTGCAAAAGATGTATACAAAGTACACTATTGCTTGTATGTTTATTGTGGGAATGATCACAAGTATAAAATGCGGACATCATCAGCAAAGAGTAAGATGATCATGACAAATGCAACTCTTAAAATCGGACCAACATGAAGCACTGGCAAATTGGAAAGGTGAAAATGACCAGTATTCAAGTTCACATAGCCTTTCACATTTTGAACCCATTTGAAATACATGTATACAAAAAATATGAAGAGAAAACAAACCCTTCCTAAGACTAATGAAATGTCTTTATCTTTTACCTTAAAGTGGTGGAGTCTCTCTTTGAGCGTGAGATGTTGTCTAGTGGTAGTCTTCATCTCTTCTTTAGCGCCCTCTGTATTTCCATTCTCTAGCAACCGTTGCTTTTCCTCATGTTTGGCATCATGTAGAATGGGTCTCTTCACGGGAACCTTGACTAAGATACCCCAGTAACTGCGAATGGAACCGTCCAAAACATTTTTGATATCAATTGCGACATGTGATATGACACGTAATTCGGCAGACTCATTTCAAGTCTGTTGCAGATTGAATAGATTTTCAAAATTAAAACGGTCGATCAAATGGAAAGCACTGCCATGTTTGTCATGCATGAAAACATATCGGTTACGTTGACTTCAAAATAGCAAAAATACAAGGTGCTTCTGATACAAAGCAAACAATTGACTTGTGATGTTTCATCTTTCTATAGTGTTACAAGTTGGTAGTTAGGCCTACAACAGTAATATAAGTCATGACAAAAGTTTCAAAACAACTCATTCTTCTCCGATTTTTCATTTTAGGAGTGGGATTTCAACCTTCACCTGATGATCATCAGAGCGGGCACAACCAGCATAACGAGCAGCGCGTTCTTCGGGGCTAGAACCTCCGTCAACCCGGCGTACGTCAGGCTACTGACGAGGCCTGAAGCTCCCGTCCCCGATGACCAGGTCGATACAGCATTCCTGATGGAGTAAGAAACTGTTAAGAACTTCCCTGTCTTGTGCAATCATACAAATTCAGAACTGTGAAACGCAACTCTTAAAATTGGCAAATGTGATCTACTTTTTGTTTAAAACGCAGGCAACGTTCAGTTTTCGACATTTTGTGTACGTTTCTTGGTTAATTATACCATTCCGAACATTTTGTAGACAAAATGTCTACAAAACATTGACTGTTTTTTCGGGGATGAAAGTGGTGCCTCACCTCTGTGTGAGTGACAATTTGGTTTGAAAAGGCTGAATAGAAAATACGGAATTGATTGTTACTAAGAAAACCCCCCTATTTTTGAAGTGACACTTACTTGTCATAAAAAGATGAAAGACTAAGATAGGTGAATTCACCCAGACCAGTGGACAGACCAGCCAAGGCAACTCCTGCATGAGAACAGAAAACACATTCACGTTTATAAACTGTTTTGTAAAAAAAAAAAAAAAAAAAAAAAAAAGGCGTTACGCGGGCATCGGCAACATGCCATAATCATAATACTGCAGATTATATCTGTACTGATTACAACTACATTGCATTGGTGTGATTTACATTGCCTGATAATCACCCCGTGTTACCACCCCGTGCGACCAAACTTAAGCATGTTGTCACCATGTCCTTGAAGAAATCCATTCAACCACTATCACACAAAAAGTGACCGGACAGATTGAGATAGGTGTAGCATAATTAATGTCACCACCAAATCATATTTAGACCCAGTCCTATTGGGATGGAAGCACAAACACTCCGGACCCCGCTGTCACCCTCTGTCCCCTGAAAGATGAGTTTTGTCTCTCATCGGCAAGTAGAGTCTGTCATGGGCCAATGTGGCCCATTTCTAGTCCCCCTGGATGAGATGCTAGTCCATCACAGATTACTCCCCAGATCATACCGGTACCCATTTATACTCCTGAGGGGAGAGAGGCAAGTGGGGGTAAAGTGGCTTGCCCAAGGACACAACACGAGTCCATCAGCTGGATTCGAACCCCGTATTCTCTGATCATCGGTAAGCAACCTCTAAAAGTCATGATGCTTAAAGACTAATTTACTTCTTCTTTTTAACCACAACAAACTCAAAATCTTCGGCCGTCCTTTGAAAAAAAGTTACCAATTAACGATTATTGTGACACCATCATAAGAGTTTTCGTCTTACCCGTTAGCGCAACGCTAACTACACGAACCCCGATAAAGGCAACAAGAAGAAAACTGGATGTCGCCGTTAGAACACAGACGGCAACTCGAAAACTGAAACAAAATAATGAAGATGAATGCAACATGTACCTGCATATTCATGTACTGCCAAAGCAAACTCACGTCAGTCAGAGCATGATTGAGAACCTCGTATTAATTTTTTTAAAAATGCGAGGACAAATAAACTGTATCCTCAAATACTTGTAGGCAAATGTACTTGTCAACTTAAAACCTGGAGCGTTTACGGCACAATGACGTTGTCGTTTTAAGTACTATACAGAAACATTTAAAACTTTACAAACGAAAAATACAGAAGTTAAGGTTTTTACTAGTGAAATTACGAATTGGTATCCAAGTATTGGTGGAAACAAGGTTTGAAAAATAAAACGATTTTAAGCACATTGCTAAAAAAAACCTCTCACCTTTTCCTAAAGCTTAATAGAACTTTGCAAGAGGGTCGTCAATGTGCACGCTTTGCGTAGCACTTATACAGGGTCGTGGTTTCTGTATTGCTTTATATTTTGTTATTCCCCTTTATACCCATTAATATATCGAGCGATCACTTTGTCATGTTCCGAAAACACATACATTCTTCAATGTAATCTGAGGATTACGCGTCCACCTGTGCAGAGAGCCAAAGAACGTCTGATATATCCTAGCACGCACGTTGCAGCTAAATTGACCAATCAACAGCTTAGCGCACATTTCTGATCGAAATGACGTCACAATTCCTAAAGTCGACTCCGATTGGCTGGCGCGTGGAATCTTGCATGCTGATAGTATCAGACTTTGGTTACGGAGAGGGCTACAACGGATGGTACTCAGACTACTGCCAATACTGGATTGTTCACACACAGAACACAAGCCTAGTGCTCATTAGAAAACTTGCAAGAGTGAAACTTATGTTGGCTTATGGGGCAGACTTTATTTTTGTAACTTTTACTTACTCGTACGGAATGTAATCGGCAAACCAAGGCCCAGCCAAATCAACGATCAACTGCGGTAGAATATCAGCCAGTAGCACAACCTGCAGTAAATAAGGACCCGTTATCGTCTGGCATAAGAACATCTTGTTTACCTATTGCAGTGAATAATATTGAGCTGGTGAAGTGACATGTTCCAGATGTGACACCCAGCCAAGTGCAATTTGCTGCACTGTCGTACATTTGAATATAGACATTAATTGTTACCTTTGAAAGTTAGTTTATTATTTCGAAATTGTTTATTTATTTCGACAATTTTAGTTCGCAGGAAGCCTTACCCCAGTTGAGAGAGAATTGCAGTCAAACCGTGATACCTCTGTGCTGTTAGTTAAGTTGAACATCTCTTGTGGGTCTACATCCTGTGAAAATATTGGTAAGAGTGCTTCCTATTGTGTTTTTTTTTTGGAATGTTAACTGCCGATGGTGTATCTGTCATAGTCGTCGTGGTTATTACTACCGTTATCGTCACGGTTCTCATCGCCACCTAAGTTATTGTCATCCTTAAGGGCGTACATAGGACCATTTGCCTTTCATTCATTTTGTTCGTTTCCAATAATAACACCACTCAAAATACAAAAAAAGAACGTTCAAAACATAACCTGTTGAAGTTTCAGCTCAGTGGCTGTTACCATTTTCGAGAAGACAGTGAAAAACCATGTACAACCGTTTGATCGCGAAACAAGATTTCGCTAGCACTCCTTATTCAAAAACGAAAAACTGATCGTCGGAAATCACCTGCATTTCTTGATTTCTTCTGAATGACAGCAAGCCAGACGGAATAATTTCACGGGGTCATTCACCAGTACAATCTTTAATCCAATAAGCTTTTGATAATTCGGTGCACGTATAAAAGCAAATGATCTATTATGCCTTTAATATCTATATGACCATCACGGCCACCAATGTCACCATTAACGCAATTGTGGTAGTAATCATCGTCATCCAACTTCACCGCCGTCACCATCGTCATTGTCATTCCCATCATCCCTGTCAGATTCACTAGCTGTCAGATTCACTAGATTCATGGCTGTCAGGTTCCCTAGCTGTTACTAGCGTCAGTCACATGCTCGCTTTTCGTTGTCATCTTTAAAATGTCACATGAATCCTACTTACCGTTTCAGGAAGTCCACCTTTAAGGATATCGTAAGCAGCACTAAGCATGACATAGAAGCTGCAATTATTACATAGACCAAGCAACCTGTAGTTATAAAGGCGTAATTTAATATATCTTCTGATATAGATTATCTTCTCCTGCAATGATTACTTGTTCCTGTAGATGCGTGTAAATCGTTTAGGGAGGTTTCACAAGCAAACGGATACGCTTACACTTACGTTTAGCTATCCGTATCCGTTTTTTACTGACGTGTAGCGAGCGAGATATGCGTGTCGTCTGCACGTTTAGCGGATAGTGAGTGGCGTATGACGTCATAACTGATGACGTATCCGTCCCACTAAACGTATCCGTTTGCATGCGAAACCTCTCAGGGTCCCATCGCGGAAATCACATTTTAGTGAAAATATTCATGTATGGGCTTATTATCTGAATATGTGCACGAAGTTTCATTAATTCTGTCAAATAGGTCTTCGCAATGAAAATAGGAATCATGTTTCCGTGGCAACACTGGACACTACCGGTTTCAAATTGGGTAGTTTTTAGAAAGACACAATAATATCATGAAAGGCTACTGTTCTTTGGGCTGTATAGGCCCACAGCATGCATGCACGTACAGCATTCGTTCCTAAAGCTGTCGTGCCTTTGAATTCCAGGGCAACAATTTCCCCTGTTCATTGTAGGTTAATTGTGCCCCCCCCCCCCCCCCCCCCACCAGAGTTTCTTACCAAAAAGCCACCAGATTTCTCATCTTCGCTCTCTTGTTGTTTTTCTGATCGGCGGGTTTCAGCGGTTGAGTTACCGTATCCATGCTGACTCTGTAGTACTATGTGGGCAAGTCTGTAGTACGTGCTTCAACTTGTACCACTAATATTAGCAGTACCTTCACAAAAGGTTGGTTAAACTATAGTACGCGAAGCGTAACCTCTGGAGCTCATACTGATCCAACAAAGAGTCTTCGTCGGAGGGGCACACCATTGATTGTGTGATGCCCGCACTACATCAACGGTCCCAAACTTTATAAGTGTTATAGGACTGGCCCTACCTAAGTTTGGACTGTCCTCGGCCAAGTTCGCGCAAGGACTATAGTTGACCAATGGTTAACCATAGTTCGACTAACGTTTGCCCGAACTCTGGCAAGTCGACGGTGGTTGACTACGCTAGTCGACTATTTGGAACCAACCTGGTTGCTTCGCTGGTAACCAATAGCCGCGCGCATTCATAACGCTAGCAGAGAGCCAGGATCCAGAAGTTTTGCGATGACATTTTGACCAGCGTTTGACTAGAGACGTTCGCACGTTGCTATCACTGCGCAGGCGTAAGGTACGTCACAAATCAACCACTAGTCGGCTAATGGTCATTGCCCGAACTTGGCCCAAACCGATGTGTTCTAACTGGAACACTCCAGTTAATTGGGACGGTTCCAGCTGAAGTTAAATGGACCATGGTCTAGGTGGCCGTAACAATTATACCAAGGATTCACTGAAGCTCCCCAAGCGATATATGCTGCACCACTTTGCATCAGTATGTGGTGCAGCGCCCGTTAGATGAATTGGGACTGGCGAGTGTGGGAAATTCGAAAAGCTGGACGATCGGAGCGGGAGTGCTCTAGGCATTGCCACATTTCGGTAAATAATCCAGAGTCATTGTTCGGATTATTGAACTGTCAAATGGCCTTGCTTACACGGCGCCGTTTCAGGCCATGAACGGCAACAAACAAAGTGCCTTAACCAAAATATATTGTGCAGTGTTGCTAATACCCTTGGGGCCGGGTATTTTATGAGTGTACTTCACAAAGGACATTTTCAATACAGTGTTTTTCAGCTAACTTGTTTGTTGGATCGAGGTCGATACCAGTTAACCGTGACGATTTTACACGTTTGGTATTTCTACTGAAATGGGGCAATTCATCACATAACAACGTACGAGTCACGTTCTACAATGAGGTTATAATGCCTCGGCCACCATCTTTATGGTGCAGGACAATGGTGTACGTACTTGGACATTTCAATTACTTTTCCTAGCTTTGAACCAGAACGTACAGAAGGGTTCTATATGCATCCTATTCTGAGGTCACACATAAATACAGCCGTGTTTGTAAAAAGAAAGGCTTTCAAACTTGTGTTAACTTGGTACATTATTCATAAATGTTCAAGCAGAACTGACAAAGCTGGGCATGATAAACGTTAATGACCGCGTCACACAACTCAAGCTGAATCATGTTTTTAAAATTTTTTATGAAATGGCACCAGACTATCTCTGTCATAAATTTAGGAAGGGCTCAGATATGCACAATTATTCTACCAGGGGCAGTTCCGCCAATTTTGTTGTTCCAAGAATTAAAGGGCAAGAGTGCACTTCATTTTTTTATACCGGAATTCATCAATGGGATTTACTTCCCAACAGCATCAAATGTTCAATCAATCTTCCTCATTTTAAAAGGGCAGTGAAAGAACATCTCTCTTCTTATTAATTTTGTTTTTTAAGCAGCTGAGATTTTTGTGATTTCTGTGATTTTTTCTTTAAATTATTTTTCTGTTGTTAGATCCAGTGCAATTTCTTTCTTTTTTTTTGAACTTTTTTTTTTGTACTTGTACTTGTATGTGTGTTTTTAAGGACCCCGATGTAATTAAGCCGTCTGATAAACAGCTTTTCGGGTTATCCTTGGCTTTGTATTTACATGAAATACGTTCGTTTTTTATACCATTGTATGTTTGTTTGTTTGTTTGTTTTTGCCAAAATTAATAAATAAATAAATATATAAATATTGACGTCATGACAGACGTGACACCATAAGGGGGCAAGTTTGATGACTAAGTCGTATTTAGATGCAGCATCTATTATGTAACGATCCGAACATTATCTTCATAGAATTTTAAAATTATTTGTATTTCTGGAAATGTAAAAAAAATATAAGTTGGAACTTAAACTTGAAAAAAGCGAAGAGATTAATTGCAAGGTAAACATATCATGACCAAGCAAAATAATGCAGATACGTTAGGAATATTTTTTACCGAAAAGAAAAATTGTACTCTCAGGATATCAAATTGGGAAGACGAGTTACGCAAAAAACTATGGAATAAAAACACGCGAAAATATGCACATAAAAGAAAATGTGATTCCTGTATTTATAAACAGTACATGTACGTTAAGTCTCTCATAGGGGAACTAGACGATATTTGGATTGGTTTATTCAATAATAAAAAAAAAATGGATTAATAAATATAAATAAACAACAAAATAGTATACATATAAAAGGTCAAAATCGATTTTTGTGCTGTAAAATAGTACATCATGACTTGTAGCGTACGTGTTTTTTACAACAAAAAAATGAAATTGTTAGAATGATATGTAACAGCCTCAATTACAAACATTAACATCTGCTTAGGAAATTCTACAATGATAAAAGACGATTACAAATCTTACACAGTATGAAACGTTTAGCTTAAGCTCGGAAATTTTGTAACAGTGTATGCGGAAGACATGGGCAAATAAAATGTGGTCGATCGCCTCAAAGATACGGCCGGTTATTTAAATTGGAAAGCACTTCGAAATGGTGAATGATTAACTTCGATTAACTTTGACCAATAACTTAAGAATGAGAAATCCCGTACATTTCATGCTTAAGAATGGCCTAATTAGCGCTAATTATTGACCGTTAATTAGAATTTTGAGTCAAATTGATAAGTTAATCGAATACTATCTTTTTGCATTGGAACCGTTCTTGTGCGCGATTAAAAGTCAATTTTGGGGGGTCTTTAGGCGGTGCCCCCTCCCAAACGCACGGGGTGTGACATTAAAAAAGGACGGTTTTGAAGGTCACTGTGGACACCCCCCCCCCCCCGCCCCGCCTACTCGCTGCCATCATCAAGCATTTTGTGCGCGATATTCTAATTTAAACCTCACTGGGCTCTCGGACTTATGGGACATTTATTGTGTATACAAAACGGAGAGAGACTGTGGTATGTTCACCCCAGCCTTTTCAAAGGCTATGGAACAAGAAATCAAATACAGTTAGTTTGAAAAAGATCTCGTCTACATAATTGAACGCATGCCTGCAAAATGGAAAAGATCCAGAGCCGTTTGAACCTGACGATGTTAACCGATGAACGGGAGATGAACATATACCCAGTCGGAACAGAACCTGCATTAGCCTGAAGAAAAAGTCGTGAAACAAAACAAAGGTTTCATATTCAGTTGCCTTGAAGAATTCTCCCTCCTGTATACGCATAGTCAGGTAACTTTTCCTTCATCCACACAGTAAAGGTCCTGGACCTTGTCCTGGGGTCCAGGACCCACACCGTCTTTCCATGGTAGGTCGTGGGGTCTTATATAGATCACGACCCATCCAAGGACAGATCTAGGTCTCCTGGTTCATTAGTGCAGGCCACACATGGTTATACACCAATCCGGGCATTTTTTTTTCAATGTTATCACAAAGGCCCCCTTCAATGGCGAAAGCATTGTGCTTGCTATTGTTCAGATAATCCCTCGTGGGGAACCTGGTTTTTTTTAGTACAAATTATTATAGCGCGCACAATAGTTTCTCCGTTCAAGGGGTCCAGTGTGAGTGTACATTGATCACGTGCGAGGATTCGTTTATAGACGTTTGTGACAGATTTTTTTACTTTTTTCAAATCTGAATTTAAACACCAAGAAAAATCCCTTAATAAGTATGTACAATATAATTTGTTTTTTAACTCGCCAGCTACTGCTACCTGTGCTTTCGCATAATTACCCATTATTTTAAGCAAACGTTGATATCTGTAACGACAGACTCCCCAGTATATGTCGTACATCTGTAAAGTTTCAATTCAACCTATTAAAATATTTTGTTATGATTATTCGGCACTCTCATGCGCCCTCCGATGTACGTTATAGGCTTACATGCTCTATGTAATGGAAAATTAGCATTTAAGCCCATACCTGTTTTGAGATTTGGACATTTTGTGACGAAGGTATGCCCTATTGCCATAAACATGGTGTCAAAATAACCGCAAGACATCGGAACAACAGTCAAAGAAACTTTGCAGGATTTAAGAAATGCTTTGCGACGATAGGAGCCAAAATGTACATGGAAGGGGGTTGCGGCCCCGCCCCTCCGCGCTCTTCGCACCACTCTTAAGTTAATTAGTCTGACCAAAAGTCACTCTTAAATTATATTTTCATGTTCCACATGTGCCAAGGCATCAATAGAAATTGTTTCATGTCCCCATTTTTAATTTGAAGTACAGTTGCACAGCTTCTATTCGATCTGTTAGTCGGCACTCTGGTGCACGCTTTCATTTGCATGTACTTTTCAATGGAAAAAGTTAACATTTGAACATTTTGTGTTGAAGGTATGCCACATTTCATAAACCCGGTATCAAAATAAACACAAGGCATCTGAACAACTGTCAAAGAAACTTTTTAAGATTTAAGAAATGCTTTGCGACGATAGGGGCCAAAATGTACACGGAGGGGGGTTGATGCCCCGCCCCTTTCTTGCTTTTCCCACCGGTCTTAAGGTAATTAGCCAGACCTAAAAGCCCCCTTACTAGTAATATTTTCATGTTCTACAAATGCCAAGGCATCAATAGAAACTGCTTCCATTTTCTCCTTTACCGTTGCGTTGCCACGGTATCAGGGAAAATGAAAAGAGGGGGTGACGGCCACGCCCACCCTCCGCGCTTTTCAGGCCGCTCTTAAGTTAATTAGTCTGATCTAAAATCACTCTTCAGTTATATTTCCATAATCTACAAGTTACAAGCTATCAAATGATACTGGTTTTGTTCTTGTTCTCAAAATTTTGATTAAATGCAAAATTGGCCACATTTGGCATGGCGCCAATGGGCCTTTGTCTGATCTAGCGAAACTTAAAACTGGCCATTCTGTGATCAGGGTCGATGATACTACGCTTTAAGACAATCAGGGGATTTGTTCCCAAAATTTTGATTAAACCCTATCCAGCTCACAGTCTAAGTGTAAAAGTCGCATTCTGGTTCCTGGGTAAACTGACTTTAAAGTCGGGTAAGTCCCCGGACCGCCTCCCCCAACCTTGTTTCCATTAGTGCGTGTACGATCTTGGTGCGCCATGTTGGGTCCCATCATGCCTTGCGCGATATAAGGAACGTGCCTCCCCCACCTTCGTATCGCCCCCCCCCCTTTTCTTGAGAGCTAGATCCGCCCCTGTGAACCATGATGGATGCACCTGAGGCCAAAAAAAAAGTCTCCGGTTTCTGGTATGGAGCTTGCCCCAAAAGTGGTGCGGCGACGCGGCTTTTATTTTTTTTACCTGTTTTTTTTTTTTTGGGGCTTCAAATGTCGGCTGATGACTGCAAATGGTGCCCGACTAAACTTAGTGCAAATATATGGGAGTCCAGAGAGGCCACATAAAGCTTATTCTCGATCATAACCCCATCTAAAACACGTTAAAATTGTGCAGCAGCAGGATTCCAGTCAAACCAGTGAGTTTGGCGGTTTTGAGACATCATCTTGTATTGAAAAAAAAGCTTTTTCATTTTGCCGACGCGCATGGCTACGGCGACGCGCGCGCATACCAGAAACCGGAGACTTTTTTTTTTTTGGCCTTATTCCGAGGTCACGCATATTAAATACACGGAGTTGTGTTTGTAAACAGATATACATTCACACTTTTTTAACTTGGCATATTATTCCTAAATTTTGAAATATTGACGTCACGACCGATGTGACATTAAGGAGACAAGTTTGATGACTAAGTAGTATTTAGATGTAACCTTTATTACATCAAATTATATTATGATCCAAAAATATTCTTGGAAAATTGTATATATTTTTTTGTATTTTTGAAAATTAAGTAGGAACTTGAACTTAAAAACCCATTTGGACGTATTGTGCAGACAATTTTTCCCCTAGTCAAAACCATCGAATTGGTGCATTTGCCATAAAAAAAACCTGATTGAGCTAAACAGATAATAGTAAAATGGCAAACATTCAAATAGAAGTGTACATTAGTAGTACAGTGACACAAATTATTAAGAAATTAATCAAACGACGTTTCACATGAAATTCAACAGAAAATGTGGATAAAATATAACCCTGAATAAAGAGCTGAAATCCAAAACAAAAAATGCTGAAATCCAAAACAAAAAAGCTGAAATCAGCTTTAAAGCTGAGATTTCACACCCCTGTAGTATACTGGGTCGATGGGACGCCAACTATCATGGCATCTCCAACTCTAGTTACAGGCATGCAATTGGAAATTTAGAAAAAAAACGAGGAAACTCCAAGCCACACAAGACTTTGTACAGTGTTATTTTAACTTGTAACGGCATTCATGAGAAGTAAAAAACGAGGAAATCAGCGGATTCAAGGAAAAGTTGCATGCCTGAAATTAGGATTGTCCCAACTATAGATAGGTATTCCTGAGCTATAGCTGGGACGTAACATCGACACTGTTCGACTGAATTAGCCAGAGGTGTCGATGACAAGCACAAACCGAAATATTCCTGCTAAAATAGTGGAAGTAAGACAAAGTATTGTTCCTTAGGACGTTCATCGTTAAAATCACCTTGATTACATGGAACGTGCCAAAGCGTCCACCCTTTAACAATCTATTATTTATATAAGGAGGCAAAAATGAATAACAAGTGCAGGTCCAGGTCATTCAACTACACGCATTATTAATGCCTATTAAAGAGGTTGTGGAATGCTCAAAGACATTTCCGTCATTTTTCGGTATATGTAGCCTAAGGTGTGATGAAATAAAAACGACTATTGTTTCTGTCATGAAATGAGTACAAAATGTACTTTTGAGAGCTGTTTTTCAGGTCCAGTTTCGACCCGAACATGCAACTGTGTAAAAGTCGTCGTTGCGGGCAGCAAACAAAACACAGTAAACCGTGACGTAATAAACAGGACTCCCGATGCAGAGTAGCATACACGAGTCCTGTTTATTACGTCACGATTTACTGTGTTTTGTTTGCTGCCCGCAATGACGACTTTTACACAGTTGCACGTTCGGGTCGAAACAGGACCTGAAAAACAGCTCTCAAAAGTACATTTTGTACTCATTTCATGACAGAAACAATAGTCGTTTTTATTTCATCACACCTTAGGCTACATATACCCGAAAAATAACGGAAATGTCTTCGAGCATTCCACAACCTCTTTAAATTAAACTGCGGAGATCACACTGTCTAACATTACAGAAAAAAAGAATTGCACAGTAAAGAGAATAGAGGTTTTGTTATCCTATTGGTCTAAGGAGCCTGAAGTGTGGGTGCACACCTCGTCACCCTTTTCACAAAGAGCCACATATGTCAAAAATTATCATTTTTAAACAATGTACTTAACCATTTAAACAATGTACTTAACCATTTTGACATGATTCTGTAAGCAAAACATCATTAATTTCTAAGTTACATTAATGTTGCAAGGGGCAGAAATCTCGATAAATGCATTTTGCGTTTTCACGAAGAGCCACATACATTTGGCCCTTTGAACGCGTACAAAACCCATTGCACGGAAATACGTCAAAGTAGGTCAAATGAGATTTCCATTTTCACGAAGAGCCACATATCTTTGTTACATTTTCAGCTGCGCGCGCGTACTCACGTGCGCCTATGGAAATACACGTTGAACAGAAAGGGCCAATATGTCGGAAACCCGAATTTGCGTTTTCACGAAGAGCCATACATGTATATCTTTACTAATTAATTTCAACCAATTAACTGCTGTATTAAGTCTTATTACCGGGTTCATGTAAAAATTCAGCTCTCGTAGAATCGTGTGATGGTTTCCTTGCTGCACAAAGTTGTTGCAAAGTAGTATTTCTTGCAGTTTTAAAATATGAGAAACTTCTTTTGCGATTATCTCGAAAACACTTTTCTTCACAATCAACATAATATATATAGTATGTGGCTGTTTGTGAAAACGGTGACGACCTGAGCACAAGCCTCGTTCAACCTCAAGAATGACTTTTCTTCGCCGAATTAGTCTATGGGGCTCTGTGGGCCACAAGAGAGGACGATTTTGAACTCTTTACAGAGCCCCGTGGATGAAACAGACCGGTGACACCGCCTGTGCGTACTGCGTACATGTACGCGCGCGTCTCGCCCAAAGTATGCACGACTGATTTTATATTCTAAATGTGCACAAAGCCATAGCATCTTTGCGAGAGCGTCGGCGATGCGCTCGAATGTCTCTTCTGATGGTCTCCCCCAACTCACCCTTTCTTGACAGTGAGAACGGGGTACTTGTGCACGGAGCCCATAGACTTGATGACCTGGTTGTTTATACATATGCGCTTCCCTATGGGAGCCAGGTGGACGACAGCCATAAGCATCCATTAGAAAATGCACATGGTGGACGTCATGAAGTCACGGGTCTATACTACACATCACAATACGATATGACTGCAAACCCATAAGGAAGACACTGGATTCAATGAGACTTCAGATAAGACCACCGCCATTGCATTTACAGCCGGCAGAGTGCGTTATGGACAGGCAAGGCTACCGCCCCAGCCAGTGATGTGCCCATGGATTCAGCAACTGTGGTTGTTCCCATGGCAAACTCTTTGTACTTGGGGCTCTCCTGTTCAAGAAAAGAAAATCAACAGATTAGATGAGTTGAAGGGAAAATACAACATTTGCAAACATCAAAAAATAAAACTACCAAATCATTTTGAAATACCTTGCTGGACTGTTAGTGAATGACAGTGTAAAGCATCCTGTAAAATCATGGCAGCTGGTATACTGTCATTTTCAGGAAAAGTGGTATTTTTGTATCAATTTCCAACGCTGGTCGGCCGACCAGCATTGGAAAAAACTGGCTTTTTTCAAATACTGGCCCCAATTGACCATCGCACTTGTTTGCAATCGATTACACACCTATGAACGGGTACAAGCCAGCTAGACTGGTTCCCTGACCTTACAATTCCACAATGTATGTAAACTGCTCTGTTTCTTCTTATATGGAGTCAGGGAACCAAACTACAGGAAAATGATTGTTTTTCTTGGTTTTTATAGCATTTTCGTACCCAAAACCTCTAAAAAGTCAGTGTAACTATATTTGCTATATATTTCCAACTCCCCAATTCCATCCATTTCTGAAAATCACAGGAAAAGCAAATGATGAATATTCCCTTTAAACCTAGCACTGTAGCCAAATCAAGCTAATATCAAAACTTGAAGGTGAATGTTTAACCAAACAATGGCATTATGGCAAAGTAATCGACAAAAAAAGTTCATGTTCATGAGTGTTGCACTTGTGTAAACATCGTTCGGCATAACTTTTTTGTCCCTTGACTTTTTCATGGGCAAAACTTTGAAAGGCAGGTGATTTGATAGTGGAAAGTCTTAAACAATTTTTTATTCAAAGTAAAACAACTTCCAAACCATCTTATTTTTGTGCAATGATTTTTTGCAGTGTGATTACTTTGACATAACAGTACTGATCAAATGCTTACTGACCTAATTAACCTCATCTGAGTTACCCTGTCCTTCGGTGGAGTCAGGTTGGTGCCGTGGTTTTGTTCCTCAGCTTCCACCTCTAGGGCCCGGGTTCGATTCCTGCCCAGCCCCTATGTGGATTGGGTTTTCAGTCCCTAGCTGATTCCGTGGGTTTCCCAAGAACATTCTTCTGGGGTTTTTCTCCCACTTCTAATACTGTGAAATCTTCTCATTGTCTCCTCTCTTACAGGTTTCTTCAGGCTTTCGAGCTAAAGTGCCTAGGGCACTTTTGAGGAATCCTTGGTTTCATTACCAGAAATAAATAATAATAACAACTCCAACTTTCCCCATTTATTCCAAAATTCCACAGAGAAATATCCATGCTAGTTTTGTATTTCTTGATATTAAGTATCAATCCTAATTATCATCATATAAAACTGTCACCTTATGCAAATTACTACAACCCTTGGTTTGCAATGGAGTGCAATTAGCAAATTACAAAAACTGTACAAATACAGACAAGTTTGAAAGTTGATTTGCCTCGGACAACACTGTCACCTCAATGCAATTGACAAACTGGCCTAAAGAAATCTGAGTAACACATCTCTAACCCTCAAAGTGACTCACATTTTCTCTGATTTGATAGAAGGTGTTGACGTAAGCCGCTCCTCCTAGAAGCCCTTCAAACAGGATGATGGCAAAGACGATGGCAATACTTGGCATATAGGCGTAGTAGGCAACAGTGAACATCAACACTAGGACACCCCACTGGAAGGAATGTGAATGCAAGCATACGGTGAGACTTTCAGGTATTGAAGTCACCAATGGAATAGAGTACTGTGGGCTCGTGATGATCTGGTGCATTGAACTCATGATCATGTGGGTAATTCTGCAGGTTGTGGGTTCAAGTCCAGCCTGGGGTTGTGGTGCGCGTGCCCTTTGGCAAGGCACTTTGTCACTCATTGCTCTTCCCCACCCAGGAGTAAACTGGGTATCTGTGAGGGTAGACATGGTCAGGTATTTGATTTAGCAAATTGCACCGATATGGCAGCATTGAGCTGTATACTCCCCAGGGAGTGGAGATGGCCTTTGGAATGTTTTCATTGGCCCGGTGAGCCATAGATTTGTAAAAAAAATCAACAAAACATAGCCAAAGAAATATTTAGTATTTCCAAGATGATTTGACTTTGAATAGTAGTCTTTCTCATCATATCACTCAAAGCCTACCTGTAGAAGAGAAAAGATCCAAAGTCGTTTGAACTTGACAAAATTCACAGATGACCTGGAGATGAAGACACCTAGTTGGTACAGAACTTGAAACCTGACAGCCAACCAAAAAATTATGAACAGACTTTTTATTGTAAGAATTATTCATTCATGGGAACACTTACTTTATTCCAAATTTTCTTTGAAAAAAATTTGATTGCCTAACGTTTTTTTTAAATCCTGAGCAGTATCCTGTTGGGATCAAAATGTTAGGCCGTCTAATTTTGCTTGATTTGCACATTTCAGGTCAATCCAGTCAGAAAGCAGTTTGCAGCAGTTTTATTCATTCTCAGAATTTTCTTTTACAATTTTTACAATTTTTTTAATACAGAAAATTGCTGCAAAACATTTGTATGTAACTCCTGTTTACTCCTCCAACTTTTAATCTTAGTGAAAATAAAATTTGTCTACAAAATGATTCCTATTCTTTTGGCATGCTCTGACCCTAGATGCCATCCTTTATAGCCAATAATCAAGTTACAATGCTCAGTAACAACCAATTGACCAAAACTTTATATGTAATCTATAATAATCAATACTTCGTACCATCTGTACTGTCCCTGATGATCCAACCAAACTCCTTGGAAGTAAATCAGCTCGAGCTTCATCGGAAACACAAGAATAACAAAATGTTAAAGGGAATGTACAACATTTGCTTTTGCTGCAATTTTCAGAAATAAATGGATTTGGAGGATTAGTATGTTATAGCAAATATTGTTCAACTGACTTGTTTCACGTTTTGGGCTTGTTTATGCTGAAAAAACCAAGAAAACCAATCATTTTCTTGTAGTCTGGTTCCCCGACCCCACTTAAGATAACTAGAACGGCGAAGCCGCCATGGCTCGCTGTCCAAGGCAGGAAGGGAGGCTGAAGGTAGGGTTGGGGATGGGCATGATGGAAGGGGATCAGGATTCTTGTTGATGTGCCTAGGTGTAGGGGTCACTTTTTAAATGTCAACATAAAAAGTCAACAGATTACCTAATAAATACATGTGTATATAGGTTAGCCGTCACTGTATTATGGGGGAGTTTCCATTGTTAGGGTAATTAGGACCCAGTTGTGGATTTTTGCAGCCCCAACAGTGTCTTCTGCTCCCCATACTTGTATTACCATGGGAAAACTCTTGTGTAGTCGCCACAAATGCAGAACAAGAATGGGTATACATGTACATGTAGACACAGCACCATCACCACCTCCCCCAAACCTTACCCCATCCCAAAACCTTACCCCATCCCCAACCCGCCCCCCCCCCCTCCCCCACCCAACCCCCTACCCACACCCATTCCATCCTCCCCTAATCATCCCCACCCTATCACCTACACATACAAACCCCACCCAAACTCCAATCCCTATCTCCTTCCCCCTCCCCTGACCCGTACCCTTCCCTACCCCAACCCCCTACACCCACCTTCCCCATCTTCCCCTATCTGTCCTTACCCACCCCTACATATCCCCACCCTAACCCTTACTCGAATTCCAATATCCCGCCCACCCCATTCCCCCACCCATACATCCCCACCTGACCCCATGCAACCCCTACTCTGATCCCTATATACTGCCCCCTCCCCTTATCCAACCCCTACAACAACCCATCCCTACACATCCCCAACCCAACCCCTACTCCGATCCTATATCCCGCCCCCTGCCCAACCCCCTCCTAACCCAACCCCTACATCCATGCCCATCCTCTCCAGCCTGTCTCCCCTACCTGTCTCTCCCTACCTTTTGCCACCCCACCCCTACAAATCCCCACCCCACCCAAACCCAGTATTCCAACGCCTCTCCCCACCCCACCCCAACCCGCCCCGCCCCACCCATCCTATAGCTCCCCTACTCATCCTACTCACACAAACCCTAACTCCAACCCTATACCCCACCCCGACCCCACTCCACCATCCCCTACCCCATCCCTACTCCAACCCCATAAACTAAAAGATCAAACCAGAAGCTCATGCACATCCCCAAAATGCATAGTGTACATGTACATGTAATACCGGTATACACACATGTACATGTTATACCAGTATACATGTACATGTAACAATTAAAAACTTTAACATTTCCTTGAATTAAAGTTCCTCAATAAAATCATAAAATTTACTGCAATGATATGAACCTAACTGAAGTTATAGGCCTAGAGATGATACCTGACAACTGCATTTAATTTTTTTCCCCAAGTTAACTAAAACCAAAAACTTCAACATTTTTATCTAAACGCGGACGGCCGGACGGACGGCACGACGGACGGACGGGCGCCCTGACAGACGGACGGAAATTGGTATTACATAGGCTCGCATCTGCTTCGCAGCTCGCCAAAAAGGAGAAACGTAAAGACTTTGGGGAATTGTAAGGTCAAAGAATCACTCAAGCAGGTTTGTACCCCTTCACAGGTGTATAATCTATTGCAAAGAAAATGCGGAATAACTGAATATGAAAAAATAGGAACAGTTTTTGAAAAAGCCAGTGTTTTCCAATGCTGGTCGGCCGACCAGCGTTGGAAAAATACAGTTTTTCTTGAAAATGTCAGCACACCAGGAGCCACGATTTTACAGGATGCTTTAGAAGGTCAATCCCTAACAATTCAGTGAGGTATTTCGTGATAATTTGATCATTTTGTTTTTTGATGTTTGCAAATGTTGTATCTTCCCTTTAAAGGCCATCTTAAAGATACATAGGATCATCTGCGCTCTTTATGCATTTTTTTCATTTGAAGCAACAAAATTGCTAGAGATCTTTTTTTTTGAGAAAACAGAGAAAAGCTTGAATTTTGGGGGGCTCAGAACTGGATTCCCTTGCTAACACATATTCTGGATTTCACACATTCTGGAACTGGATTCTCTTGCTGAAACACAAAAAAAGTGAGCCGGCGGACAGACTTTTTCAACCACCTTCAATGATGTTCTGTTTTGATGGAAACCATTTCTGGCAGAAACACAATTTGGACAAGCCTGATCTTCACTTTGAGTAAAGGTTTTCTCATGTTCCTATGTGCCTTTTAAAATAAAATTTAAAAGTTTAAAGGGACACTGGGTCCTGGAACAGCCCAATTGGGCTACAAAACGCGCTTTGAACGAGATGATGTTAATCGAAAATAACATTTAAAAGTAGGATATAAACATCCACACAACTATCCTTTCAAAACTGGGCGTTTTTGTGTTATTCCTGTATTCCTGTAAATTCGAACTGTTTGGATGCTAGTTGTGACTTCATTCGTAAAGTGTTCGCCTTTTGCGGACATTGGAGAAACCACTTTTTTTGCACTGGTGATTGGTCACCGCGCGCTGTTCCCGAGACACACAACGTGTATATCGTACACTGAGAACGACACGAAAACGTATTCGTACTCCGTCATGTCCGATGTAAACAAGCGGGTTTTTTTCATCTTTCCTAAGGAACAGTAAGACATTAGGTTGGTTTCCTTTCAACCGAATGTTTGAAATAGGCTAATAAGTAAACAATCCAAAAACATGAAATTTTCGGGGATTTCAGGACCTAGTGCCACTTTAACAAAGAAACCGATGAGTACTTATGGATAATGTATGTGCATGAATTTTGAAAAAATGCCTTTGGACTTACCAGGCCTTGATTGATGAAATATTCAGCAAAATACACCAGCATTAGAGGAATCATGTACTTCAGGAGATGCTATGGGATGGGGTAAGATAATAAGGATCACAGCAGTGTTGGAGCAAAGGCTTTGACCCTCAAGGCCAAGGCCAAGGCCAAGGCTTTGACCCTAAAGGCCAAGGCCAAGGCCAAGGCTTTGACCCTCAAGCCTCGAGGCCAAGGCCAAGGCTTAACCCTCAAGGCCAAGGCCAAGGCCCTGTTTATGAAATGACCACTGATATAGAACTAGTTATAGTCACATGAGTGACACACATCATCACGCAAGGGCGGATCCAGAACACAATTTTTGGGGGGGGGGGGGGCAAAGAAATTTTGGTCCCCCCCCCAAAAAAAAAGTGGGTCAAAAAATTACGGCTTGGGCTTCGGGGCCCGCTTAAGGGCCCCGAAAAAATTGTGGATTCGAGATGCTCTGTTGTGCGATCTGAGGCAATTTCTGACCATTTTAACCGATGTTTTTTGAGAAAAAGATGGTGGTGTACTCATTGCTTGCCTTTATTACGACGTCACATAAAAAAAAATGGTTTCGTTTTTTTTTTGGGGGGGGGGGGGCATGGCCCCTTTTGGCCCCCCTGGATCCGCCCTTATCATCACGAATTGCTCGTTACGAAGAACAACATTTCTTTAATTGCAATCAACATGCTCGCATAGGCCTACACCGTTTTATGACTGCACTGTATCTATTAAAGTATAAGTTCAGGTCTTCAATATGGTTTAACTAAACAAAATAATGATTTACTTCTATATTGACACACAATTCTCCCAAGTGTAACAAATGGGGGATCCAAGAAACTGATTTGGGAAATTTTTATTTGCTGGCCCAACATGGTCAGAAATATCAGCATTATCTAAAACAGATACATGCAAATCTTTAGCACTTATCAGGGAGACATATACAACCAATCAGATCTATTCCATAGTTATATGCAATTAAAGTGATCATCTCATTAGCCCCACAAATGTACGGAATATATTTGCAGCAAATCTACTACAATGGTAACAAAATGTGATGCTACAAAAGTGGAAGTGTGCCCAACACACAATCTATAGGGTGCTTCCCTCCTCCATGGTAATACGATTAAAATGGTAACAGCAAAATTTCGAACAGATTTATCTGGAAAATGCAAAAATGTATGGGCCTTGAAGAGCCTTGACTCAAGATTGCAAGGCCCTGAACCCTCAAGGCCAAGGCTTTTGCCCTCAAGCCTCGAGGCCAAGGCCAAGGCCCTAAAATCCAGCCTTAAGGCAGCCTTAAGGCCAAGGCCCAGCATCAAGGCACTACATCACTGGATCACAGTAATTTAGGAAGAAGTTGATGAAGATTTTTTTTTAGGAAGTAAACACTGAAACCCCACACTGGGATTTGAAAGTTGACTTTAAAGAAAAAACTCAAGTACAACCATGAAGTGACAAACCTACCTGATACGTAACATCAACAAGGAAAGGAAGAAAGCACGAATGAGAGAGTGGTAACTAATGCTAGGTTCACACATTCCCGATTTTTAAGCCGAATGTCCGCGAATAGCAATTCTTGAGTAAATCGGGGAACGGTTCTTGGCTGCCTCGGAATGATTCTGTTAGTTCGGTGAAAGATCGTTAAAGATCGAGAAACGCCTCAACATATTTTGGACATGTTCAAAATTGTCGGGGTGATTTGGGAACCTATTTCAAATTTTGGTTTATTCTTGCTGTATTCATAACTAATTCTGGATATTCTTACAGCTTTCTGGACATTCTTACAGCATTATTACAAGTTTCGTAGAGTCATTTTTTGGTGATAACAGTCCAGAACCATGCCGATACATTACGAATGTATCAAGAAATGTACGAGTATCATAAGAATAACTTACGAATACACTAAATTGGCATAATTCTAGGTCTTTCTGGATGATTCTTGAGTTATTCGTACGTTATTCTTGACAAAATCGCTACAATTCAGTTTTATTCTGCACTAAATCGCAATCATTGAGCTTGGTTCAGTCTGATTCGGCTTCCAATTCGTACCTAGTGCTTGATTATTTGTGTTTCATTCTTAAGTTATTCTTACTAACAGCGAATAGGCGCTAATTTCTCCTGATGCCATCAAGAATTTGTATTTGGGATAGATCGCGTGTACGCGGCAATAATTAGGGAATGTGTGTACCTAGCTTTGATAAAAATAAAGCAAGATAAATTTTCATTCTCGCAAGTAGAAATACAAGCTGTTTGTGTAACTACATGTTTGCCCTGGAGCAGTGAATGTATCAACAATTACTGTCAACTGACGGCACATTTCTCTAGTGCACTTGGGGTAAGGTGTGTTCCTCTTCTGAGAAGATGCTCTTGTGTTTTTGGATATTCACATGGATGGACCATTATGCACACACAGTTGGTGCTCAAGGCTCTTAAGCTTCTTCATTATTTCCCTCATTGGGCCAATGAAACTGTCCAAAGACTATCTCAGCTCCTTGGGAAGAATACAGCTTGACGCTGCCATTTCGGTGCACAGCAGCTAAAATCAACCACAATAACCATCTCTGCCCACACAGGTACCCATTTTGCTCCAGAGTGGGGAGAAGCAACGAGTGACTAAATGCCTTGCCCAAGGGCACACACACCACAACCCCAGGCAACACCACACCACAACCCCAATGCACAACCGGCAGAATTGCCCGCAGACCACAAATTAAACGCTCCAGATTGACTTACTTTGATGTGGTAGATCCTCTCCTTTAGCATGAGATGCTCCTTTGCTGCCATCTTGATGTCTTGGTCTAGATCGTCCACGCCTTCTGTGGGTTCACATTCTATCAATCGTCTCCTTGCTTCATCCACTGGTTGGTCATCCCGATGGGGTTGCAACGTTGGGGCTCGGACTAAAATACCCCAGTAACTATGCAAACCAGTATACAACATTTAAAAATCCACTACTAACAACTACATGCAAATTCAGGGGCTGTGCTGAATATACCGAATATTCAAATATTCCATCTGCAAAACTAATATCCGAGAGGCATTTTTTCCATTCAAACAGTCTAAACATGTGGACAGTCTTGTGATGATGAAAAATGTCCACAATGTTATATTAATGTGTCAATTTGTCAAAATGCTGCAATGTAATAATAATAATAAAAAAAAAAAAAAAATAACAGGTTCTTATATCACCCTTGATCATTGGGCCAATTAAACTTTCCAAATACCATCTCAGCTCCCTGTGGAAAGAAGCTAATTCAATCACAATAACCATCTCTGCCCTCACAGGTACCCATTTACTCCTGGGCGGAGAGAAGCAATGAGTGACAAAGTGCCTTGCCCAAGGGCACACGCACCATGACCCCGGGCTGGACTTGAACTCACAACCCATGTAGGTTTTGGGACCAGTTGAAGTTTCCCCCCCCAAAAAATGACGTATTTGGCGAAGTTTAACCAACCACAAGCGTCTCCAATGGGCTCCTTGCACAAGTACCCCCTCAACGGTCAGAAAGGGAGAGTTTAAGGAGACCACTAGGAGACTGATTCGAATGCATTGCCGACAATGCCCGACACTCAAGCCAAGATGCCGTGGCTTTGTGCATCCAGAATACAATGAGCTGCATGTACTTTGCGCTTTACGTGCGCAAACTAGTATGCGCACATGTGGTGTGTTTGGTCCACGGGGGTCTCAAGAGTGATAAAAAAGCGCCCTCTCTTGATCAAGCATAGAGCCCATACTCAAAACAAAAAGTACATTTCCCAAAAATGTTTGATTTGATCATTTTATTTATTACCTGATTACCATGGCAACTGGTACGATCAACATGACAAGCAGCGAATCCCTTGGAGTCAGTATCTCGGTCAGACCTGCATAAGACAACGCACCAATCAAACCAGCGGCACCAGTACCGGATGACCACGTCGAAACAACATTCCTGACCAAAAAAAGGTAATAATTTACAAAAACAGAAATTCTTACTAACTAGAATATTTGTAAGCATCCTTCATGGCTCAGCGCATTATGGGTTAGCAAACACCCAAACCAACACGCGGGTCACATGAGTTGCTCTAGGTCTTCAGTGTTTTTATGGGGTTCACTCCAGTGTTGTAGTCGAGTACTCTTTTCTGAGTACCGAGTACTGCCAAGTACTTTGGTTACCGAGTATGACTACTTGTACTTCTGAGAACAAGTACAGGTCTCGGAGTACAAGTCCTTGTACTTCCAAGTACGAGTACTTCTATTTCCTAATACGGCCATACCGCAAGTGGTTCATTGTGCGGGCCCAGGCCCAGTCAGACCGATATACAGACCCACTCACGGCTAGCTGTTAAATGTGGAAACTTTGATTTCGCTGCAAGCCAATCAACCATTTCCAATTGAAAGTTCGATAATAAATTAAGGTTGTGGTAAGTCAAGCTATACAGTTTTTGTTCGAGTACTGCTATTCGGGTAAAAGTAATTTGCTGCCCGAGTACGAGTACCGTCATTTCGAGTTTGGGTACTTTGACATTCAAGTACGAGTATGAGTACTCCAAAAAAAGTAATCGAGTAGTACTCGAGTACGAGTACCGAGTACGAGTACTACAACACTGTGTAACAACAAATGTTTATAAGACTATGCAGAAATTATACCAACATAAAACATTGTAAAATGAACTAATTTATGTAAGATAATAAATTCAATATTTTCTTACTTGTCATAAAATGACATCAGACTAACGTATGTGAATTCACCTAGGCCTGCAGACACACTGGCAAAGACAACTCCTAGAAACAAAAATAACAAGATCCATTGAGAGTTAGTGCTAAGTGTAGATTATCGCGAAGGGTTGTGGCCTCATGGTTAAGGGCACTGGATTCGTGGTCTGCGGGTAAAGCTGCAGGTTGTGGGTTCGAAGTCCAGCCTGGGGTCATGGTGCGTGTGCCCTTGGGCAAGGCACTTTGTCACTCATTGCTCCTCTTCACCCAGGAGTAAATGGGTGCCTGTGAGGGCAGAGATGGTTGCAGTGATTGAATTAGCTTCCTTGCGCCTAGCAGGCAGCATGGAGATGTATATTCCCCAGGGAGCTGAGATGGTATTTGGAATGTTTCATGAGCACGAGTAATAATGATGTGCATGTAGTGCCTTGAGCACCAGTCCTGGGCCCAATTTCACGGCCCTGCTAAGCACACAAATTTTGCTTAGCACAAAAAAAGTCTGGCTTATAGAAGCAGGTTATCAGCCAAAAAGTCCATGTCATTTTCATGCTAAGCAAACAACAGCTGAATACCAATCACTAGCAATATACATCACGTGGAGTTTGGCTGGTAACCTGCTTTTATAAGCCAGATTTTTTTTGTGCTAAGCAAATTTTTGTGCTTAGCGGTGCCGTGAAATTGGCCCCGGGTGGATACGTGGACTTTATAAATACCCACTATTATTATTATGATGAACGCTAGTGGTAATGCTATCAGACATGAGATCCACACCCAAATCGACCTTTTTGGGATGTACACCCATGTGTTTTCTGTCCCAAAATTGAACATCGCAATGTGATATCAGTCCGGAACTCGTCCATGCCCTCTGCCATGGATAATCAATGCCAAATGTAAAACTGCAAGAAAATACACCACAAGTAATAATAATAATGTAATAATATGTGGTGCTTATATAGTGCTTTATACCTATCAATGCCCTTCATCATTATTACCCTGCTCATTGGGCCAATGAAACATTCCAAATCCATCTCAGCTCCCTGGGGATTATACAACTCAATACTGCATGCCAGTTCGGCGCAAAGCAGCTAAAATCAACCACAATATCTATCTATGCCCTCACAGGTACCCATTTACTCCTGGAGGGGGGGGGGGAAGCAATGTGTGACCAAGGCACATGCACCATTAGCCCCAGGCTGGACTCGAACCCACAACCTGCAGAATTACCCGAAGACCACAAATTCAACGCTCCAGACCACGAGGCAACGGCACTCCACTCAAATGTACACACAACAACTTACTGATCTGATACTTTGTGTGAACCACAAAAGCAAATAGACTGCATGTAGTCAAGCTGGGAATATAGGAGTACTGAAACTATGTGTTCACCAGACCATTAACAACCGTTAACGAAGTTATACAGGTGTGGGCAGGATACCGTCATCCAATGAAAACATCTATTCATTTTCACAACAGTTTCATCGATTGGTATGTATTACCATTCAGCACTCCAGACTCAAGAACCATCGAGTTTCATGAACATAGGTCTGGGTGCTAGGTAAGCCAATGTAAAAATTATTCCCAGATGACCGCTCCATCTATAAACAAGAAAAGCCCTAAAACATTTGATATTTGTCTCAAAGTGGTTTATTTCTTACCCATCAGACTCAGGGCCACAACGTGAACAAACGAGACAATGAGAAAACTGGATGCAGCAGCAAGTACGCAAATGGCGATTCGCACACTGGAAAGAAAATACAAGGGACAAAATGTATAGTGTAATGAAATTAAATACAACCATTGTTTAGAGTGGCAAGGGTGACCAATGAAATGTTGCCAAGGGGGGCATAGCCAACGAGGGCGTGGGGGGCATAGCACACACTCCCCCCAAATAAAACACTGACGATCATCCAGCAGCCCCCCCCCCCCCTCCCACCCACTGGAAATTTGTTTGCCCTTAAAATGGACATGGTTAACGGGTTTGACAGAAACTGGTGGCCCTCCACTGTAACATCCAGCCCTCGCCACTTCCCCCCCCCCCCCCCCCCCCCCCCCGGTGAGAATCCTGGCTACGCCGCTGACTTCAACTGATTATAGGTAGCTCTATTCAGTTTTAATTTTGGCCTTGCTAATAGAAACATGATTTTCTCAATCAGACTTGACAATTTCAATAAAAAACCACCGCCAATTTCTCAGTTTTGACTTGACAAAATATTGTATATTTTCATTGGGCTTAAAGTTGACTCACCCATATGGAATGTAGTCGGCGAACCACGGTGCTGTCAACTTAATGATCAAGGTGGGGAGAATATCAGCTAACAGAACAGCCTGCATAGGAAATAAGTTATAGATTACAGATATAAAGAGATTAAAGATGGTAGGATGGCACAGTGCGTAAAGCACTTGCCTCTCACTGCTGTGGCCCAGGTTCGATTCCTGGTTTGGGTAATACGTGAGTACAGTTGTTCGTTGATTCTCTTCAGGATCCTGTGCCAGGAGAGTTTCCGGATTATATAATAATGTTCTTAAAAAATATCAGAACCAAACTGAAAAAAAGAAAAATCTGGAATCTTAAGGCCAAGGCTTACCCCTGTTGAGATTGGGTTGCAATCGAATCGGCCAGCGGACGTGCTGTTGGTCAGGTTATACATGGTATCTGGAGGTTCCACATCCTGACAACAAAAGAGGAAAAAAATATCGCCACAGATTCAACATTTTGAATATGAATGATAGACCGATTCACTAGGCTCAGCCCATTTATGGTTCGACCAATCACAGCCTCGATGTGACCAATCGACCACTTTATAATAATGTCAACCGGTCCCTCATTGAAAATGTACAGGGGTCCAAACCAATTTTGTCTCAATTTGTCCAGGATTTGTTGCTTTTTTTTGTTGGAAAACCCCCCTGAAATTGGCAATACATAGGCATGACTTTCCGGCCTAGGTGTATTTCTTGGGGCATAGAATAAAAAAATTAAAAATTGCTTTTGCCCCGTACGCATGAGGGCAATGGAAATCAGCAGGGCTCCTTTCCACACGAGTGAAAAAAAATAATATCGTGTGCTTCGGAGTACCCGTCCACTAGATTTCGTGATGAGTCGAGGCAGGCTTCACAGGAATCTCTGTTGCTCTTTTATATTTAAGCAGTGGATATTTGGCCGGTGCAGGTTATCATTTAGTCAATGTAATTTTCACGAAGGCCTTCTATGATTAGCTCACATATAAAACCAGTCAAACCTGGATAAAGTGGCCACTATGAACAGATGGCAACAATGGAAAGGTTGAGTAATTCATGTGCAATTGTTGTCGGGTCCAACCAAACCGAGTAGGTGGCCTCTTCATCAAGGTGGGCAGAGTGGCACGTTTGACTGTACATCGACTGGCCGTGCCAGCTTCCTTTTTAAAAATATTTGTTGTCTGAAGGTTGTCTTTGATGCCTTCGGTAAACTAGTGTTTACTTAAAGAAAGCTGGTGCAGCCAATATGGCAAATACAATGTACCAGTATATAGGGCCTATCCGTCAATCAGAGAAAATAGCGTTTACTAAAAGAAAACTGTCGCCGGCTGAAAATCCACTGCCTTTTACTTAACAATGTAGATAGGAAAACATAGGAAACCAACAACAAGCTGCTTTGAAGTATTATTTCACTAAAATAGGCCTACTTTATGCAGAAAAACACTTCATGTACATGTTGGTGATGCAGTCTGTCAAATAAAAAACAGTACATTGGACAAACTTTTTGTTTGTGAGATAGATTTGTACAACAGATACATGTAGTTCTACAAATCTAAAAAAAAAAGTAAACAAATATGAACTGAAGATGCAGACCGACACCAACACCAACAGAGATGTGGTAACATTTGGAACCCACATCTTTCAAACAAAATGTGAATATTCCTTACACTTTCTGTCTCTGTTTCTTTCTTTTCTAAGATGTCATAGGCAGCACTCAGCATGATCACATATGCGTAGTTATTGCACAGTCCAAGTAACCTATTCAAATTAGAGAAGAAAAGAAGAAGTAATACTGTGTATGAGAGTCCCAAAACTTAAGGTACTGAAAACATGCAATACAAGAAAATAGACTGGCGCCTGGAACAACCAGTCACACAAACATGTACCTTCACTTCAGTACAGCATCAATCAACTGCCAAAAAAATTATCCAAGATGGGGTTGGGGAAACGATTGATGTTGATAGGCGCATAACAGAAACAAAACACTGATGAAATAAAAAAATGTAAGTAAAAATAGACATGATAGACACCTATCACTGTAACAGAATCAGCATGATCAGTAGGCCCGTGAACGTGGTGTGTAAACAGTGCCGCGTGCATGGGTCTACATCATGATGTAGTCCGAGTAACTTGGATCCAACTTATCGCCTTTTTAACATTTGGACATGGTCTGGCGATAGTATCGCCAGACCATGTCCAAATGTTAAAAAGGCGATAAGTTGGGTCCAAGTTACTCAGACTACATCATGATGTAGATCAGAACTGAATGAGCTGGTTCGCATATATCGAAAATATCACACCCAACATTTTCCCAACATCAAGTTGTGTTTTTCAAAAGAACAAAGGAAAGAATTTTTACGAGTTCTGTTCAAAGCTGACTTTTGCACATGACTGTCCAGTACCAAAGTGACTTTTGCAGGCTAAAGCAGTCCTTTTTCTTCAGCTAAACTCATGTTAGTTGTAATTTTGAAAGCACTTTTAAAAGAAAATGTGACTTTCCTACCGTTTTTTTTTTGCAGTTCGCCATCTTGCTTTTTTAATATATTTTCTGTTTGTCGTCTTTAAGCCCTCATAAATCAAAGCCCTGCCCTCTTTCTACAAAATTAAACCTGCTGATATTCAAGAAGGTACATGTGTATCATTGCCAACTGTTCAAATGTGTCAAGAAATATCAGAATGTCACTTTTGCATGTTTTGAGTGTGCATTTGGTCAGCTGTTTTGGTGAGTCTTTTGTTTTAACCTTATACAGGAACGGGGGTCCTAGGGGTAAGGATTACCAAACTGATTTTAAGACATGAATCTTGGACTGAGAAACATTTCCAGTTTTGTTAGGAAATACTTTAAAGAAAAGTTTAATTTAAAAAATTCTTGGCTCTCCATAAACTTTGTACACAACCGCTGAAGTGTTTGCAACATTCTTTTCAGAACGAAGAACACAACGGTAGACAATACGTTCTTTTGTGAATGTTGTAATGACTTATTACTTACCAGAAAGCCACCAAGTTTCTAATCTTGGTTTTCCTGTTATTCTGCCGAATTGCAGCGGCTGCCGCCATCACCGGCAACTCGTCCGTCATGTCCGTTTCCTCCATCATGTTGGCCGGTTCTATCTCTTCTGATCTAGTCAAATTGGACAGAGGTAAATCCGGAGCTTCACTGTCTGGATGACGTACAAATAATTCATTCATAAGCCCCTGAGAGCTGGATCGAATATAATCAACAACAACATTTAAATTTTAATCGACAAGAAGTTAGAACTTTTCATGTATGGATGTCAAATTGGCATGAAAGTGCACTTCAAAGGGCGCCCTCAATTGGCAGTTCAGTGAACATGTCAAAACTTAGTCTTGGTCCAAGACTGAATTTGTTTGTCCTGTAATCAATCTTTTTGGTAAGGAGTTGTTTTACTATGCGTGCTATAAATCTGCAGAATATGGATTGTTGCCTTTTCTGCACAAAAAAAACACAGCTAACTCGATTAATTTGACGTCTAATAATAGAGACCAAATTACTTTCATTTTGATAGCTTAGCAGAACTGGGCCCAATTTCACGGCGCTGCCGTATAAAAATTTGCTAAGCGCCAAAAAATCTGGCTTTCAAAAGCGGGTGACCAGCCAAAACACCACGTGATGTATGTTGCTCGTGGTTAGTATTCAGCTGTTGTTTTCTTAGCATGCAAGTCAGATTTGTTTGTGCCAAGCAAATTGTTGTGCTCAGTAGCGCCGTGAATTTGGGCCCAGTCAGGATCGCCATCGTTATTAACAGGGCCCATGAAATGTAATTTTTCTTTTTAAAATGCAATCCTTGAAAAAGCACCTTTGTGTCTCTTTAACCCTTTTTAATTTTCGTTTTGCCATTTTTAACGATATTTTGGTGCCTTTTTGTTTTTCATGCTAATGCGAATTTCCATATTCATGAGCAAAAGTGTGCTGTCATAATATAAGGCAGAATCCTCAATGATGTTGCAATTAGTTTATGCACGAAAAGTTACCAAAATGTTGGATACTTCGCTGTCGTAAACTTTCTTTTCATTAGTGATTCGTTGTTGTATCAGTTCATGGCAGTAAGCCCAATGAACAAACTGTGAGCATATTTTTGGGTTCACTATTTAAAAAAAAACCCGCCTATTATGAACAATGTCAACTCGTCCCCACTGACTTTATTTCCAAACTCGTTTCCAACAAGCCCTAGGATAGCAAACTTTCTTCCTGTATCCTGATTCGATACCACATATGGCTAGAAATGGATTTATATCGTGTACTTGATGTTGTTATTTACAACGTGCAGACGGTACGTGTTTTCGCGATCATTCGTCCATGCCTTCTCGAAAATATTCATCTCCTTTCCAATTTGTTCATATTGATATGAAATGTGACCCTGCATGTCTCGTTTACGATCGTAACAGTTTAATTGAAATAAAATCGTGTTTTCGTAACTCACGCCATGCTCGCGCTGCGACGAATTGATTCTGTTTTTATCCCAGACACCGCATACAAAAACAAACGCAAATATAACGAACTGACAGGCACCGGATTATTCCTCATTTGCATACGTGTTCAAAAATCTTGCACATGCAAATGATCCAATAGAGGTGGGTGCGTACTGCTCGACACCCTGGGGATGAGGTTTGAACAGTGTCTCCTGAAATTCGCTCGTACCCCGCCCTGCAAACAGGACGCTGGGATACTCTATTGAATTCACTCTCTGATTGGTTGGATTTTGCGTGACCTGTGACCTGCCTCGGGGTTAGAAGTTCGAATCCCAGGTAGTCACCAACGACAATAATTTGTTTTTCGTCAGAGCGGATGAGATTGGGCACTGTATGACGACGACACACGAATTTTGACGAATTTTGACGTCACCCCTTTGCAACAGGAGGTTTATATATTATAACTTCCCGGCTCGGTAAATGTGAGCCGGTAGCCCAGTCGGTAGAATGTCGTTGTCAGATCATAAATCTCGGGGTTGGAGTTCGAACCCCAGGTAGTCACCAATGACATATATATTGTTTTGTCAGGGATGTGGGGTGGGGGACTGACGACTACACGTGACTGTTTATGTTACCACCCTTTGCAACCGGGGGTTTACTATACATGTCCTATATTATAAATTCCAGGCTTGGTACGAGCCGGAAGCCCAATGAGTAGTGTGTCGTTCTCAGATCATAAATCTCGGGGTTGGAGGTTGTCACCAGCGACAATTAATTTTTTCCGTCAGAGCGGATGGGGTGTGGGACTCATGACGACACGTGACTTTTGGACGTCACCACCCTTTGCAACCGGAGGTTTATATAATTATAATACTCGAATCACACGCTTACGAAACTACTGTTCGGAAAAACCTAACAATTTCAAATGTCCCGCGCTGTGAATTTGTCGACCATCTCCCGGAATGCAATCAGAAAAACTTTATTTTGAATCGCCCGAATTGACCAATAATATTGTTTACATATCAAGTTAAATATACTGCCCTCTCTCGTAAAGCTTATAATACCATGGGGTCAGCGTGGTTCCATGGCGGTCATCTATATACTCCGTTGCATGCACTCTAAATACAGCAGCATACATAGCCAGAAACCAGACATGGACTTGTAGCCAGACGTCTCGTTACTCGGTATACAATCATGCTAGGAACCAGACTGTTGCCCACAAAAAAAAGAAACATTTCTCTTTTAATTACGTACTTTGTCCAATCGAACACAAATTCGTCCTAAAGCTTGATACTTTTATTGGTTCTGCAGGTTTTCTGTTTCATGAGGTGCCCCCAAAAGGACTAAAACCCCTATGCGTTTTTATCCAGGGCAGTTTTACTTCCACCCCACTGCTTGCTCACGTGAGTGTGTGCATGAATCTACATTGATTGGTGAACTGGTCTATTCAAAAAGGGCCGGTCCCTTCATTCGAAGTCAGAATCGACGATGGAGGGACTGAGAACCAGTCTCAGGTGGAACTGAGAGCTAACCAAACAATGACACACTAATGATCTTGGGCGCATGTTCAGTAAGAACAATAACATGTTTGTTCCGTCAATGTGACGACCAGAAATCTGTTGACGGCATGGGCTGACTTCTCGTCGACAACAGCGGCGGTTTTATTGTGCTAAAAAAGAGGGCAACGATAATGTGAGCAAAATGTGCAGTAACATATCTTTGTTGAAATATTCCTCATGGTGTATGCTAGATTTCGTCAGCTTGAGGAAATCCATTGAAATAAATGTTATGAGTCATACATCTGAACGTGACGTCACTATTTTCTGACGGACTTCAGTCGTTTTGTTTTTTTTCTGTTAATGAAAGTCGATAAGAAATGAATTGAAATGTCTGGCAAATTGCGTTTTGATTCTTCAGGGCAAAAACATCGCCTCACTCGTTTTTGTGTAACCAGTGTTGTAGTCGAGTCGCCAACGTCGAGTCCGAGTCCCAGGTTATTAAACCTGACTCCGAGTCCGAGTCACGAGTCACAAGCCCCGAGTCCGAGTCTCGAATCACAAGCCTCGAGTCCGAGTACAAGTAACGAGTCACTTGTTCTTAGTTGTTCACCGAACTAATAAAAAAAAATTAAATTATTTTACAATCTTGTCTCTTAAGTGAATTCCAATGTATATAGTTTACCTTGTAATGTGTACATGTTGTTTAGTACGAGTAACGAGTCACTTGTTCTTAGTTGTTCACCGAACTAATAAAACAAAATTAAATTATTTTACAATCTTGTCTCTTAAGTGAATTCCAGTGTACATATAGTTTACCTTGTATGTGTACATGTTGTTTAGACCCAAAATGTGTTTCCTTTTAATTCCCATCCCTAAACAATCCTCCTCCATGATACTGGACACTTTTTGGCTTGACACCATGGGCCCCTCAGGTACGCCATCTTGAATTTCGAAATGGCCCCATCTTCACTTTCAAAATGGCTGCCAACCTAAATTGCTAAATGCGTCTATTCACTTCAGTCTTCATGTCAATGTAATGAGTAATGGACGAGCAATATTATGGCGCATTTGCATGGTGAGAACGAGGGGCTACATTTGGGACGTGGTGCGATGCCATTGGCTGCAATCCAGTACATCGGCGACCAATCAGGGTCTTTCATCTCCGTGGAATGTTCATGCTGCCTGCAGCCCGGAGTGCTGCGTCGCCAGTTTCATTAGTCCAGATGGTTTGATGCAACGTAGGTAAAAGATTTAAAGTTGATGACGGGACTATTTGACTAAGTTTGTTTTCACAAACTGAAATTTGATTTGTCCCCCAAAAAAATTGACGAGCATCTTTAGACCTGAGGAAAGTTCTTGTAAATCAGTTGCCATGATTTTGTGCAAGAACATCTTCATCATTTCAGACCAATGACTTGACGCTCTTTTTCGAGCCCACGCCCAAAGTTCACAAGCAAACGTCAAACAAAAACATTTGTTTCATCAGATTGTAAAACAATGGCAGAACAGGAAGCCGGAAAACACGTTTCTGAGTTGATGATATTTTTGGGAGCGGTCATTTTTGTCACTGGACACCCATGTCATTCACGCCAACAAATCATGTACGCCGCTGAGAATCGTGCACTGCGAGGATTTGCATATGCCAACAAAACTGTGCGATCTCGTGTCATCTGTGCAAGGGAATGCAGCATGGACGAACGTTGCAAGTCGTTTAACTTTGTCGGCTGCAATAAAATGTGCGAGCTGAACTTTGCCACAAGACGAGAGCATCCCGAAGACTTCAATACAGCTCATCGTGGGAGTGTGTACTTTGATGCAGATGAGGACACACCTCTCTACTCACTGATTGATAGCTCCGCGAGTCGCTACAAAACTTGCAAAATGCTCTTAGATGCCGGTTATCGTTCAAGCTGTATCTACACTATCTACCCAAAGGCATTTGGCAACGACAGTCTGCGCGTCTACTGTGACATGGAAACTGACGGCGGGGGATGGATCGTGTTTCAGATGCGACAGGATGGCAGTGTGGACTTCGACCGTACCCTGGCCGAGTACCAGTCTGGCTTTGGCAATCTATCCGGTGAGTTCTGGTTGGGCAACGATAACTTGGTGGCTGTGATTTCTGATCCTTCACCAGGATTATGGCAGCTACGAATTGATTTAGGGAACTGGGAGGGTGAGACGGCATGGGAAAAGTACGAAGATTTCCGCCTATCTCCTGATACGTACAATCTGCAGTATTGGCAATACGAGGGTATTAATACTAATGGTGACTCCCTTAGTAAGGCTAAAGGACAACCATTCAGAAAGTGTTCCCCCTCGCTCAAAGGAGCCTGGTGGTTCCCTCAGTCCTGTTTCCTTGGTGATATTGACAGTAATTTGAATGGTCAATATTACTTTGATGCGAATGCAGGGTATGATCAAGGTGTGTACTGGTATTTTTTTACGGCTTATGAATATTCTTTGAAAACAAGCAGCATGAAAATACGTGAAATGGGCAAATGAACGTTCACTGATCTGTATCCATTGATTTGATACAGCTGGCATTTACAACTTTTTCACTGACAAATCATAATTATGCCAGCATGCGCATAAATGGACCTGACGCAAAAAACAAAAAAAATCATCGAAATGTACAGGGCTTTACATTCGGGTCATTTTCTCTCAATTTGTCCAGGTTCGCCCTTTTTTTTTTTTTTTTAGAAATCCCATTTAATCGCCATAGTCATTACTGTCTGGCCTAAGTTTTTATGGGGGGAGGGGGCCAAAATAATAACTGACAAATTTGTTTTCATCCCATGCGCACGAGGTCGAAGAAAATGGGCATGGCTCCTTTCCACACGCGCGAATGAATATAGGTTTTCCCGGCCAAGTTAGCAGATTTGGCGGCCAAATTGGCGACCAATCATCCATTTTCGCACGAATTTGAATGCATGTTGAGATCAACATTCAATTACCTAAAACATCAATCATTTTCACAATTAGAAGCATGTGATTTCACATTTTAAATTCCAAATTTGCCGGAGCTTCAAACTGTGTATAGGTTTGCTCATTCGATAAGCAAGCATAATATAATGTGAAATATAAGCAAAGTAATTCAAAATAGGTCCATGTCATTCCGTTGTTTGTTAGAATAAGATGGAGTGCATTTGTTCCAAAAGGATGGGGGACACAATATCAAATGTTCCCCAGCCCAGGATTTTTGAACTCGTGTGTCTAATTTACAGGGCCACACTGTTTACATACAATGTATCTTTTGCTAAGAAAATATTGGCTAAAATAGAAATTGCCCCAGATCGCACCACAGAGCATCTACAATCCAAAATGTTCGGGGCCCTTAAACGGGCCCGCGCTCGCTTTAGTTCTGATCAAGGTATGTCCCCCCCCCCATTTTGAGACTCGCTTTAGTTCTGATCAAAGTACACCCCCCCCCCCCCCCCCCCACTTTTGAGAAGCGATTGACGCCCCTGGCTAGCTCATGGGTGTTACACAATTTCAAATGTAGACGGTGGTAGTTTGATCTAAGCTTTCGATGGCAATGCCCAAGACAATCTTGAACTTGCAGACAATCTTGGAATAAACAGATCTACTGCCAGGTCAGTTTTAGCAACGTATCTGAGATCTGGCAGACGGCAAAAGCTGCCAAGAGGAGGGGCCAGAAACATGAAATCGGACCACGACATGAAGCAGAAATTTATTTGTAATGCAAAAAGTGCTAAATAGAATGCGCGGAAATGAAAACGAAACCAAGAATCTCATGCAAATAACCCTAAACCAAACCGACTGCTAAATTGAATGATCACTTAAACCGAATGACATAACTTCAATTTAGGATGTGTTAAACATGAAAATGTCGGATCTTAAAACGAATTTGAACGCCTGAAATCTAATGCGAAGCACGGGAATGACAGCAGGGCGCTACTTCACTTCGAATTGGTCACAATCAAGATGAATTCGAAATGCTATTTTTGCGAAATCGGCCGGGAAACCTATATCAACTGAGTGCTTCGGGGTACCAGCAAGCAAATTTTAGGACCAAGTTGCAGGCCGCGGTACCGAATCGCAATGGGCTGAATAGCCCGTGATTCTCGTTCACGCTTCGGAGACAGGCCCTGCTGATTTCCTTCGACCTCGTGCGCACGGGATAAAAGCAAATTTTTCAGATTTTATTGTGGGTGCACCCCCCCCCCCCCAAAAAAAACCCTCTCAGGTCAGACAGCTATTGTACGGCAACCTAATAATACTGTAATATGTAAATTTACGCCTTTGTAAAAGAAATCACTTGAAAGAAATCATGTCTTTTCGACTCAATGACTTAATAGGCCTATAGGGTTTTTTCCGGCCAATATCCGAATTTTTCTGGTCATTTTCATTATCAGCCATTCAATTTCGCGTGATTGTTTGTACATGTACACATTTAATCAAATTAGGCGGGGTTTTTTTCATTGTTGAGGCATGTGCAAAAGTTAGGAAATTGCACATTGTCAAAGTGGCTCCATCTTAAAGGATGGCTCATTAGCTTTCACTTGGTACCTTATTTGCATCTCTTTAGCCACGGATGACTGGGCACCGTTGATTGCCAAACGAAGGCAAAAACCCTCTTTTACAAGTTTCGTCACCGACACCACGAAGTAACACTCATAAACCATATTTTTTTCGATTTTCAGTTTTTTTGATTTTTAAACATTATTCATCAAGGCCTACCATTGCACGAAGTTTCAAAGCTTCAAGAGCTTTACTTTAACAATTACGCTAAGTATCCATGGCAACTTTTGCGCAAAATTGACAATTTTCGTTTTCACGTAGTAACACTCAAGTTCCATTTACCATTGAAATGCATGGCGCGCACTCTGCTCATAAGTGAGCAAAAACGTTTTCACGAAGTAACACTCTTCTTGTAACAAGTTGTATGAGCGCGCGCGCTGACCTGAAGTTGCACTTTCCTCGTGTTGAATACATTGAAGAGTGTTATACTTCGTGAAAACGAAAATTTACAGTTTTGCAGCCTTTTCGGTTTCACGAACTAACACTCATCTTTTTTCTCTTATTTCTTGTTTAATTTAATACAAAAACGGGTGAAAAACAGCAGATTTAATTAATTCAATTCATCAAGTGTCCACAACGAGAAACCCAACTGAAAATACTCTGTCGTTTTGACGCAAAGTGTTGTTTTAGAAGGCGTTAAACTTTAGTTGCCGTTTTCTCCGATTGCTAGTTTTTACTGATATGTAGATGGTGTTACTTCGTGGTGTCGGTGACGGTTTGCTGAATGCTGGTGAGTTAAGCTGTCCACAGAATGCGCTGTACTGCCGCTGAAAAAAATGGTGTTAAAGGGGTATGTTGGAGATGTTACTTAACATGGTACATCATGTTGTCCATGAATAATTAATCATTCCAAAGATTCTGTGCTTCATATCCTTTTTAACAAACTGTCCACAGCGACAGCGCATTCATCCGACAGCCTAAACTCACCACCTCAGCAAACTTAGAGACTTGTTTTAGGTGCTTGGTCATCCGTGACTGAAGAGATGCAAATGAGGTATCAATGACAAGCTAACGAACCATCCAAGGTGGAGCCACTTTGACAGTGTATCAAGTTCATAACTTTTACATATTAACCCCTGATTTTGGATTTTGTTTTTGATACACTCTGTATTTTTATCTGTGCTCTTCTATCTTTTGTTTCAAATTGTGATTGTGGTTTTCTTACATCTGTTCAACACTTTTTTTCATTTTACCCTTATGGCCAAAAAAAATACTCGGTCTCTGGTCAGCGCGCGCTTCGATTTTAATCATGCGCGTCAACTTTTTTTTCTTCAAATTAACACGGAAGCTACAACAGCGCCCTCTATTCCCGCGCCTCCTCAAATTGTTGTACCAAGGAGCACCAAGTAATGGGGAAATTGCACCAAGGCAAATGATAAAGGGCACCAAGGCAAATGATGGAGGACACCAATGTATAATGAGGACACAAAAAAGCAAAATAGTACCCACCTTGTCTGTACAATACAAGCTTGAAAAAAAAAAGCCACCCCCCCCCCCAAAAAAAAACCGCGTCGCCGCATCAATTCCGGAACTTCGGTCTGACCAGAGACCGACTATTTTTTGGGGGGCCTATCATAGCTTCACTTCATTAACAAAATGTCTACATTTTGCGTCACAAAATACGAAATAAGAGCACTCATGTGGTTTTGTTATATGGTTTGACAAGGATGTGAATGGTAACGATTTTCTTCTTTTTTAACATCTAGTTAGAGTCCTTTGTTGTCAGTAATCAGGGGTGCTTGTCTTCTGTATTTGTATCATTCATCGATCTCTTACTGTGTCCAGCATCTTGGCATGTTGTACCACTGTCAACAAAGTGGTAGGAAAAAAAGAAATTAGTTCTACCAGACTGCCATTGACTTTTTTTTCCTGAAATATTGACTGCGATGTTTGTCTGTTTTCCTTTGCAAGTTTTCGTTCATTAACGGAGTTTCAGTTTTCATCCTGCCACAACATTATTTCATAAATGTTCATGTTTGTGTCAGTACACCAAGTTCCACTTAATACTCCACATGTATTTTTAATTTTCGGGTGTGAGGGGTAAATTTTGGACACGTTATTTCTTTTTCACGTCTAGCGTTTTATTTTTTATTTTTCAGTTGAAATTAATTGCGATGTAGTAACAATTTTACAAATAACTTTTTTCGAGGGTGATTTTTTTTAACAAATATATATATATGCACCAAAAGAATTGCACATTTGAGAATTTTTGCACATTGTTTTACCTTTCAGTCTCCATTCGAATGGCAGAACGTATAGCTGGAAACTCCAGCGAATCTCAATGCTTCAATATTCCATTTTGATATGACGGCGTAATTTTAGGATTGCAAGCCAAGCCGATAGTGCTCTATCTCACATCACATAGCAGTCAGTTGTAATGTTAAATCGTGACAAAAACTCAACACGAAACAGGTGTTTTAACTCACTCTTCAAAGGAATAAACTAAATCACTGCTGTGCAACTTGTTTGAATATAGGTTTTCCCGGCCAATTTCCTGGAATGGTCATTCACTTTTCAGTCATTCCTTTTCGTCGGAATTTGAATGCACGTCTTAATCCTATTTCAATTCAACGAAAGTTCAATCGTTTGCATTGTCCGTGCATTCAGTTTTGAGAAACAGACGGCCAATTACCCGGTTACCCTTGCATTCATGTACGCAAGCATAGGCCTACCTTTTCTGAATTGATTTCAGGTACTGCTAATTTTATTGACGGTTAATGAAAAAGAAATCCCTAATTGTATCTGTTGCCAATGAATGGTGAATGTTTGAAATCGCCCTCTAAAGCCGATGTCACACGGGGCGAACAAGAAGTCTTGCGAACGAATCTGAATGAGCATAAACGAAAGGTGCTGCTCAATCACTTAATATTGAATGAACTGAGAGCAAAAATGAAACTCGTGTTCAGAGTGATTCTCAAATTAAGACGAACACGAATGACCGATTTTCAGAAGTGAATGAACATTGTAGGAAATTAGCCGGGAAAACTAATATTGAAATCATGGAAATCATTGAAAATAAAACCTAACTTATCATACCTTGTTACATTTAAGATGCATTATTGTTCATTAGTGATGGCGACGAGCATATGTTACAATCTTTGCTTGTATATTGCGACAAAACTGGTTCCAATGACCAATGACGTTGAATAAACTGAGTGACGAGAACCAACCAATGATTGATTTGTTTCTCAATTAATTCAAAGTTCTGAGTGTGGGAGAATGTAAAAGTTACTGCCTAGTGACTTGGACTATATGCTTCAAAACAAGAATGTTTACCATTCGTTTTGCAACCTCGTCTATGGGCTCCGTGCGCCTACCAACGATGTCCCATGGGCGGGACGCAATATTTTTATTCACACAACTATCTGGGGTACTTTGTGCGCTTTCCTATGGGGCATGGTTTTTATAACCAGGCTTGAGTTGAGGCTACTATTTTACAACATGGTACGGATTTCGGACTTTATTTCCCTTTTAAAAAAAAATCCTCCAGAGCCTCGGATCAGAAAACAAAAAGAAAATTGCTTCTATACAAGTAGTATCCGACTAAAAAATAACGTTTTTAAGATAAAACTTTAAATTGTTAAAAAAAGAGAGCAAAATCTGAAGGAGCAGAGCAAGGAATCGACCTCGGGACCTCTGATCAATTGCCAGTATGCCTAACCACTAGGCAACGAACGAAGGTGCTCGACTGAACTCTCCAATTCATAAATTATATACTTTCACACATGTGGAGAGCGTATACGCGCGCGCGTGGGTAAAAGGCAAAAGGTTACAGGATTGTAGGGCGCCGCAGGCTACGTAGTCTGAGTATCACCCGTTCTACGGAGCGAGCCGTGTGCTCCGTCTTCAACGAGCGTCTATTACATAGACTACAGGCTACGCGGCGCTTTACAATCCTATAACCTTGATTCAAGTCGCCTGAAAAATGGGTACCCTGTACTTTTGTGTAAATAAAATATTCGCGGGCGGCATATTTAGCTGGTTGACGCGCACCGTTCCTTGTGTGTGACTCACGTGGAGCGGATAGGCCGTAAAGCCTTGTGTGTAACTTTCACCACATGATAAACGACTTTTCTGCAACAGTGTAAACATTGAAATATGTAATATTTGAAACTTGAAAAGAGAGAGTTGATTCCCCAGTCGATGTAGGCTTTATTCACGAGTCGGCCATATTAACAATATTACAAATTAATGCCAGTCTGCTCTCGGATGAATAATGTAACATTAAGGGAATAAATGTGTGCTCCGGAGGTTTTTTATCACTCTGTTTAAGACCACTTAGAGTCTGGGTGCTGATAATTACCCAAGCCGGAGGGTAAAACAAAATCATATAATTCGTTCAAAACATCCCGATTTTGTTCAACAAATTCACTTTATGCTTTTTGAAACATCCCTCTTGCAAAATAATGGAGTGTTCAGCTGGCGAGTATTAAAGATGTAAACAACCCTTTTATGGATATTGACGCGCGCGTATCATGTTCTGCGCGATGTCGCGCAGAACGCACCTGGCGCGTTGCGTTTTGAATTTAGAACTATAAAATTCTGACTCCCTGGTAGTGTTGCGCATGCCTACGTGATGATTGTGAACGTTCAACCAATGAAACGATAAGAGGCACTGGTTTTTTAGGAGTCCACATTTTATTGTGACACTGGAAAAGTGTTTAAGACCAGCTAGCCATGTCTTTATCATCCGTTTAAGACCGGCCGCGTGACGGGCTCTCGACCAATAGGAATGCGTAAACTGTCTTAGGTATTTATGAATTGGGATTAAATAAACCGAAATGATTTAAGCCACATTTAAGTGAGGCTTGAAATGCATACCTTTTATACAATAGTCTGACACTGGTCATCTCATTCAACAGTTTACAATTTATAAAAACATTCAGGGAACACGATCAAAAGTGGCTCCCTTGTGAATCAAGCCCCAGTCACGCATTCACGGTTTGGAGCTAGCTGTGGACATCAAGGGTTTATAATAAGGGAATAACAGTGTGAGGAGCCGGTCTTCACTGCGTGATAATGACCGGGTTTGGGGGTGACCGCTGTTAATGGACCGAGACGCACGTTTTTAAAGAAATAAACAGTTAAAATGCTCCAATTTTGTGACTTTCTTTCGGCGATATTTCCAGACTTTTTTGTGTTCATGTTCATGGGCCATATTTTAACTTATGCGTGGTACCCTGTCTCTTCGATAAGCGTTGTTATATACACCAACAGCCGGGCCCAGGCTGTGCTGGACATTGCTGGACAACGTCTTCATTGCGTACGCGTACGACGTCCGGTTTGGACTTCTGCTGCCGTAGCGAAACAAAATATTTACAACAATGTTTTCATATTTTTACCTGATGGAGGAAGCTGAAATTTCGTTCACACACTCCTCGTGTCCAGAATTACAAAGATAAAGGAAAGGTAAATATGTCGTTGGGCGAAGTGTTTAAAGCTATAGTCCATCATTTGCAGCCATCCGAAAAGTAACTGGCGTAATTATTGTTGAAAAACAAACTTGGTTGAAAGATAGTAAGGGGACTAAACTCCCTGTGAAATTATTCTTTCTGGCAAGCTGTCATTTTGAATTAATAAATACCTTGGAGAGTTGATGGTTTCTGATTGGTCGAGACTCGATCACGTGGCCGGTCATTAACGGTGATAATGGACCGGCTTCAAAGATCATGCGAATAAATGGCCCCTGAATCAGCATTGATCCAGCCCCGTTCAGCCCATGCAAGCCAATGATTGGCCAAAATATAGTAACAGTCCTGCGGTAGCTTTTAACAATTGAGCACTGCACATGCGCTCAACCCCCATCGCGTGAGACTGACGCGCGCGTACGCAACACAGTTGCTAGGGATGCGTGCGTGCGCGCGCGTAAGGAAGTTTTGAAACGACATCGTACAGCAGTGCAGAATATACTGAGGAATTTTACGACGAAAGCGTAGATCTACGATTAATTTTCTTTGAACACTTCACCCACCGACATATTTACCTTTCCTAAACCAAGCATCTTTGTAATTCCGAACACAGCAATGTGTAAACGAGATTTCAGCTTCCTCCATCAGGTAAAAATATGAACGCAGTGGCTATTGTTACGGCAGCCGTAACGCATTTCCCATTTTCTATCGTTACGGTAGACTGCAACCTGGCAACTTTTATAAAAAAAAAAGACAAGAAAATATAAAATTAGAAGGAAAAAAGTGAATTTGAACTTTATGAAATTCGGACTTTATTTCCCTTTTAAAAAAAATCCTCCAAAGCCTCAGGTTAGAAAAGGAAAAAAATTCGAGTGCAAAACTGAGATTCGAACCCGCAACCTCGAGGTGCAAAATCCTACCCTCTATCGGCTGAGCTGGCGCACTGCTCGATAAAACGTGGAGAAACAAATAATTATATACCCGCGTGCGTATCAAAAAAATATCGTAGAGGGCGCTAAACAACGAGTGCCGTAACGATAGCCACTTCGAAATATGAAAGCATTGTTGTAATTTGTTTCGCTACGGCAGCAGTTTCTGTTGAGTTTACGTCGTTATAGCTGATAAGCTAAAATATGTCCCATGAACATGAACACAAAAAAGTCTGGAAATATCGCCGAAAGAAAGTCACAAAATTGGAGCATTTTAACTGTTTATTTCGTTATAAAGGTATTTATTAATGGGAATAACAGTGTGAGGATCCGGTCTTTACTGCATGATAATGAAGGGGTGTGGGGGTGACCGCTGTTAATGGACCTCGACTGCGTCTCGGTCCATTAACAGCGGTCACCCCCAAACCCGGTCATTATCACGCAGTGAAGACCGGCTCCTCACACTGTTATTCCCTTAGTAATCAACGAAAGAAGGCATTTCCAACGGTGATTCTTAAGAAGCACCGTAGGAATATTTAAATTAGTAGTTCGTTTTGTTATTCAGCGCAGCGTGCACAAGTATTGGAACGACGCACACGCGCGCGCGGTTGTTATAATTCGTCGGATCAGTGCGCGACGTCGCGTATAGCTGCAATTCAATTCGTACATGTACGATGTCCAGTCGTTTTAAAACTTCCTTACGCGTGCGCACACCAATAGCAACTGTGTTGCGTACGCGCGCGTCAGTGTCACGCGAAGGTGGTTGAGCGCATGTGCAGTGCTGTATTGTTACAAGCTACCGTATGACTGTTGTAAATTTGGCCAATCATTGCCTTCCATGGGGCAGGATCAATGCTGGTTCAGGGGCCATTTTTTTCGCTTGTTCTTTGAAGCCGGTCCATTATCACCGTTGATGTGATCGAGTTTCGACCAATCAGAGACCATCAACTCTCCAAGGTATTTATTAATTCGCGATAAACCGTGGGAGTGCCGTATTCATCCTTAGTACCTCCGTGGTTATCCGTCATCTTCCTTGGGTATTTGTGGAGGGGCTACGGAAGTTTTAAACTGTTCCAAACTTCCGTGGTGAATCGTCATGAAAATTAATCAATGCCCGCTAAACAAGTGAGAGCTAGCTGGTAGCACAATCGCAGGGGTTCAGCTAGAGCCTCTCCTTTGACGGCGCTAAGCTGACTGACCGATAGGTTTATAACCATCCCAAAATGCTTTCAATACAAATGAGAGCTGATAGGGGGGGACAGGGGCTCTTTGCCCCCCCCCCCCCCGGCGGATTTTTTGACAATTTCTTTGTCAGCAATGATTTTAATAAATGTTTATAGAGTTCTTCTGACATCCATCCCACCAAAGAAAACCCGATCAACAACCATTACAATGCGCTGTGAAAAATGTCCATATAATATGTAGTATGCATAATAATGGTCAGTTTTGAAGAGCGCCCCCATTTGGAAGATGCGTACCAGCCCCCCCCCCCCCTCCCTTTTTAATTTACGGAGGGCAAGTGTCCGGAAAAAAAGACATATCTAGATTTCGGCGTGGATGTGCGGTTGCCCCCCTGACATCAAAAGCTGGATACGCTGCTGGACTACAGTCTGGCACGGAGTCCGATTGATAGTGCTAGCTAAAAAAAAGAAAAGTTTCCTGTATTAACTAGGTTCCCAATGTCAAAATGAAATCACTGAAGAATGTTTGCACATTTATGTTTTCAAAATTAAAGAATGACTTATCGAGTATCCAGATTGTCTCCGAGGAAAGTTGATGTCATGATGAGGCCTCACGCGGAGGTCCGCGATATGCTATTCAAGATCCGTTTTCTGTGTTATTTTCAAGTTTGACCTCAGCAAATAGATTTGTTTTTCAATTGCTATTTTCCTTGGAATATGACAGTGATTCAATTTTGAGTGAGACATCGAACGAAAACAGTTACAACGTTTAGTTATTAAAGTACATCGTTTTTGTTTTGGCCAAACCTTAACGACGTACAACATCCTGGTATCGTCCTTATGATCGACTGGCGAGTGTATATTTCATCAGTCGGAATAGCTCAGTTGGGAGAGCGTCAGACTGAAGATCTGAAGGTCCTTGGTTCAATCCCGGGTTCTGGCTATTCCAACTCGGTTCTGCGTGTTTTTTTTTTTTGGCCAAACCTTGACGATGTCAAACATCTTGGTATCGTCCTTATGATCGACTGGCGAGTGTATATTTCATCAGCCGGAATAGCTCAGTTGGGAGAGCGTCAGACTGAAGATCTGAAGGTCCCTGGTTCAATCCCGGGTTCCGGCAATTCCAACTTGGTTCCTCGTGGTTTTATTTTGTTTGGCCAAAACTTGACGATGTAAAACATCCTGGTTTTGTCCTTATGATCGACTGGCGAGTGGACATTTCATCAGCCGGAATAGCTCAGTTGGGAGAGCGTCAGACTGAAGATCTGAAGGTCCCTGGTTCAATCCCGGGTTCCGGCAATGCCAACTTGGTTCTTCGTGGTTTTATTTTGTTTGGCCAAAACTTGACGATGTAAAACATCCTGGTTTTGTCCTTATGATCGACTGGCGAGTGTATATTTCATCAGCCGGAATAGCTCAGTTGGGAGAGCGTCAGACTGAAGATCTGAAGGTCCCTGGTTCAATCCCGGGTTCCGGCAATTCCAACTTGGTTCCTCGTGGTTTTATTTTGTTTGGCCAAAACTTGACGATGTAAAACATCCTGGTTTTGTCCTTATGATCAACTGGCGAGTGTATATTTCATCAGCCGGAATAGCTCAGTTGGGAGAGCGTCAGACTGAAGATCTGAAGGTCCCTGGTTTAATCCCGGGTTCCGGAAATTCCAACTTGGTTCCTCGTGGTTTTATTTTGTTTGGCCAAAACTTGACGATGTAAAACATCCTGGTTTTGTCCTTATGATCAACTGGCGAGTGTATATTTCATCAGCCGGAATAGCTCAGTTGGAAGAGCGTCAGACTGAAGATCTGAAGGTCCCTGGTTTAATCCTGGGTTCCGGCAATTCCAACTTGGTTCCTCATGGTTTTATTTTGTTTGGCCAAAACTTGACGATGTAAAACATCCTGGTTTTGTGCTCCGGAGGTTTTTTATCACTCTGTTTAAGACCACTTAGAGTCTGGGTGCTGATAATTACCCAAGCCGGAGGGTAAAACAAAATCATATAATTCGTTCAAAACATCCCGATTTTGTTCAACAAATTCACTTTATGCTTTTTGAAACATCCCTCTTGCAAAATAATGGAGTGTTCAGCTGGCGAGTATTAAAGATGTAAACAACCCTTTTATGGATATTGACGCGCGCGTATCATGTTCTGCGCGATGTCGCGCAGAACGCACCTGGCGCGTTGCGTTTTGAATTTAGAACTATAAAATTCTGACTCCCTGGTAGTGTTGCGCATGCCTACGTGATGATTGTGAACGTTCAACCAATGAAACGATAAGAGGCACTGGTTTTTTAGGAGTCCACATTTTATTGTGACACTGGAAAAGTGTTTAAGACCAGCTAGCCATGTCTTTATCATCCGTTTAAGACCGGCCGCGTGACGGGCTCTCGACCAATAGGAATGCGTAAACTGTCTTAGGTATTTATGAATTGGGATTAAATAAACCGAAATGATTTAAGCCACATTTAAGTGAGGCTTGAAATGCATACCTTTTATACAATAGTCTGACACTGGTCATCTCATTCAACAGTTTACAATTTATAAAAACATTCAGGGAACACGATCAAAAGTGGCTCCCTTGTGAATCAAGCCCCAGTCACGCATTCACGGTTTGGAGCTAGCTGTGGACATCAAGGGTTTATAATAAGGGAATAACAGTGTGAGGAGCCGGTCTTCACTGCGTGATAATGACCGGGTTTGGGGGTGACCGCTGTTAATGGACCGAGACGCACGTTTTTAAAGAAATAAACAGTTAAAATGCTCCAATTTTGTGACTTTCTTTCGGCG